CGCGACGAAACCAAGCTTTAGCAACGGGCGTAGTCGAACGGTACACACTCGGTAAGCAATCCTACAATTTTTTGTTTATAACGTAGTTTATACGGATTATTTTCAAAAAAATATACGTATTTTGGAAATGTTGAGTCGAAATAGTCTAGAATCGATTAATTTTATGAAAGAAAACCTTTCAAACAGCCGTAGTCCGTAAACTATGATTCCTACAAACTTGATTCATAAAGAATGGAACGTATCTACCATCTTATAGGGGGATCTACTGTACTGTATTAGACTTATGGTACCTAATTTACATACTGTACAGATGATAGTTAGCCTAAACTCTCCGTAGCGTGGCGCTACGCGGCGGAACATATATATGTAATTATAACAAAGTTACAATAAATTAAGTTAATATATAATTATATATACAGTACCTAATTTATATATACAGTGGTACCTCGGTATACGTCTGCTTTAGAATACGTCCAATTCGGATTACGTCCTGTTTGGACGAAAGAAATTTTGCTCAGTATACGACTTTTGTTCGGTATACGACATAATTCAATTATACGCGCCATCAATGAACAAATAGCACTATCGGCATACTAGACCAGACCAGACGTTCGCGGTGCAACGGTTTATAACTTTGTTAAATTTCTTCTGATTTTAATTTGTAAGTAAAATTTTATTATTTTTATTAATCACAAATTGCAAAAAGGCAAATGAAAAGCGACAGAAAACTAAAAAAAATGACTAGAATTACAATGGAACTGATAAAAGAGATTGTTGAGAAATACGAAGATGGCACGCGTGTTCGAGATTTTAACTGTTGCCTACCGTATTCCGAGAACGACGATATGGACAATCACGAGAAATAAAGACATTATTAAATCTGCTAACACTGCAAAAGGGGTTAAATCAATTTCTAAACAGAGATCGAAGACATTAGATCATGTCGAGAAATCGCTTTTGCTTTGGATAACTGAAAAACAGTGCTGGAGACAGCATATCGGAAGCAATTATTTGCGAGAAAACTAAAAATATAATGCTGATCTTACGAAAAATCAAGCAGGAACTAGCCAGGAAAGCGAGGTGTCTAAAGCCAGCCATTTTTTACACGAGAACGGATTAATCATTTCTACATTACTTCTTATGGGAAAGGTTGGTTTGGTATACGTCCAATTTGGTATAAGTCCAAACATCGGGAACGGATTAAGGTCGTATACCGAGGTTCCACTGTAATTATATGTACGGTACCTAATTTATATATAATTTATATATAATACTGTATAGACGATAGTAATCTCTCCGTAGCGTGGCGCTTGATGGTGGAAAATAGTTCGGCTGCCCGATGACGTTTTACGTAATTATAGGAGTTTTTTACGGATACCGTCGCAATTTTTTCGCAGTTTTATAGGAACCCGTTTTATAGGGGGGTCTACTGTATTAATATTAAAATAATTTTACAAGATTTTTGAATTTTTATTTAATATATATTTTATTAAAACATTTTGTTTTTACAGTAGTACCTTGACTTATGAGTGTCCCGAGCTACAAGTCATCTCTTAGCTGATTTTTTGCTTTGAGTTGAGAGATAAAATTTGGGTTATGAGCCAGCTTCAGATACCCCACCACTAGTTGGCGCAGCAAACCATAGATTAAGAAAAAGAAGATGGAAAACTGTTGTAATTTTGTCATTTTCATTACTTTTCCAATGTCTGACAGGTTAGCTTATAGAAAAACACATGATTGAGTGACATAGGCATTAGTTCACCTTCATGTTGTGTGCAGCGCCATTGTCTCCCAGCAATTTCTCAAATTTGTCATCTTTACTTTCTTCATCAATGCAATGAACTTTACAACATCTGCAAAACCAGTTTATTGCAGTACATTCTATTGTGTTTTTATACAATATTTGTTATTTATAAGTACATTTTTCTTACTTAAAAAAAGTAAAAAAAAAATTGTGGTGTTCTGGGGTTTGGAGCAGATTAACAGCATTTCAATTCATTTTACTGGGGAAAATGATTTGACATACAAGTAATTTGAGTTAAGAGTTCCATCATGGAATGAATTAAACTCATAAATCAAGGTACCACTGTATTTGCTTTTATTTAAACCATATTTTGTTCTAATAATTAAAGAGAGATTATATTTTTCAGTGATATCGATTTGGTTGTCTTTGGAAAATGGAATAAAACTCCATTGTGGGACTTAGAAAAAGCTTTACTTGATCATAATATTGCTGATTCTGATAGTGTGAAAGTGTTGGAAAAGGCATCTGTAAGTACAATATTGATAGATTATATTATAGTCATAATATTTTTATTTTTCTCTTTAGTTAAATGATTGTCTCTCATATTTTCATTTTAAAAATCATATTGTTAAAATGGAGTGCTATAGTTTGTAAATTATGATTGGTAAAAATAATGTTGGCAAATGATATGTTTGATGATGAAAAGTTTGATAAGAATTTATGACTTAAAAAATATATAACTTAAGAAACATTCAGAAATTTTGGTTCACATTTAGCATGCTATACTAGTGGTGTGCAAACCGTGGGTCACGACCCCTCCAGGGTTTGTGAGAAATTTTTTGGGGTTGCCAAATTCAAAGAAATTTTTTTGACAATAAAAAAACATAAGGCATTTTTTCAAGAGTTTCAGGTATCAGTAAAATAATGAAATTATATTATTTAAAAAAATAGAACTATATTTTTTTATGAAAAGAATTGTCTGTATTAGTATCTAATAAGTCCTCTAGTAAGTCATCCTGTATCTGTATTAGGTACTAATACAGATACAGGATACAGATACAGGATACAGATAGGTACTAATACAGATCCTATATCTGTATTAGTACCTAATACAGATATAGGATGACTTACAGTTTGCAATTTCCAATACAGATCCAAACATAGAAGCAATCATGAACTCTTTGCAAGTGCGTACCTCACATTAAATTCCTGTGATGTAGAGTTTTTTAAAAGTTTTTTTCATTAAATAAATATTTATACCCATATGCATAAATAAAACCATTGTTTTATAAAATTATGTGTTTTATTCAGACCTCTAATAAGGCAGAAACATAAGTGCAAATCACAGAAAGAATTTCACTTTAACTATGTTGACAATTATAAAAAACATCTACTGTCTATCCAGGAGTTGCAAAAAAAATTTGCACAAAATAGGGGGTCGGAAATGAAAATAGTTTGTGCACCACTGTTCTATACTGTAAAAGAATCTTGTAAGGCAGGGTTTCCCAAGGGACTCGTGTAATGTAATTTGCTGACTGACCTTAAGGGTCAATTAGCAAATTATATACATATTGTACATAAGCTGTTTTTTTTCATCCTCTGATGATCCATAAAAAAGAAAAAAAAAGACAAATGTAAATAACAAAATGAATTTATTACCAAAAGTTAGATACAAACCTGGTTAATTTTTGACATAATTACCATAAAGATTGAGGAATATGTCATATTTGTAGACAAGCTTTTTCATTCCCTTGTCATAGAATGTTGCCGCCAGTGAATTGAGATGGCCTTAACAATGTTGTTTTGAAGATTGTCACTACTCTCGAACCTCTGCCTTCCTAGCCAGTTTTTCTGTTCAGGAAAAAGGTGGAAGTCGTTTGGCACTAAATCAGGGCTATATGCTGGATGTTTAAAGGTGGTGGACTTCCACCTCTTTCCTGAACTGAAAACATGGCTAGCAGGGCAGAGGTTTGAGACTAATGACGATTTTCAAAACAGTATTGTTAAGGCCATCTCAATTCATTGGTGGCAACATTCTATGACAAGGAGATGGAAAAGCTTGTCCACAGATATGACAAATTCCTCAATCTTTATGGTGATTATGTCAAAAAATAACCATGTTTGTACTTAACTTGGTAATAAATTCATTTTGTTATTTACACTTGTCTTTGTTTTATGGACTATCGGAGCTTTAAAAAAGCCGGCCTCATACATGCATATACAGTATATTTTATTGTTGTTTTATTATTTAATAAATATAATCATTTAAAAACTTTTGAAAATATTTTTNACTTGAGAAAAAATCGAACAGGAGATTTCAAATCGAAAAGTTCGCCGAATTCCACTTTGACTGACATGCACCATGTCAATTACTACGATACTTGTCTAGAAGAAGTTGCCAGGCTGGTGATAGGTTGAGCTCTTCTTTTAGGTTGATGCATGTATTTGTATGGCTCATTTTATAAATAGCCATAGCTTCTGACCATTTTGTGTGCTTAGGGGGGGTGTGGTTGTGATGATTTTAGCTTTTTTGAGCTCTGCCTATATGTCCTGGTCTATTGCATAAATACTTAGAGCTGTAGTGAGCCTTCTGTGTTGTAGATCAGCTTGGTGGTACATTAATCTGGTCTTTAATGAGCACTTAGTAGAACCAATATAGAAGAGTTCTTTTTGCCATCTGTTATCCACTAGAGGGATAGAATATACGCCGTACATTCTGTTGAGATATGGAGGATATTTCCCGTTTTTCAGGATGTCTGCTATGGTGGGGCCTCTTCTATAGATTATTGACAAGAGTATGTCTTGTTTATAAAATCGTACTGCATGGATAGAATAGTATTTGCATAAAGAAGTTTTTCCAAGTCATTTATTATTTTCTTAAGGTGCCAATTGTAAAACTGACAGATGCAAAGACCGATGTTAAAATTGACATTAGTTTTAACATGACTAATGGAGTCAGAAGTGCTAAATTAATAAAAGTAAGTAATTTACAATTTAGTGCATTTATTATATTGATATTCTTTTAATATATGTTCGAATATGTTTACTTTTGTTGTTTTAATATTAAGAATTGTTAAGTAATAATTTGATACAGGGAACTTGTTTGGAAAGGAGATATTCAAAATTAATGATGATCTGCAATATTTAGTTAAATATATTAATTGATTTAAATTGAGATGTAAGTGAATACATCTAATTTTGTTTTTATGCAGTATATGTGTTCCGAAAAAATTTGTGTAAAGAAAGATACCGTCCTTATGGAAAAATGGAAGCTTGATTCTAGACCTTAAAACCCAGTAAAAAATATATGTTAAACCAATTAATATCATAGGATCTGTTTAAAGGAAATATTTCAATTTTATTTAATTAATTGGAAGAGGGACAATTGTAACTTACTGGCAAAATTTAAAATATTTGTACTATTTGCAAAATTTTAATTTAATATTTTTATTTGACTTTTACAATTAAATAACAAAATACCTCCAGCTTTAACACCAAATATCGTATAAAAATTATCCCCTATTCACAGAAAATGAAAAAATGCAATTATATAAACGGATCGTCAGACTTTGGATTAAATTTTTTCCGATTGCTTCAATTGGCAGGATAAAGTCAGAATGATAGACCACCAATTACTGCTTGTTGTTTAAATGTCTTTGAGTCATGTTTGAATTCTGATGACTTGATGGACAAATCCCTTTGTCTCAAATTGTTAGTAGTCACATTCTACAGCTCATTCATGCATAGGCTTACCATACATCTTGGCTCAACTGGGATTGGCCCAGTTTTAAAATTTAAAGCCTGTCCTGAAGTTCTGGCCAGTTTGATGTTTTGTCCTAGTTCACCTTCTAAGAGTATATTGATTAGATTTCTTCATTGTCAACATTAATTATTCTACTGTACAGAAAATGTCAAACTGTCTTTGTGAGCTGGCCAGTATTTTTTAAAATAGCTGATCCAAGACACAAAGACTATTTCATAACTGCCAAAGAAGATACCTTTCTTTCCACACTGCATAATATTAAGATTCAAAACTGCTGATTGTTCTTCTAAATTAATATTAAAGTTTTTTGAACTGAAATTCAGCTTTTTCAGAAATGCAAGGTAATAATTTTAAATGTAATTACTCCAATGTCACTTAACAAATTGAATGAGGAATTAAACAAAATTAAAAAATAATATTGAAGAAAGACAAAAAACTTCACTTGTAACTATTTTAACTGATATGTAAAACATAGAAGAAAATATGATTGTGTGATATTTCATATCAAAAGGGGTAAAACATTAAACTTTCAATCAATTCCAAGCAAAACGTCAGAAATATTAATCATTGGTTTGTTGTTGGTTATCAAAAAGCATGACCTAATGAAAAAAATCATGAGATTCTGTGGCAATAATTGCAATACAAATTTCGGGTATAAAATGCAAAGGAGTGAAAAATGTATTTTTTTATTTAAAAAAAGAGAAACACTTACAATTAAAAATCGAACCTGTTACTGGCATGTGTCCTATAAAAAGTCGTCCCACAAATGTTTTCGAACTTTATGAAGTTCTTCAGGTGGAAATAGAATACTTGAGAAAAAATCGAACAGGAGATTTCAAATCGAAAAGTTCGCCGAATTCCACTTTGACTGACATGCACCATGTCAATTACTACGATACTTGTCTAGAAGAAGTTGCCAGGCTGGTGATAGGTTGAGCTCTTCTTTTAGGTTGATGCATGTATTTGTATGGCTCATTTTATAAATAGCCATAGCTTCTGACCATTTTGTGTGCTTAGGGGGGGTGTGGTTGTGATGATTTTAGCTTTTTTGAGCTCTGCCTATATGTCCTGGTCTATTGCATAAATACTTAGAGCTGTAGTGAGCCTTCTGTGTTGTAGATCAGCTTGGNAAAATTATACGTGTTTTGGAAATGTTGAGTGGAATTAGTCTAGAATCGGTTAATTTTATAGAAGAAAACCTTTCGAACAGCCTTAGTCCGTAAAGTTCCCACCTATCGGGCTGCGATTGGCTCACTCCTACAACGTAATTTTCGGTTAGCGTGGAACGTATCTAAGCGTTATAGGGGGGTCTACTGTAATTGCAATACAAATTTCGGGTATAAAATGCAAAGGAGTGAAAAATGTATTTTTTTATTTAAAAAAAGAGAAACACTTACAATTAAAAATCGAACCTGTTACTGGCATGTGTCCTATAAAAAGTCGTCCCACAAATGTTTTCGAACTTTATGAAGTTCTTCAGGTGGAAATAGAATACTTGAGAAAAAATCGAACAGGAGATTTCAAATCGAAAAGTTCGCCGAATTCCACTTTGACTGACATGCACCATGTCAATTACTACGATACTTGTCTAGAAGAAGTTGCCAGGCTGGTGATAGGTTGAGCTCTTCTTTTAGGTTGATGCATGTATTTGTATGGCTCATTTTATAAATAGCCATAGCTTCTGACCATTTTGTGTGCTTAGGGGGGGTGTGGTTGTGATGATTTTAGCTTTTTTGAGCTCTGCCTATATGTCCTGGTCTATTGCATAAATACTTAGAGCTGTAGTGAGCCTTCTGTGTTGTAGATCAGCTTGGTGGTACATTAATCTGGTCTTTAATGAGCACTTAGTAGAACCAATATAGAAGAGTTCTTTTTGCCATCTGTTATCCACTAGAGGGATAGAATATACGCCGTACATTCTGTTGAGATATGGAGGATATTTCCCGTTTTTCAGGATGTCTGCTATGGTGGGGCCTCTTCTATAGATTATTGACAAGAGTATGTCTTGTTTATAAAATCGTACTGCTTGATGTTCTTACCAGCATAGAGGTATGAAGGAGTACATGTCGAGAGTTGATATTTGGCACAGAGTATTACGTGTCCAAATCATATGCATATAAAAAAATCCAGACTCGTAGAGGACTGAGAATCGAGTCAAAATAAAATGCAAAATGGCGACCCTCATGTACAAACAGGCAAAACAGCCACCTCACCTCACTGAAGTTAGGTAGGGGATAGTACCACCCACAGTCATTCTAAGAAGTGAACTCTGACCTTAGGACTGAACACCTTGTTTCTTCTATGTTAAATAAAATCTGTAATCTAATTTTGTAAATTTGGGAGTGCTTCAAATATGATGTTAAAACAGTTTTATGTTGTTACAAGTGGGCTTTTTTTAACATTATCTAGTATAGTAAAATCGTAGGGCCAATAAAAATTTGACGTTATATTAGGATTGTCGTTACATCCGATGACATTATAATCAGTTAAACTGTATATTGTTTGTGCAAAATAAAAAAAATAATTTTGGATGATACAATAGCCACGATTATTTTTTTCAAAAATGGGAACTTTTCATTACGCATTGACAAAAATTCAACCCCAGACCAACACGCAACAGAGAGAAATTTTGAGATTAGATAGGTTAATTTCATCGAAGATGCATTGTGGACGATCTCGTGGTCGCGGCCGGTGAAGTTTGAATGATCGCGCCCAAAAGTAGTGATATCAAAGAAGATAGGAGAATGAGAACGAGGCCTGCCTTGAGCATCAAAGTGATTCCGTCTCTGAGACATAGTCTTGTCCCAAATATGGTTTTGCCATTTTACTTGTTTGTATTTGTTGTTTCTTGGCTATTTCTCCATATATTTCTTTAACATATGGGTTGAAGGTGACAGGGAGCCTTGTTTGTCTGTTCTGGTTGTTGGTATCCTTTGTCTGTGCTGTGGATGTGCCCTTTTGATGATGTTGCCTGGTTATACTTAAAAAAGTTGCAGCAGAGCATGGGTACCCTTTCTTAATACAAAGTATAACAAGGCAATATCATCAAAGGGGCACATCCATAGCACAGACAAAGGATACCAACAACCAGAACGGACAAACAAGGCTCCCTGTCACTTTCAACCCATATGTTAAAGAAATATATGGAGAAATAGCCAAGAAACAACAAATACAAATAATCTGTAGAAGAGGCCCCACCATAGCAGACATCCTAAAAAAACGGGAAAGACCCCTCCCAGATTTCTACAGAATGTATGCATATATTCTATCCCTCTAGTGGATAACAGATGGCAAAAAGAACTCTTCTATATTGGTTCTACTAAGCACTCATTAAAGACCAGATTAATGTAACACCAAGCTGATCTACAACACGGAAGGCTCACTACAGCCCTAAGTATTTATGCAACAGACCAGGACATAGAGGCAGAGCTCAAAAAAGCTAAAATCATCACAACCACACCCCCCCTAAGCACACAAAATGGTCAGAAGCTATGGCTATTTATAAAATGAGCCATACAAATACATGCATCAACCTAAAAGAAGAGCTCAACCTATCACCAGCCTGGCAACTTCTCCTAAACAAGTATCGTAGTAATTGACACGGCACACGTCAGTCGGAGCGGAATTCGACAAACTTTTCGATTTGAAATCTCCTGTTCGATTTTTTCTCAAGTATTCCATTTCCACCTGAAGAAAAACTTCATAAGATTTGAAAACATTTGTGGGATGATTTTTAATTGTAAGTGTAGAATACTCCAGTGTCAGTAAGGGGTTGAACAGTATTGCAAGAAAAGAGATTTGCAGATATATTGTGGGCATAAGTTGGGAACACACATTTTTCATAATTGTCTTCAAACTGTAGCTGATGTTTTACCTGTTGAAATTGGGGGGTCTTGTTATTAAAATACATAAATATTTTTATATTTATATCATTTGTGTAACTCAGTTGAATGAATTTTGGGATTCTGTAAATGTCAAGCACAAGAAAATTTACATGGCAACACTCGCTCTCTTTCATTGCTTCCAGCTGTTGAGAGAATTCTTCAAATCTATGATGGGCTAAAATCTTACTTTTTATCTCAAGCAAAGTCCAAAAGTTATACAAAACTTTTTTCAGCTATTTACAGCTAAATATATTTGTGATTTGTCCATGGCCAACTCGCTTTGTTCAGTAAAACAATTTTAACAATGAAAACAACAAAGGCAAGTGCAATAGATGTTGCTGTTGAAATGAAAAAATTAGAAAGTAATATTGAAGAAAGATTCATTAATAAGTTTATGCCACAAAGAGCGAAAAAATATTTACAGCCTTAGAAGAAAGTAATAAAATTAATATTTTCGTGATAATACAAGAATTTACAAATTTTTATGATCAATGTCTCTCTTACATTGATCTTTGGAACAAAGCATTTGATAGAGCCAAATGATTAGAATGGATTCAGGCTTTCAATGATATTGCATGGTCTGAAATTGAAACAACCAGGGAAAAAATAAATGAAGTATTTGGAAATGCTGTTATGAATTTAGATGTAATATTCAATGAGGTGGTAATGGCCAAAAACTTTTGGCCAGCAAACTGTGAAACATGGCAAGATTTATCTTGCAAAGAAAAATGGATCCAATTTTTTAAATATTTCAAGAATCAAAACATTTTGTTGGAAAATCTGACCCAAATTATGGAATATATTTTCTGCCAGCTGGTCACTTCTGCTCCTGTTGAACGAGCATTCTCGGTGATGAGTAATGTCTGGTCTCAGGAAAGATATAGAATGAGTAAACTTGGAAATTTAATTATATGTAAAGTGAATATGGAAATGAGCTGTTCAGATTTTATTGAAAAAAATTAAAAATGACAAGCTGTTACTGAAAAAGTTGATGATATTGATAAATATGATTGGTTTCACTCCTCAGCAAATAATTAAAAATGTTCCAATCTATGTTCTTTGTAATAATTTCAATTAATAAATTGAATTATTGTCTACTCCTTTTTATTTTCCAGGTTGTTATATATAACAGAGGGAAAGTATGGTGGTCGGTCAAAAAATTTACCCCCAAAGATTTTTACATTTTTGGGCTCAAGACTTCTTGAAACATTGAGAAATGCAAAAATATTTGGGGGTTTCAAATTTCAGGAACAGCCATACATACATATGGCTGTTTCTGAAATTTTCAGGAATGTTTGTTTATTAGGAGGATTGACACTATTAAATTTTAGGGATTACAGGTCGAGGACGTGGGAAGAGGATCGTGTGTCTCCAGTAGGTTCAGACTTAATGGCTATTTTACTGGTTATTATTAGCATTTACAATATTTTATAAAACCCATCTCTACTTTCAAAATTAAGCTTTATCCCATTTTATAATAGTTAAAAATATAAGTTTTTTAAAAATAAAATATGATAACAGATGGTGCTATCAAAATTTTAAATGTTGCCAGGAAAGTCGAGCAAGTTGTTGCTGGTTTATTTTGTCCCAGTTTGGAAAAAAATAAATATTGTAAGCCTATTCATGCAGAACTCTTATAGTTTTCTTTATTCCATGCATTCATCCATCTCATTCACTGTCTTCTTCATTTTCTACTTCCTACCATCTAGCAAAGCATGATTATTTTTCCATTTCCTTTGCAAATGTCACGTGGTCTGAATAGGTTAATTTTTTTTTATAGTCTAGATATTTTAAGCAGTTACTTTCAGATCCACATTTTAAATGAATCTACTTTCTTCATTTCATATTTCCTCTGGATCAACTTTTAAATTCATACAGTACAACAGGAGAAATCATTGCTTTCATCATCTTTCATAGATAAATCTATGTATTGTTCATGATCCTGTACAGTTTTTTCGTTGCTTTCCTGTCTAAGAGTAGTCTCTGATTCTTTTTCACACTGCCCATTTCTGTTTTCTCTGGAATCAAGAAAATAAAGTTACTCATTGCTTCAATTTCCTTTCCATCAACTGTAAATGCACTAAGCACCCCAGTTGATATTACTTTCATTTTACTGACATTTTATGTTAGAGCATCTCTATCAGTTTCCTGTTAAACTTTTCTAATAAACTCTCTCAGATGTTTTTTATTATCTTCAAGTAGTGTCTTAAGTTATTGCTATTATTTCTTCCTCCAGCCATTTTCATAATTCACTCATTTTATAAGTTAGAGATGTGATGATAATATACAGTCCTGTCCAACTCCCCTTCCTATTCCAAACTATTCTGTCTCTCCAAATTATGTTTTAACTATGGCTTCTTGTTCACTGTAAAGATTTTTCAATAGTTTAATTAGATGATGTCACACCTGTTATCTTCAGTATTATTTCATGAGAGTAATGTAATAGTAATTAATAAGAGTAATATTTGTTCAATGTGGTCTTTTGAAGGAATATTAATACAGTAGAACCTCGAAAACTCGGCCTAATGTGGACCGAAGGGTGGCCGAGTTTGTGAAAATGCCGGGTTATCGGGAATGGGGTTAAAAAAAATAAGTACGAGTGTTTCCTCAGAAAATACTGTACTGTACTTGTATGTATTGTTTACTTGAGAATATAACAGAGAATAAACTGTCCAAATACCCTTAAACAAAGGAAAAGTACATCCTTTATGAAGGCATGGAGCCTTTACTACATGAAAATGAAAATTAATGAATACACTGTGTACAGTAATTTACCTGATAAGACAGACCTCAGAAAAATACTTTATGAGAGCTTTTATACTTTTATAAAGCTGTCTATAATGAAAATTAATTAACTAAGGATTTTTTTGCCCTGCCAGGGTGTGGCCGAGTTATCCGGAGTGCCGGGTTATCGAGAGCCGAGTTTTTGAGGTTCTACTGTATAAGAAAGATATTAAATTAATAAAGCTAATTAAAATATGTATTGAGAAAAGATTGATGCCACTTAGTATCATTTTTTATAATCATTTATATTTAGATAAATTTGTGGAACATGTTTTTTTTTATTTATATGTTTTTAAGAAATAGTTGATTAATCAAGATAAACTATTTTTGTTTTAGGAATTTATTAAAAATTATCCTACATTACCAAAATTAGTGTTAGTTTTGAAACAATTTCTCTTGGAGAGAGATTTAAATGAAGTGTTCACTGGTGGAATAAGTTCCTATAGCCTTATTTTATTGACTATCAGCTTTCTTCAGGTATGTAAATATTTGAATTATTATTATTTTTTTAAATTTTGTGTATAATGACTTTTTGTTTTTATTATTGTGATACTTGAAGCCTGATTATCATAGTGCTTTGTTAAAAAATGTGTATTTGCATTTTATTTTAGATTGCTGAATAGTTAAAGTAGTGTATCAATCTTTAGCACAACAGTAGCTAATAAAATTTGACTTCATTTATTAGAATTATTAGAATTAGAATTGATTATTATTATTGTTAATTCATTACTTTTTATGTTCAAAATTTAAAATAATGTATGCATGTACTACCAAAAAATTAAATTGTGTTTTCAAACAGAAGATAAAATCACACTAAATCAATGTTAAAAACATATATTTAAGAAAATTACAATACTTTCAAAGACATACAATCTTCATCATCAGGCAAAAATTGAACACAAATTTTTAAACTTAAGAATAGAACATAATATACAACATTTCTTTTTAAAATTACATAAAGGCATTAGGTTTACTTAACAAATATTCATTAAAAATTAGAATAGTCTAATGCAGCGCTGTCCAACTTATCATAGCCCGTAGGCCATATTTTCTTCACCAAACATTTCGGGGGCCAAGAAGGTTGCTGCTGTATTCAGCCAGGTTAAGTGAAGTTATGCAAACTAAATAGTACCTACTTTAAATTCAAATTAGATTTAAATTTTCACATAGTAAAATAATTTTAATATTAATAATAATAATTTAGTAACATAAATTTATTCATAGTAAAATGTACTCGGGGGCCGTAAAAATTATTTGGCGGGCCGCCAGTTGGACAGCCCTGGTCTAATGAAAATAATGTGCATGTGAAATTATCAACAAAGATATAATTCTCCAAGTATAAAGACTTTTTGAACATCTACAGTGTGAATTGTTTAAATAATTTTATCTATAATTGAGAAATATCAACAGTAGGAGAATTAAATTACATGGTGAAAATGATGCAATATAAAGATTTTCCCATAAGAATAATGTTCTTTTGTCGTAACACCACCTCAGTAATCTAGTACGAGCCTAAAGTGACATGTAGCCATGCCCTAATACTCTTTTTTTGAAAGCTCAGTTGTATGTTTATTATTTGCAATATCCTCTTGGTGCTCTGCTACCCAAACTTGCAACATTCTACCTGTGTGTAAATTATTGTAGTTCTTGATAACAGGTTCTGCAACAGAATTGCATAATGTCATACAGTCATGCAAGGCCATGCAGACAAGATGTCTGTCCTCTCAGGCGTTAGTGACTGGGGGCAGCAGAGATCCTGCACAGCTTTCTGTATGGCTCTCCTGGACTCATTGATTACATATTTCCGTGACAGTCACGGGAATACAACCAGCACAGAACAATAAACCGCAGTCCTTGCGGGCTACAATTTTACCATAATTAAACTCTGACATGTGCTGGTAGGCATTCCTCCTCCTCACACGAGTCATAACAAAACCTTTACACAAGTAACCAACATACAAATGTGATTTCCATATAAGAAAACTGCTTTACCATCTTTCCTTTTATACAGACTGTAGGTGGCCTTACGCCTACCTGCTACATGAGCATGCATTGAAATGCTAATCATTTGCGTACCGAGCATGTACTTTTCATTCATATTTTGTGTTTGTTGTGTGCCACATTCATGGTGTAGCAATTTTAATGATCAACAGTGTATATACTAGAGTAGAATGTACTGTTTTTTAAGGGCTGTCCATTAATTACATTCACAGTTTTCTTGAAATTTTTACTCCCTCTCTCCCTCTTGTCCCAGTTTTCTCAAGTTTCTGTAATCCCCTCTCCTCAGAAGTCAACTCCTCTCCCCGTTAAAACTCTTATCATTTTGTGAATGATAGATACCAAAAGTAGAAATGAAACAAACAAGAAATTTTGAAATAAATGGACATCCACTGAAGCTCAACCCCCTGTTTGACTTGTCATAACACCCTCCCTCCTTTCCAGTGAAGATGTCATTTATGGACAGCCCCTTACATACATGTTTCTGATTATCATTACAATTAAAAAGAATTGCTACTGAAGGGCAATGGGTAATGTCATTCATTGTCTTCATGCACGCTCTAGGGCTGTATGCTTTCAGTAATCAAGCATTCTTACTCCTCTGTGCAAGGAGTTGCCAGTTTAGTGAAAGTCTAGTGCATATATATATATATATATATATGCATACATATATTGGCAGTTTTGTTTTCAATCTTTGATGGTCCACAAAACAAAGACAAGTATTAANTATATATATATATGTATTTGTTTGTTGAGAAAGAATTGCATTTATAAATAACAAAGAATTTTATAATAATGTAAGTAGCTATCTACCCACCTACTTCTTCATTCCATCCAGTTAGTAAAAGTTTTTGGGAAAGAACACTTACGTATTGTCAAATTCAACTGCTTTAACACTATTGTAATCTGGTTTGTTTGAATATATAATCTGTCTTCAAGTATGATTTCTGTTTTGTATAATAAGAAAAGAAGGAAAAAAATACTATAACTAATTTAATATAAAATTTTTGAATTAGCTTCATCCACAAAATTATGATGTGTCTGCCTCAAATGCCAATCTGGGTAAATTGTTGATAGAATTCTTTGAATTATACGGAAGATTATTTAACTATTTTAAGACCGGGATACGAATAAAGGATGGCGGGGCATACATTACCAAAGAAGAACTCCAGAGAGATATGATTGATGGTTACCAACCTTCATTTTTATGTATTGAAGATCCTTTGTTGCCAGGTAAGATGGTTTACTTCAAATTAAAATTTAAAAGAAAGAAATTAATAATGGCATAAATTTCATGAAAGTATATAATTTTTGAAAGTGTTTCTCATATACAATATTCTTTACTTATTGTAATCCTGAATATTGTTATCACTTGATTAATGATGTCAAAATTATCAAATTCCAAAAGATATGTAAGGGAAATTTTGTAAATTTGTTTGTTGTTGTCAGCATTCTATCTGTGCAAAGTCTCTGTAAATTGTAAAGTTGTAGTAACAGACTTTATTATAAAAAATCAAATTATGCACATTGCTTTCTCTTGCACCTTTTCATAGTATGATGTCATATTATCTCCCAGATGTCGATGTAAAGACAGCATTGTAAAATAAAATGTTTCAAGTTACGTTTTCATATTATATAAGCAGTTTTATTTTGTTGTTGATTTTTTAACTCTTTTCACCTTGTGGGCACTAAAGTGGGTTTTTTTTTTTTTTCCTCAAACCCATTATGGGTTTGGCCAGACACACAATGGGGCAGCCGGATGGTGAGGGACAGAGCCACATATCTGGTTGGCTCTTTCCCTGAAAAATTCCTTGGGAATTTTTTACCCATCCAGATTCGGATCTGGATTCCTTAGAGCAATAGGCTGCCACTTTGACCGCTCAGCCATTCGGCCCATTGTTTCTGGTTGAAAAATTATAATTATCACAGCAATGGCAATAATTTGTGATGTTTTTATTTGGTTTATTTAAGATATGAGGTAAATGGCAACTGACTGATAAATCGATAATTGAAATTAATTATCAAATTCATCATTGATGCAATCCTGATTATATTTATAATGTTAAACTACATATTTTTTTATAATTAAATTAATTTTTTTGTATATAATGATTTAGCAGATATTTTATTCAGTAAAAAAGAAAATTGAGCTGCATTTATTGTCTCTTTATTTTTCTTATTATTTTAGATTATTACTGATATTTATAAAATACTTAATGTAATTTCATTATTTTTGTTAGGCAATGATATCGGAAGGAGTTCATTTGGAGCCCTTAATGTAAAAAAAGCTTTTGAGTATGCATATCTTGTACTCAGTCGAGCGGTTCAACCACACAACAGTTTAATAGTAGACAGTAATGAGAGGTAACTTTTAATTATTTCTTAATTAAGCCAAATGTAAATAAATAATTAAAATATAAACAAATATAAATTTTTTTACAATAGCATTTTGGGACGCATTGTTCGTGTGACAGATGAAGTTGTTGACTATCGTCAGATGTGCATATTGGAATCCCAAGACATAATGTCAGTATACTCTTCAATTATCCAGTCTGAAAAAATAATTTATATTTTGTGTATTTACAAATTATAAGTGAAAAGTTAAAATATAACTTAAAATCTAATTTTATTTTTAGATCTATATCAAATGATAGAGCTACAACTAAAGATAATGATTCGCTCAGTTCCACTTCTTCTCTAGATAGTCAGTCAACATGTGTGAGCAGCACGGCATCTAGTTCAAATTCGAGTGTGACGAGCGATACGGTAAGTTTTGTTTCTCTTTTTTAAAGTGAAGTATTTAAAAGATTATGGTGAGATTTAGATGTAGTTTTATATAAGAGTACTGATACAAATAAGGGTACTGATGTAGTTTTTTCCTTGTAGGATTCTGATGCAGTTTCAGAAATGGCACAGAGAAATAGCACAAATACAAAATATCAGAAACAGCAACCGGATGTCAGACAGTGTAATTACAAGAATGAAAAAGACAACAGTGACAATAGATCAAGGGAACAAAAACATTATCCTACAATAAATAATTTCCATGCCGAGAGGACAATGCACAGAAACAACGTGGATGTTAATCACATGGCGGGAGTTCCTCCACCCACCATAGCCCTTGCAAATTTAGGTCAGGAGATTAATATCAACAATAACAATTGGACCAAACAACGGAAATATTCGATACCCAATTTTCCTAGTGTTCCACATCATTATCAGTATGCAACACCTCTGAACGGAGACAATAATTCATCACACTATCGTAACTTTGGCAAGAAAAAGAAATTACACGGTAGAAGAGATATTTCGCAGACATCCGGAGTGCAGACTCGACGGTAGTAGGAATTTCATTATCCGAAGTCTTCCAGTTGCCTTTTTTTGTCTGATAAATAGATCATCTCGTACGTGTAGTTTGTTCTTTGTCATTTCAGCCAAACATCTCATTCCAATATTTTTCAAGATGTGCTAACTCATCACGTAAAGTTAGGAATAACAAAAATTGGAAATAGAGAAGTAAAGTCACTGGCAAAGAACAGACGAGGTTCTATTTAGTGCCAACATTTCGTTTGTCAGGTATTCGAGGAAATGTATCCATTTAGTTAACTAGATTTCCACGGCAAGACGTGGATTATCGAAAACGGTGATATAGAATCGACACGGCTGTGATCATATCTATTGGAGGATATCGAAGCGGGGAGATTGCATTTTTACCTGTTAAGCTTGTTTAATATGTTTTTTTGTACATATTTCGAGAATGTGTACATTTGTAAATATATGTATATTGCATAATCATAGCAAATCACACCATAGTCTAGCTGCAAGAATGCACAAGAGTACAAATGAAAACTGTGTCGTCCCACGCACCTGTAAATGTTTGAAAGTGTACTTGTTTAACGAGAAGAAATTTTGAATGTACGAGTGAATGTAAATTTAAAATCGCATGTCTGATTTCAGACTTAATTTTAGTGCAAAATATTATATTAGGTTAAAAGTTCTGAATCCAAACTGTTGACAACTATACATTGCAAAACGAAAGGGCAGACAACCCGTTACCATTATTCGATCAGAGAATCGGATCTCCCGTTCGAAATACCTGTTTTATCTGTAAGATAAAAAGAGAAGTTAATTCTTTAAACCGTAATTTAACGACACGGGAAGAGGAGGCATCGCTCGAAGAAAACACTCACGTCTGCGTACGAGCACATTTCATTAGAAGACTCATTTTGATACGTAGATAGATAGCAGTGTACGTTGTCAAACCGACGGTGCTAAGAGAATACTAGTCATTTACGGAGTATCGGAGTTCGGGAACTCGCGCACCACCCGGAACCGAACCGTCGAAGAGAGGATCCAACAGTGTAATAATAATCAGCACTGCCAGAGTAGCCCAACGATCAAGCGTGATTGGAACTTGGGCCCAAATAAGACGTCTGCTGTTACTTGCATCAAAATACTTAATACATAATCATGATCATTGAAAAAAGAAGGAAAAAAAGCAAAAAAAAAGAATCATTTCATTCAACATTTCACCGTGAGAAGAATCATCTTGCTGCATTGTTTTCAGTATGAAGAAAATGTGCCTTGTGTTGTTGACATGAATTTGTCCGTATGAAAATTAACATTATAATGCTACTATATATATAAATATATATATATTTCAGTGCAAGTTTGTTCATATAACAATAAATCAGATTGCTCTTAAGGCATGACGAAAAATCTCATTATTACATCATGCGGTCTCAACAAAATTACTGTTAAAGAATACATCGTGCAGTCTCAAACGGATTACAACAAAACAACTAAAAAAAAAAAACAAAAAAAAAGGTGACATACACCAAAGCCTGCCATTTCTAAATCAGTTCTGTGTACCATGGTTATGAATACAGTCAATAAAGGTGTGCAGAACTGTCATTTGTCCTGTATTTTTTAATAACAAAAAAAAAGTTTAAAGATCTTTAATTATTCTGTATATTTAAGAATGGAACGACGACGTTGGTCGTGCCCAGCAGTATTCGATAACAGAGTTAAAAAAATAAAGAATATCTTTTAGAAATATCTTTTGTAAACAAATTAAATAAAAGTGTATCGAAAAGTCTGATTGTATATTTAAATGGAATGATTTTTAATTGAAATTTGGTTATTGAATGTCAAAATTTCTTTTAATCGGATCTCATATTGTTGAGTCAAAATTCTCTCTATTGTGCCATCTCGAATTTAAGTTAATAAAATGTCACTTGTAAATAAAAAAAATGCTTGGTTTTTCTTAGTTTTTAACATTTAATTCTTACCGAAATATCGAGAAATTTTGTAATTTTGTTTCCATCGTTCCACATAAAATACAATTTTGCTAATTGATATCGACATTTTTGAGTCGAAGTATCGATCTCGATTTATAAGTCGATATTTTTACATACGAGTTACATCTGCTGCGTATGCGAGTTTATATAAACGGCATCAGCCTTCCTTCTAATATATTAACTAAGTGGAACGTATTGTAGTAGGAAGATGATATGGAGGAATATTTGATTTTATTCTAGCGATGGTCTAAGAACTCTGAGAGGGATTCGAATAATCGAGTCATTGATTAGAAAATGGCGATGCTTTAGAATTTTTAATGTGATATACGCCTGTAATAGCGCTGCTGCAACTTCTACTCGATGCACGCCGATCTTAAGACGATTCACTTTCTTCCGTTTGTAACCATCGTAAGAAGTTTTCTGGAGACGTAATCAAGAAGATAAACTTTAATTGAATGTAAATTTGTTAGAATATAATTGTGTCGAGTGAATCGTATTCTTTCTACGCGCTTCCGAGCGTTAAACGAAGCACGAAGGAAAGATTGGTTATTGGAAATCGTCTTAAAGCGTGACGCCTCTCCCACAAATATAGCGTGGAAAAATAAAGATTCCGTTCCCCAAACGAATGCCCGGAAGGAGAAAAGGACGGCAGTAGTAAAAAGTCTATGATTGTGGAAGCGGGATCAGAAAATCGATAGCGAGTCTCGGCGACCGCGGTGGGAACGAAGGCTCGAGGGTATTTCGAGTAAGAAGTAACCAAATCTGCCATCTTTGTTCACGTAGCGGTTTGAATTTTCTACGAAATCGTACAAAAACAATTTGTGTAATTTTTAATTTGACATAATATATTATATTTTTCTGCTTGTAGAGATTCGTCCACACGAGTTTCCGAATTTGTCCGATAGGTGGTGCCGCATCGATGTTGTAGGACGAAGTTTTTGTTATGGTCACGGGGTGGGTGTTTACGATGACGTTCCCATCTTAAGATCTAGTGTTGCGTTGGACGTTGGACCGCGATAAATCGGATGTGTATATTGCACCCGATGTTTTCTGCGGTAGAATCGACCGGGACGAGGTAAGTCGAGACGATAATTCGTCGGTGTAGTCGAACAACTAACCACGTTGGAATCGAAGTGGTAAGAGCCAACGATCGGTGGCAGGGATGATCGAAAGGCCCCGTAAGAGCCACGCGATGCGTATCAGAAAGAAAAGCGCTGCATTCTCCATTGAAACTGTATATAAGTCGTATATAATACCCCCGTTTACGGTAAATATTACTGTTATGTTAGCTTGAGAATGTCTACATTAAGTTAGTTACGCTGTATAAGAAACTGCACCGAGTTTTAAAAACTTTGTTTCGATGTGTGGGAGCCGCAGTCTGGCCCACGTGGATCCGTGTCGAAGATATGCCGTTTTTAGGCTTGCCGGATTTTCGTGGTGTCGAACCCGGACCGTTGACGGAAGCACCCTGTGCTTTTTCCGTTAGGATTTGATGTGCCCGAATTTCTGATTCTTTGGCAAACTTTTTTCCCGACTCCGGCGATTCGTTTTGGTCGTTTCGTCTCTGGACCGCTCCGTGCCTCTGCCTTGTCCGGCCGTGGCCGCCTCGGTCTTTCCCTTCTTTTCTTTCCTGCTATTTTTCCTTTTGGGTGAGGTCGAAGAATGCAATACTTTGTGTTTCTTGCTAGATGTGCCGTGTTTCCTCCTTCGGCAATGTCGATTAGCTTTCTATTTCTTCGTCTCTTCCAAAACTTCTTCATTTCTCGTTTTTGCCATTTGTGGGTTATGTAGTATTTGTTTGTATTGTGCATCCTCGTCTCTAATGCTTTGAATTGTTTAATCATTGTTTTCTTTAATGTAAGAGTTTCTACTCTGTATAAAGGCATGGACTGTACGTAATGTTTTGTCATTTGGAGCTCAATTTTTGGAGTCCAGATGGCAGTTGCGGAGCAAAGTTTTTGTTTTTGTAAAATTTTGTCGGGCAGTTTCGATTCTATTTCATTTTGTCGTCGACCCGTTTGTTAATCTGGCATCCGAGTATTTAAACTGTTCTATTCTTTCGATGTCTAATTTATCTAATTAGTTTAGACTAAGTAATCTTGTTGCTGCCTATTGCCCTATATTTGATTTTGTTTATATGCTCATACTCTCACCTTCTTTTTGTATTAAATGTAAGAGTAGCTGAAGTTGTTTAAACTATTTGCAATTAATTAACTGTATTTCCAATTAATTTAGGTAAATGTTTGGTACCTTTTTCGTAACTGGGACAAAATTACGGATTGGCCGGGATGTTCGGATGACGTTCCGAAACTGGGAATCTGGCAAAAGTATTTTCCTTGTGGGACGAGCACAGTATACTTGGTTACTGTATATAATAAATGTTATTCTACATATGCACAGTTTTTGTTATATATCGAGTGTGCCTATATTCATTTATAACAACTGTAGTTATTTTATGATGCGTATGTTGTTTCAACAAATTTTGGCAGTTTTATGCTCTGTCTTACCAACAGTTCTTGTCTGTCTGTAAGCCATAAAACCTCCCGGCAAAGCTCTGGTGGAAGGTGTTCACTTCGTCATTTAAGGAACTATTCTGTCATTATGAATTTGTTTATTGTTTGAAAGTTTTATAAATTATTAATTTGTGTGAGTTTAATAAAAAAAATTATTATTTCAGGTGCAGGTTAATCATTAATTATTGAGTTCGTTACATTTTGGTAAAGCCAGAAATGGGTAGAAGTAGGAAAGACTCTTTTAATCAGTTGCCCGTAGACCAATATAGAAAACAAATTGGTACTTATCTTTGTTTAACTAATTAAATTTGCAAATAATAAATGTTGCTATATATGTCATTTTTAACAGTGTAATATTTATAACTGGTGAAGTCTTATTAAGAATTAAAATTAAGTTCAATTACTTTTTATTATTTTATGCTTAATAATACTGTACTTTTAATGATGTACGGATGGGTTTAATGACGAAGTCCGGCCTTAAGGTACTCGTATGTATGGGTGAAAATAAAGCTAACTCGTGAACTCAAATATACTAGCGGCCAGCAGAGTTTTTTGTAAAATGCCGAAAATTTATTGTGCTGTGAAATTACATACTTGTTAATTGATGAAAAATAAAAAAACTTTACATTTTTATGTTTCCTAGTAATAAAAACAGACAAAATAAATAGATTAATTTAAAAAAAGATGATTTAAAGTTGCTGCCACAAAATATATGTATAATGAACACTATTTTGGATAATTTAAGCCATAATAATTATAAAAAATTATTAGAATTGTAAATAATCTCTTTTCTACATCTCTCTGTAAACATGACAATTAAGGATTTCTGCATTAATCTGTCATTTGGTAGAAATTAATATGGAATCAAAATGTGCTCGTCGCTATTTGAAGTTGTGTCGGTTTTGTTTTCACCCATACTTCCTGATACCTTAAGATTCGATGTCTTTGTTGAGTGTATCTATATATATATGTATTAAAGAATGCATTGTTTAGTGCATAGATTGTAGTGTTATATAATATAAATAACAATTGTTGACTTTACAGGAAAACAAGACAGTAGAAAATCTAAAAGTTCCTTAAAAGAAAGTAGAGAAAAAGCCTTAATAAAGAAAGGGTTTGGTGAAACATATAAAGTAAGTTTATTATTATAAAAACTCATTAAAGCAAAATCCTAATACATAGTGTTAGATGCAAGACAATAGGTTCGATTTTCAAAAATAAACTTTTTTACAATACTTTCCTCACGAAAACTCTGAAGTTATTTTTGAAAATCGTCATTATATTTGCATTTTTTATGAACAAAATCGAATAATTGTCTATTTAATAAATGTTTTGAAATTATAATTGTTTCTTTGGCTTTGAAACTTTCCAAGAGATTTGATTTTTGGAATTGTGTTTAGTTGTCCATGCTTGTCTTTGATAGTTGATTGAATAGGGATAAACCAAGGAGTCCAATTTATTCCTATTCATCTAGGTTTGTTTGCAATTCTTTTGTCAGTCAACCTTGTGACAAATAAGGATGGTGATAGTTTTTTGTTCTATAGCAGCGCTGTCCAACTTATCGTAGCCCGCGGGCCATATTTTCTTCACCAAACATTTCGGGGGCCAAGAAGGTTGATAAACCACATGACATTTGCATAGTGCTATCGTAGCACTATGCAAATGTCATGTGGGTTCAGTAAGCACTAATTGGTCAGCGAGTCCGATGTTGATGCTATAAAAAGGCGACAGTTCGACACACCGGATATACGTCACTCTCTCTAAATTCGACTTGGGAATTTTTTTGTTCAATAATAAATGTGAATTCTTCTTCCTGGAAAAAATAAGACCTAGTGCATTTTTCAGAGCAAAAATTAATATAAGACACTGTCTTATTTTCGGGGAAACACGGTAGTAAAATATTTTNAAAAAATGAGTCTTTGCGTATAGAAATCATCTTTTTACAAGTCCTACCTGTTGAGCATTGCCAAACTAACTTGTCTGTTCTGTCCATTTCTTCTAATCACATCACATTTACTCCTACACAACGTTTGTTTTCTCAAATGCGACGTTTTTTTTTTTTATTAGACCATTGTCCATTGCCCACTGAATGGTTTCTGTTATTTTGAATGGTTTCTTACAAGAAAATGGTCTTGCATACGAAATTCTCTAAGATCCAGAAACACTCGATTTGAAACAGCCATGGTTTTACAAAACACAGAAGTTAGTGACTGGATCTGACAAAATCGGCAAGGAATCAATGGAATGAATCAGCTATTGCTTATTGTAAAATGAAATGGCTCCATAGGAACCCTTTCGACCATCTTCAGGACAGCTTTTTTAAGAATTTAAAAAATGCTGATGCACATTTATTAAGGCGATTATCGCAACTATTGTAAAATGCTTCAATTCTGTGTGAAATAAAGTACTGAACTTCTGATATGAGAGTTAAAAAGGAGGTCGAAAAAGAAATGGATAAAGATTCAAACTTTGATTTGTTTTTACGTATTTTATATTTGTTTCATTTAGAAAAGAACAAAGAAAAGTCCCATATCAGAATGGCAGTTTCTTTCATAGAGAAGACAGTTCCAATCCACAATTGTGTGGGCAGAAGAAATCATTAGTGCAACTGTCCCAACCACTGTTGGGACAGTTGCACTAATGATTATTGTACCCGTAAGCACCGTTTAAATTTGGCTCACGTTGTAATAGAGGTAATCCGGAAATGGACTTCGTGGAATTATCTTATTTAAGAGTTCTTCCGTGAATTGGTAAACTGTAATTATAATAAATTGTTTGATTCATTCCGTATTGTTTTTTATTTTATTTGTGTGTTGTATTAGACATTATCGTCCATTACGAAGGGAAAATACATTAGTATGAACATTATTATTAGTATACAAATCATAGTACACTGGAGGAAATTGAAAGTGTTACGCCCAGATGGAATTGGTGGAAATTCACGAAACTTGGTAAACATGTACAGGGACATATTCAGAAGAAATGAACACGAAATGAATTAAGCAACGTTTTATTGCTGTTTGGTACATGTTTCAGTAAGTGGTATGTCCACCTTGAGCATGGATACAATCTTGAATCCTTGCAGGCATTGGATCAATAAGTGCTTGAATGTCTTGTCTTGTTGGAGTACGTCTCTCCATGCCTGCACAACTTGTAGTCAGTTGTTGTACAGTTCGCGCTAGATAGCTATGAGATGTAATCATCTACCCATGGCATTCCAGACATGCTTTATAGGGGATAAATCTGGAGACCAGGTTGGCCAATCCATGATTGCAACACTTTGCAAGGCTTGTCTTGTGATGGCAGCAGCATGAGGACGGGCATTATCTTGTTGGAAGATACCATTTTGGATGGTGTTCATGAAATGTATGACTACTGGATGGATCACCCTGTCCACATAGTGGCGGACGGTCATTGTGCCTTCAACAACCACCAACTCGGTCCTGCTCTCGTAACTGATTGCCTCCCAAACCATGACACCAGGAGTTGGACCTGAGTAACACTCTGAAATTACAGCAGGGTGGACTCTTTCTCCAACACGCCGGCGGACATGTTGCTGACTTTCATGTTGGCCTAAACAGAATCGGGATTCATCACTAAACACAACTGTACACCATTCGTGTGTCCAATTACGTCTAGCGGCACACCACGTTAGCTATTGTTGGCGATGAAAGTCATGTTCCCTAACAGTTCACAACTTATAAACTAAACACTATAGCAATTTTGCATAACAAATGTCTCCATAATTTCCATACCACTGTATGTACTTCACTTAATTTTTTATCATTCAATACCCTTCAAAAAAAGATTCTTTTGCCCCAATTTCATATATCTTCGACTATACTGAGTGGGTGTAACAGTTTCAATTTCCGCCAGTGTATAACAAATTTTACAATACTATATACAAAATTATGATTATACTAACAGATGAGTCCGGCGTTGCTCAGGCAAGTAAGTTACTTCTCATTATAATGGAGAATTAACCCTATTTGAATAAAATGAGAATTAAAAAGATTAAAAAAGCATTAATATGAGTGCTTTTTTAACGGTTTTTTAATGATCGAAATTCTTTAAATCTTTGTGATGTCGAAATCAAATGCTGTGTTATCGAAATGCAAATAGAATTAAGGAGTGACTCGAAAAGTTTGTTATCCATATAAATAAAAATGTAAATGTTCGTTTGTTCAAAATTTTAAATCTCCGAAAGTTCTTAACCGATTGCTTTGAAGTTTTGACACAACGTTGCAATCGAATACGCGCGTTTTTATATTGTACTAGCTGTACCCGGCCACGCGTTGCTGTGGCTCAAAATGTATCTATTATAAATGTATAACACTACCCGCGGGAGAGAATTTCGGAAAAAATTTTTATTAATGTCTATTTATTTATCTTAGTGTCACATTTATCACTTCTTAATGTACACGTAATTCCCCCCGCGGGGGAGAGGAACAAAATTAAGGCTTACCGTGAAGAACTCGGCTTTTATTACAATGAGATTTTTTGCGTTTTTGATTGTATAAATACGAGTATAAATAATATAAATATTTTATATTATTTATACTAGTACGATTTCAAAACTATTATCTGTAATAATTTGACTCTGACTTAACGGATATTTCGATATTATTGACGATAAAAGTTTAAAATCATCGATTTCCCCTTCCATTTCTTTTTTTTCTTTTTAACTGTTTCCGCCCTGTGGGCACTAAGTGGGCCTCTTTATGCAAGTCCATTATGGGTTCGGCCAGGTCCACAATGGGGCTGCCGGGTGGTGAGGGACGGGGTCCAACATATCCGAACGGACCACCCCCCGAAAAATTCCTGGGTTTTTTTCGACCCGTTCGGATTCGAGCCCGGGTCCCCCAGAGCGGTAGGCTGCCACCTTGACCACTCTGCCATCCGGCCGCTTACCCGTCCATTATTTTTATTTGACGGAGTCGAATTGTTAGGACCACGTGGCGTGAAAATTTTTGTCAAGGTCCTAGTAGCGCTAATTCGTGTGGGATTACCTTACAATACAGTATCGGGCTACAGACAAAATAATTCGAAAAATTAATTTTAATTCCGTACATTACATAGGTTACGATGATACACTACCGGATGAACGTAAGATCGATACTGTAACGAGAGTGTAATGACGTCACTCCGAGAAGTATACGATTGCACGTGGATTAACTAGGGAGAAGGATAGTGTATTTTGATAAATAGGAAAAATCTCCGGGTGAAATGCGAGTAGAGAAGTGTTACTTCTGTTCTTCTCCTATGTATCCCGGACACGGGATACAATTCGTACGAAACGATTGTAAGGTAAGTCGTTTATTCCAGTCGGATTAGGTCGAAAGGTGGAAATGTTCCTACGATTTTCGGAAATATTACGAAAACTTCATTTAATCCGATTATATTTATGTTTATGTTTCTCGTAGTCGCTTCTTTTATTCTAAGTCGATGTACAGTATTATAAATTATCGGATTTCTTACGTCGCGACGTATTGTTTCTCACCGGCTCTCGCCGCCATATTGTTTTTCCAAGTTTTCTGTTCGAGTAGGTTACCTACCGGTACGAAACATAGGTGGCGCGAGAAGTCTGAAATATTGAAATTTTAATGTAAAATTAATCGTATTTATAAATAATCGTTGGTAAAAGTTATACAGTCGATCCCCCTATAACACTGTTGATTTTTCCGTTTTATATGAATTTCATGTTGTACGAGTCACTTAGATTTTATAAATACGTGAGCTGTTCACAGCCCGACACACGTATTTGTAAAATCTAAGCGACTCGTACAACATGGAATTCATATAAAACGGAATTATCAACAGTGTTATAGGGGGGTCGACTGGTGGTTGTATTATTAGTGGGCGAGTGGTCTCCGTTGCCACTCATAGCAGTGACCAGACCCTAAACACTGGGAAGTTCGGTCGTGGGTTCGCGCCACGATCGGACAGGCTGGCTGCTTGGAGTTTTCCGGGTTTTCTCCTTTCCAATAACGACTGAATAGGAGGCCAGTTCCCCATAAAAGTCCTCCCGGAAGGCATTATTTCCCGCGCGCGCATATAGGCCATTCGGATACGGCTGGCTAATCGGTCGCATAGCGATCATAAACACGTCTAGTTGGAGAAAGAGCCTATATAGAGCTAAAATCTCCATATAAACAACACCTGAGAAGAAGAAGAAGTTATATTATTATTATTATTATTAAAACTTTTACTGAAGCAGCGTATACGTGCTAACGGAGAAGAGTGTCGCTTGATGCGAAAGCGTTGAAATGGCGACGACGAGCAAGAGAAAAGGCGTGCGATGTGGCCGTGATTTGTTCTATGCTTCCTAGTTATTGAATTTGGAAGATCCCTAGAAATCAAAAATGGTGGGAAGAGTGTGTTCCTACAATGGACGAAGTAAGTTAGCGTGAAAACTTTAGAGTTTTAAAGAAACGTTTAATTTCTTATGTGCTGCATTACCTGAAATGAAAAGAAATAATACTCGCTTGAGACGATGTATTTCTACAGATACAAGAGCAGCGATTGCTCTTTGTACGTTGGCATTGTTGTCTGAATATAGGACTATTTCGCATCTGTTAGATGTAGGAAAATCTATTGTTTGTAAATTTGTTAGACTTTTGTAATGCGGTTATAAATAATTTAATGTCTACCACTATTCAGTTTCCGCAGACTAGAAATGAAATTGAATTAAAAATTCGTGATTTTTACGATATTTGGAATTTTCCACGATGCTTCGGATCAATTGATGGAACACACATTCCTATTTCACCATCAAAAAAAAATACTGCATTGACTATTATAATTATAAAGGATGGTATTCTGTGGTCCTCCTTGTTGTTTCGGATGCCAAATATATGTTTACGCTAGCTGTTAACCGTGAATTTGCCCGCACAGATTTTGCAAGCAAACCCCATTTATGTTCAGTATTTCGACAACCATAGTAATTGTTATATAACACCTACCGCCGAGAATGATGAGAATTGCCGAGAATCAAACGAACTGTTTTCAGTTTGATCAATTTTCTGGAACGTTTACAATCATTCTATAATCGAATCAATATGCAATAACAAATTCAAATTTAAAACGGTTCGAACATATGGTTAAAAAATCAAAATATATAAAAATATTTATAACAATGTCTGAAATGTTATCAATTTAATGAAAACTAAACGTAGTTGAAAACAAAAAATTGCATCTAAAATAGTACAGTCGAAGCCGTTCTTCGGGTTAAGCCTTAATCCTTTCCCTCTCCCCCGTGTGGGAATTTCAAAAAATCCCTTCTTAGTGTGCATTTCCATGAGGAACCCTCACCCTAACTGTGTACCAAATTTCACCTCTAGGTTCAGCGGTTTGCTCAGGGCAATGTTGAATCAATCACTGTCAGTCAGTCAGGACAAGTAATTTTATATATTTAGATATATAAATGTAGGATCGCCTGAAAGAAATAATGATGTACATATTTAAAAAAATTCTCACTCTCTTTTAACATGCTTACAAAATATAACTCTTAGAATTAGGGGAAAGATTTGATGGAGTTGTGCCACCTTTAATTATTGGTGACTCTGCTTTTCCTTTACAGCCAACTTTAATGAAACCGTTTCCAAATAAAACAGAGAATGAAATAGAAAAAACATTGAATTTTAGATTATCTAGAGCTCGACGAGTAGTGGAAAATGCCTTTGGAAGATTTAAAACAAGATTTCGAAGACTTTCCAAACGAATGGATAATAGGATTGATATATCAAAACAAATTATTAAAACTTGTTGTATAATATATAATTTGTGTGAAAAGAGAAATGATCCAGTAGAGAAAACGGCTTAATGAAATAAATCAGCCTGATAGTTCATCAGAGAGAATTTGTGTCATAGGGATAAACAACAAAAAAGCTATTTCAATTAGAAATGCTATTGCAAGAAGTTTTAAGGATGAAGATTAAGATTATAAGGGATTTAAATTAAGTTCTCAAAACAACGTTTACTACAGGACAATACTCAGAAGTTAACTAGTATATAGTTGTAGTTTAAATTCTGACATTGCTAATATTAAATAATGTAAAAAAATTATTCTTTTTTAAACAAGTTGTTGAAAATCAGGAGATGAGAGTATATAAATTTTATAACAAACATTAAGTTGAAATAAATTAGTTCAACTGAAAATTTGTCAAGTGTTTGTATTTTTATTTTATTTTATTTTTTATTTCTCAAAAGACACTGTGGCCAGGTTGGCCTTTTTCAAGCATCTTACAGTAAAACAACAAAACCAACACAAAACAAAACAAAAACAGGACGCGAACTGAGAAAGAAAATTAATTAACAACAAATATCATTGCATCTTAAGTTTTTTCCGTTTTTTTAGATTTTTTCTGAAGATTTCATAACTTGATATGTTATGCAAATCGTTGCACAGACTATTCCAATAGAAGATTAATTGAAAGATCGGTGCAGATTTCCCCACCTCTAGTTTAACAGTTGGGAGACTAAATTCATGATTTAAACGAGTATCTCGCGTTGATCTGAGACATTCACCTATACCAATTCCGAGAAAGCCGTTTTTGTTTTTCCTTTTATGTATTTGAAGCTTTCCAATAGAATCTGTTTCTTGTAAATTTCATTAATCTTGTCAATATTATCGGTTAATTATTATTATTTTTGAAATTGTAAGTTTCTTGTGCTGGAAATTTTACAATTCTGTTTTATTATCTATATTTTTGTTGTTAAATTATTAGTGTAATGATCTTTAAATTTAAAATTATCAAAAATTGGTGTAAAGTAATTTGAATATACAAATGAAATCATTCTCATTTCTCTTAAATTCCTAACAATTCTGAAAAGTAGTAAAATGTTGATTATTTATACTTTTGAGATGCACTGTATGGCAATTCTCTGATGGCAATCAGGCAGATTTAATGGTGAGTGCAGAGGGTCCCATAAAATCCCAACTTAATACTTTTTTCTAATGACACCAAGTTTGGTTTCATATGTGCAATGGAGAATTTATATATTTTCTTACCCTACAATTATACATACATGTTTACAATTGGTGATAAAATTTGAATATAATATATGATGTATTCAAAATTTTATTGAAAATATAACATTAATAGTACATAATATTTTCTATTTATTTAAAAATATGGTTATGTATTTTATTTTCCCTACCCCTCTCTCTTTTTAAAGAAGCCCAATATTTTCTTCTGCACCTGTGGCCTCAACCTTAATACACCTCCGATGGCAATTACCTATCTTGACAATAAGACCTAACTGTTGTATTGAAATAGGACAGAAGTGATAGCTTGATTATTTGTTTTTGCTTTGAAATTACTTGAAAACTAACTGAACCTTGTTATTGATCAAAAATGATGATTGACAAATCTAAACTTGCATTTGTTTTGTCGTAGAGAACTATTGTCTACGTACAAAGTCTTATATTGAATGGCCCATTTAGCATTGATCATTCCACTTCAATGTGTTTTAAGTCAAACTTGTTTTGTGATTTATTTTTGAAATTGCAGACATTATGAACCATTGTGGTTTATTGGATGTTTTTACATTTTCTTTTGCATCTGGCTGCCATAACAATTAACTGTAATCTGGTCTACTTTTTATTTGTCTGTCCCAGAATTACTTTACTTAAAGGATCAAAGTCTAAACTCTTCTTTTTAAGACAATCATGTAAATTAGCGTTATTATTTGAGAGATAATCAAATACAATAATAAAATTTGTATCTTTATCTTTAGTAAACTATTTGATTTAAAGACTGTCATGTATTAGTTAATGATTTGTTTTTGTTTCATTCGTTTGCAAAAAGAAAGTTTAGAAATTTTTCTTCAGATTTTCAGATTCTGCAGGTCAAAATGTCACAAACTTTTCAAGAGGAAGCGGAACCCGCGCAAGACCAGGTGGACAAAAGCCTTCAGGAAGGCCGCTGGCAAGGAACTGACCGTCGATCCGGCCTTCGAATTCGAGAAGAGAAGAAACATTCCGACAAAATATAATAGAGAACTCTGGCAGACCACACGTAAGTTATTTATCTCTAAACTAGTGGTTATAAATAGTTCTTAAAGTAATAAGAAAAATGTGCCTTTTCAGTGAAGACGATGAAAAGAATCGAAGAAATTAAAGAGAGAAGAGAAGGACAATTTATATTGAACAGGTTTGATTATATAAATGTTCACGTGTATACATATAAATCCTGCAGGAGGGGTGGTCATATGCAGATAGCTGCATCTTTCTTCTTCCTGTCAATTTTCTTTCTATACTGTCTTTGAGTTAAATTCTCTTTTGTGTATGTCCTGCTCATTCTTTTTGGTTTCTTTTCCATTAGGCTCGAGAAGAAAATGTCTCTAAACTCTTATATTCTACAATGGTTTTCACATGCCATCTTGCTCTACAGTATTCAAATGTTTGGATAATTAACATGCTTAGGGAATATATTTTATTTTAACTTCAATATTAATTCATAACAGCAAGCCTTTAAGATGAAATCTTGTATGCAGTTACACCCTGAATTTTCCTAGGCAAAAACTAAAGTATAATTTGTTAAGGCAAATGCTTTCTGTAATTATTTTAATAAGTTCTAACAGAATTTTATGTTAAATGAGTTTAACATAATTCCGCAGAAATTATATAGGGATGTCTTAGTGTTGCAAATTACACTAATTCTAAAAAGTAAAAGAAGTTTTTTGTTTTACAATTATTTTTACCAAATAAGACCAGGGTATGGAGGATTTTGACTACTTAGCAGGTTCACTGTAATTTATCATTTCTCAAACACACAGGAAAATGATAGATTCTGAGCCCTTAAAGTATCAAAAATAAAGCACTAAACTCATTTAGTATTTAATGTTTTTAAAGCATGTTTCAACTAAACAAAGCAAAAAATAATAATCAAACATTCTTACTACACCTGATATGTTTAAACCTATACATCATGGGTATAGGTTTAAATGTATCAGGTGGTTGAGTGTCTTGGGAGTTTGCACGTTGTGGGCATTGAATGCGTCCCCAGCCAGCATTGTAATAACCATCAATGGTTATATTGTTAGCTTATTATAAGCTGGAAGAGGAGATCGGACCGAAGGTCTGGTAGCGTAATTGGCAACACATCTGCACGGTAAGCAGGATTTGTGGGTTCCAGTCCTGCTTCAGGCCAATTCTTCCAGTAAATCTAAAATTATTATTTAAATTTAATTAAATTATAATCGTTAAATGTATCAAGAGATGGTGCCTAACACCTAACTCTATTGCCAAATTGTCTATTAAATTATTAGTATTATAGCCATTTCTAGCTCGATAATATTCAGCTTTGGTTGATGTATAGGTCAAAAAATAATATTTAATTTTAAGTGTTAAACAAAAATTTAGATGCTAAAATATTAAAAACGTTAAATCTGGTAACTTGCTGATGCTTACCAAATGCATGTAACAGTTGTGGTAGAATTAAGAGATTTGTAAAGTATTATGTATTTTAAGAAAACAGTAAAAAAAAAATGTATTCTTAAATAGATATTTGTTGCAGTAGAGGGTATCATTCATTTGGGAGAAGTTTTATGTTAATTCCTTACACGATTCATATTAGTTTAAATAATGTTCTTTTCTCATTGTATTAAAGCAGTTAAATTCTTGTTTCAAAATCAGATTGCAGAAAGGAAAGGCTCTGGCAAAAGAGAAAGATCTGAAGATAATTCAGAGAGACATGGCTTTGATTAAATCACCAGCGGCAGGTGAGTATATAAATCTTTTTAATTTTTCGCAATTATTTAGTTACATTCGGCTCACTCCATTTTCTTCTCAGCTACGGTCGCGGTCGCGCAGATGGAAGTGGTGGAAGAAAGAAAGGAAACTCAGATGGAAGAAAACTGACTTGTATAATAGAAACAAAAATAAAAATAAATATCTTAGATTTTAGGATTTTATTTACATTCTAAATATTTTAAACATTCTGGTAAAATTTCCAGTTTTTCACAAATCCATAAAAAATGGGATGGAGGTGGTGCAGTGACGACCAGATCTTTTCCCGAATCGTATCCTTGGAGAAAGATTGAATTTAGATGGAGCATGACGGGTATTGCCTCATTACTCGTACCGCAGGGAAGGTAAAGTTTCTGACAGATGTTGTCGGGTAAACTCTACTTAAAAAAAAAAAAAGTAGATGTACAATACAATGGGACTAATATCGGTTTGGATTTATGTTTACCTTGGCGCCGTATGTCGTGCTTGTTTCGACAGATTTACCGAGTACCATACCAACTCGTCTTCCAAAAAACACATCTCCGAGTACATAAGAACCTCTCGTCGTCATGTATACTTTCAAAAAATGTGATTTTACTAAAATTGGAAAAAAAAGTTATATAGCTATAAATTTAATTTTTATAACTATTAATGATCAAATTACATATTTAGTTAATAAATATTTATAATTTCAAATGCCAGCCCAATAATCCCACCTTATTCCGATTTAATTCATAGATATTATGTATTACATGACTAAAATGGACTTGGTTGTTTATGTTTCAATCAGGTACATGTAAATCTCATTTATTGGCAAGTTGTTCTTATTATTGTGAGAATCCATCTACATTTGCCAATTAAACTGTATAGAATTTTCATAATCTATGAGAGACTTCTATGTTTTTGATTACTGCAGATATTTAATACTTAAATCTTCCAAAACTGGGTTTAAAAACAACAAAAGCTGGCAAATTTGCAAACAATGGTTTATAAAATACAGTAGAACCCCAATTATCCGAGGCAAACATCTAAGTGAACATGTCACTTATTTTATGAATTATAAGCAAATTTAAAATGGTAAAAGATAATTTTGTGCCAGTATGTTATCTGTTACTAGTTTAAAAGTGATATACCATAGAAATCTCTTATATTTGTAATTCTTAATCCAAAATGGCTATGGCCATAAGTTTTATTCAAGTTTTCAGTTATCTGAACTACCTTGGACAATCGGGGTTCTACCATACCGTTAAAACATAAAGTAATGGAATGATGACTTCAAAAGATTATTAATTATTATTCCATTATTCCAGTTTGGATAAACTTTGACATTTTCATACATGTAAATCTCTTATTGATACATTTCTATGCCATTTTGAAAAGGAGTCATAGTTGATCAAAAATAAAGTTTTAATAATTTGTCTCCAATTTTAACAAAAGCATAAAAGTCCTTCGAAATGGCCACCTTTTTATTTCTTCATGCTCTAGAATAATTGACGTAGGAAACACGTGTTTTGTATGTCAATTCATCAAATACGGCTACCAAAGGGATGCGATTCGCTCTAGAAAAAACCATACAATAACCCGGCCCTTTCAGGCTACTCAGTTGTGGAATGTTTAAAAATTTCCTTAAAAACACTTTCCAAAACCAGAAGGAAACAAAATGACACCTATTGTCCCATCCACACTGCATGACCTTTTATCCGTTGAGAGAGGTACTGTTAATATGTAGATTTCAAGCTGTCTCCCGGACATAAATTCTTGTAAAATACTTTCAAATTATACAGTGTAATTCTATATATTCATCAAGGTTTCCATGTTCTATAATTTTCCAACCAAAAACAAGATACACTTTCATATTCTAATAAGCAGTTTCCATGGAAACTTTGACAATAATTTAGAATCACCTTGTCAAATACAGTGTTCCTGTGTGGAAAATATATTGGTGCCTAGTGCAACACCAGATCAAGTCAACATTACAATATAAAAATGGATTTGTTTTCTAGCAAAACATAAATTTTGTAATAATAATACTGTAATTTCAAGTTAAATAAGACACATTGTCCAACCTAATAAATGTTAATTGAAGATTTCTTATTTTTGATAAAGATAGCATTGCTTGAAAATAATATAAAATTCTCAAATTGGGAAAGTACAATGTAATCCTCTCAAAGAAAAGCAATTTTTAAAACAAGTGCAAATGTTTTCACCCATGTTGTTTGCCTGATGATGCCCATTCAACATGGGTGAAAACATTTGCTGGTTTATAAGTTTTCATGGTTTTTAATTCTAATTTAACCAGTTGTAAAGTAGCAGTTATTGTTCTAACAAAGAATTTAAATTTTATAATAATGTATTTAATTTCACACTTGTAAGATCTTTAACATTTTGCAAGGTTTCTGACTTCTCAAGTATTATGTAAATTAAGGTAATATTCTCTTAATATGAGTGTTATTATTTTAGGAAATTACAGTGATGATAAGAATTTCCCTCTCATATAGTAGGGTGTCCATTTACTTTTTACCTAAATTCAAATATATAAGTTAGAGCTGCCATTATAATTCACTTAATATTTTAATTTTATATCATCTATCATTTATACTCCAACATACAAATCTTAATAAGTAATATACTGATCCAATGGAAACAACGGCTCCGACTGTAGTTTGAAATCTGGTGGCACCATTCAATTATGCCCCATTTGTTGATAATTCTCTCCAAAGCAGTCCGAAAATCCTCATCTACTTGGATTCTGGGTTATCCAATTTACAGTTTATTTCAACAATGGTCCATGCAAAGCACAAACTATAAGTTTAATTTAACATGTTGCAGTAACACAAATTGATAAACATTATTAAGTATCAGCTAGGTACCATTCGCAAATTTGAACAGCTTTATTTATATCATGCAACAACCAACATGGCATGTATCTAAGATATTCCACTTATTGTATATAAGTGAATGCAACAAGTTGAAAATGATGCACTGCCATCTAAAGAGCAAACTGTTAATGTATCTTCTAAATGTGGGAGAACTTGATAATTGGGCAAATTTATAATTTTATTTGTCAATGTCTTTCAACAATTATATTAATTCAAAATTAATAAAAGTATAATGTTTACTATTGTTTACATTTACCTCTGCCTCTAAAAATATTCAAATAGTAAGAAACTTACCCGACGACACTGCTAATTTTACCAAGCTGCAAGATAATTCTTTGTTACTCTCCAACAAAGAACACTCCACAATAACTGGTTTCACTAATTTTTTTTTGATTTGATTGGCAGAAATCTCTCTCACAATCACTGGCTGCAATGATAAATTTAAAATTAACAGAAAATAAGCAATAAGTCTACAAATTGTTTAACCTATGAATACATAAATATTTATATTACAACAAAGTATTTTCAAACAAAAATTATTCTAATGATATAATGCAGAATTCTGAAAATTATCATTATCTTACAGCCCCACGCTGGCAAATAATGTCATACTGACCACGGTGCATTAAACGATAATACATCTCCAAACAGTAGAATACATGTGAGAAAGTACAGTCAGTCAAATTAATTTTTATTTGAGACCTGACACTACTAGGTAGGCACAGTCAGGTAAGATGTACAGTACAGTACGTTACATTGTAGGATACATGCAGATCATATAAAATAATCATAAAGATAATAAATTCCTTTTGTCAGATTTTCTACCAAATACTACTGGAAGATTAAACAAAGCACTTTAGCAATTCTGCAAGTCAGATTTGATGACACTGCAAGCCAACAATGCTTGTTAATATCCTGAAGTGTGTCACAAGAAACACTTAAATAAGTTTACAATCTGCTTTATGGTTATCTATATTCCTTTTCAATATTGAAATATTAAGAGTGCAAATGGATGACAACGCTATCTGCCACCAAACTAAAGCCCGCAAGGTCAGTTCATCCGGCCTGTTCCACACTGTGCCACAAATAAGCTAATATATAATTATTTATATGCAAATATCAAAGATTGTAGATAAACTTACTAAGTAGAAAAAATTAAGTTAAGAAAAAAATGCCAAAATTGGTCCAATCTGGTTTTTGCATCTGACAGTAATATAATATTTAGGAAAATCAGTGAAATAAAAACTGCTACTTATTACAGTTTGTAAACAAATTTTGCCTGTACAGAATGATTTGGGATATTTTTATATAAACTGTTGCCTTAATTTTCTGTGATTCTATGCACAGAAAGCTAGAACTTCTGTAAATAAGTTTTAAAACTTATTTAATTTTCTGTAGTTTATCTTCTTTATGTAAGTTTACACTATGAAAACTTATTGTTCTATAGTGTAAGCATAGGCATTTAATTTAAACAACAATATAAGCTAATAATATACAGTATATGAAAGTTGGCGATGCATGATGAAATGACAATGGCTTGCGGAATCAAGTCTACCTCACAGTACTAACAAATTGAGTAAACTTTCATTTCATTGCTCAAGTTAACAGTATATAAACTAATAAATAAGTTTTTTAAAATATTTTAATAAAATATTTATTATTATTAAATTTTCAAAAATATCATACCTGTTTTATATCATTGATTATACTCAATTTTATTCCTACTTTTTCCCTCACGGTTTCTGTAGTCGGACAACCTACAGTCAAAGCCCTGCAACAGAAAAGGGAAAATATATTTTCCATTATAAACTATAAAATTTAATTTTAAATAATTATCATGTAAATTAAATGTATCCTGAATGTTATTTATGAAAGTCAAAAAGTAAGTTTCGTTTTTTATTTTGACTGTAAATAAGTTAGCCATTCCATATTCCCACATTTTAACATATCTGTCTGTTTTTCAAAATAACTGCCTTGTCTATTCAGATGCTTTACTATAGCAGTAGAAACACGAATCCTGAAGTTGTAGTCAATGTTTTATTTCTTCTTGTATATCTTCGTCTGATTAAAAGCATGTGACTTGTCACTAGAAGTCTGCCTCATCATCAGAGGGAATGCTACTGTTGTATGATAATGCGTGGTTGCAAACTGCTTGCGATGCCAAATCTCCTAAACACTCTGCACTGAAAATCCTTCCTATATTTCAGATTTGGTACCGACACCCTTCCTTCGTTGTTCAAACTAGACCAAACTTCAAATGTTGGCAATGTCTAATGATATATCTTTCTATAACTGAGGCTTTGATTCCTTAATCTATTGTTACAATAAACAAAGCAATTACTTTGAAAAATAAACTGACTGTCTTGTATCTGTTCCATATTTAATTGTAATTTTTTTACATTAAAAATAAAAAAATCAGGAATTTTACATTGTAACATTCCATTGTACATACAAACATTATTAATACACATATATATATATATTAATATAGATAATTGTTCTTACCAGTATATAAGATGTGGTATGTTTTTAGATTTTCCTCTTATAAAAGCTTTTGTAACTTTTTCCGTGACCTTATCACTTGATGACAATAATAATATTCCACTAGAATACCTAATAAATTTTTTAATTTGTTAGAAAATAACTAAATTGTTAAAGATACATTTTTGTTTCAGAAATTCTTTGAAAAGAGAAAATATTCTTAAAAAATATTAATACAATTCAATTTTATCTGATACACCATGATCCTGATTTACAACTACTAGATATACGACAACTTGTAAAATGAAATTGTAACAAGGTCTTCGTACTGTCGGGTCATCCACATGCAGTCAGTTTAACGATTCTTGGGCAATTGGGGCCAATGGGCCAAACGCACCCTGAACTTACCCATACCCAGTTTGACGGTAGTTTAGTTTCACCGTACAGACACTTACGTCGATAATATTTCTGGTTTACTTTTTGAAATGTTTTTACTCTACAATTATTTGTTAATTACAGTTAATAAATATCTTCTAGGAATATAAATTTTCTTTTAAACAAATAAAAATATAGCATGACACTTACTTCTCCGTTGACTTAATTATTTCTAGTTGTTTTACTTCGAGTTCCTTTTCAAGTAAAGGCAAACATTCTTCTATACTTAATGAAAAATTACCATTGAAGGGAGTAATCACAGTCGGTATCATTTTATCTTCTATAATGGCAAAAAAACAATCAACAATTCTATTAATTAATTGTATAAAAATTTCTGGAAATCGTTTTGCAAAAGTTCAAGAGAAAGAAAAGTACATTATTAATGTGATACCAGTTTATTTATAAACTATTTTTGATATAGTTTTAAATATACTGAATATATTATCAGTACTGCATAGATACCGACACTATTGTCATCTCCTGTCGTTACCATCGAGAACTGAAAAGCCCGAAATTACTAGGATTAAAGTGAAATTTTTCATAATAATAATAATAAAACTCTTTTTTCACTACCCAACATCTGTGCTAATAAGGAAAAAGTTTAAACTGTGAAACATACCTTTAACTTTATAAACAGGAATTCCATAAAATTTGTTAATTGCAATTAAACCATCTATTAAAATATAAATTAAAATATTTAATTATTGAAATAAATATTTAAATTGGCTTTAAATAATTTCAATAAAAATAAGAATACTTTTATTAACTACAAGTACCAAATTTGGGCTTAATGGAAAACAGTTTGACATTATAATTAAAATATTAAATAAATAATTTATCTCCTCATAGTGTTCACCAGATGGAAAGAATTAAGAAAGGAAGAATATATTTATCATATATTTAACTTGATTATTTCTTTTGATAAACACCCTGCCCGGTAAATGGATTAATACAACCGGATAAGTGAACCAATGACATAGTCCATTTCAAACAAAATGGGCTATGTCGTCTGTCTGCTTCCAAATGTATCGAAGCCACTATTGGGCAACTTGCCCAATATATTCTAAATGCAAATTATAAGAAACTCCAATATTAATACAATAATTACGATAATGAAATATACTAAACTATAAAAAATTTACACTCCAAAATACATTTATAATTGGTAATAAGGATTAGAAAATATATACTTTATCTGGAAAAAAGTCAACTTTTTATATAGACTTCCATTATATTTAATTTCATTCCTTAAAAATTTGTAAATAATATAAGTAATTTTATTTTAGTTTATTTTAATTACATTAATTTTGAAAGTATTTAATTTAAATATTTAAAAATAAATAAAAATAAATATAGAATGGTTAAAAAATAAACTCTTTCTAATCACCACCGAAAATCGAACAGATACTTATCTATTGAGAATGTTCACAGAAAAATGGATAAATAATACAATTTGAAAAATCATTCTGTAAATATTGTAATTTGCAAAAAATGTTTGTAATTGCACTACAGTTTAGTAGTAAAACTATGGCTCTTCTAGACTCTTACTACAGTACCCATATGCTTATAAAATCTGTATATAAACATACACATATGTGATATTTTTGTAAGTTTTTCTGAATGTTATGTAGCATGATATTCATACAAACTACAAGCATAACACAACTTAATCTCGAACGGGCAACCAAAATCTAAAGGCACGTTTTGAAGACAAAGGCTTAACAAGTGGGTCGTAAAGTACCGATAAAACAACAGCGATATTTACCACAGAACAGTGATAATTATAGTATTTTATATAATATAAAATACCATTCCAATAGAAGACGTGGATCGGCAAATTTCCAATAGCCAATACATAGACATATCCTGGCAAAATTTGGCACTTCTGCATTACGATTAGTGCAAGGGAAACATGCTTTGCCTTCTATTATAACTAATTTTTTATTTTAAAATTAAACAAAAATATAATACTTACCTTTATTATAAACAATATTTTCACACAGACTCTGGACGAACCGACTTCTCGACTTCCACGGATGAATTCTTTTACTCAGTTCTTTAATTGCACAGGCCATCGAGCAAATAAGTAGGCGGTAGCTTTTGTCTCGAACACTTTCGTTTACTATTCCCTTAAAGAAATACAACCAAAATAAATAAAATCAGAAATAATCACGCAATACCAAATAATCAAATTTAATAATATGAAATGGATGCATTGAGAAGACTGTGCAGAATATCAAAAAGAGAAAGAATAACTAATGAAAGAATCAAAGACCTAATGGGATCGAAGGAGACGGTTTTGGAAGAAATAAAGAGGAAACAACTTATTTGGTTTGGACATGTGAAAAGAATGAGTGACAAGAGACTCCCGAAAATGTGAATGGAATACAATCCACAAAAAAAGGAAAAAGAGAGGAAGACCCAGACAAACTCGGTACGACGGAGTAAAGTTAGTATGTAGCGGAAAAAGTACGAAAGGGTTATGGCATATTGATAGAGAGAGATGGAGAGGGTTCCTGGAGATCGGAAGGCGACGTCAGATGCCATAAACCAAATATAGATAGATAATACAAAATAACTCCAAGTTCTTTAAAAATATAAAAATGACAAAAATCTGTTCTGTGGATGTTCACTGTAATAAGTTTACCCCGAGCACTTTTGGGAAGCCGTGCCGGTCATCGGGACACACGCAAGCAAATCAGCTCGGTACGATCGTCGACGGTCTCGGTGCGTACGACGACCAGACATTACATAAATAAACGTCGGCAGTTCGGCTACGGGCCGATTCGCTCACGTATTTCTCGACGACGAGCTCGGTTGCCCAAAACCGCTCAAAGAAACACTATTATTAAAACAAACTTTTATTATCATTATACTTTTTTAAAAGAAGTATTCTTTACATTTAGCACGATAGTTTTAAATACCCAATTATAAATTTTCCCTTTTAATTAATTAATGTCCAATCTGCAGCGTCTTGAAACAAACGCATCCTATTTCTCGCAACTCGTCGTTTTCCATTCGTTAACACACACCATACCATTATTTTTAATTCTTACGTTACGTTATTCGTTTTATATTTTTTCATTTACAGTCTCATTCTGCAGTACGGTTTAGTTTAGTTTAATCATTTTTATTTAAAATATTTATTTAAATGACCGAGAAATTATAAATTCTTTTTATCTTTTTGAAATCATCATAAACCGACGAGCGAGTCAAACGAGCAGATTTCGAAGGGTTAACACACGGCACTCACGCTTCATTTCGGTGTTTTCTTTCTACGAATACGGCCTACGACCATAGCGTAAAGCTAACGGTAGAGGTAAAATTTTGTCTCCTCTCGGCTTTTCGAACAAATTCGCCGGCAATATCTTCGTATCTAAAGTAAGTTAACCGTTAGCGTTACGCGAAAGCATAAACTCACCGACAACAAATCTTATTTCTAAAATTCGACACAACACGATTTACATCGCTCCGTTCCCACGTGTTTTGAATTCGTTCGCGCCATCTACAAACATTAACACATTTCGTCGGTCGCATCAATTACAAATAAAAAATAAAACTGTAGTAAAGTTTAAATTACAAAATAATGTATTATTTTATAAATATTAAATTAAACAATAATAATCATTTATCATAAGTTATTTTTAACAAAATAATTTCGATAAACGTGGAAACGGAAAGAGGGCGGGACGGAGCCCTGTCACACGTGCAGTTATCCGCCGATAAGCCGAGAAGCGTCATTTACTAAGAAAATGTTACGTCTTTCGGCTGCCTCCGTCGGATCTTTTCTGCAAAAATCTCACAAATTGCAGAAAACGGGATGGCAATTATTGTCGTCGCTGCCTCGACCCGTCGTTCGACCTCAAGTGCAGTTTACCAAGGCGAGTCGTACTTTCGCATGAAAGACGTGACGGGGTTTATAAAGATTTACCGATTATCATTACCTTTCTGTCTTTTGTAGATATTCGTCGATAACGAATGGCAAAATTCTGCATCGGGAAAAACTTTTCAAACGATTAATCCTGCCACTGGCGAAGTTATCGCCGAAGTTCAAGAGGGCGATCGGGTAAAAATCTTGTTTAATCTTGGATACGTTTATAAACGCGATTAAATACGTGAAATGCGCTTACTTGAAAATGAAAGGCAAAAAAGTAAACGTCTTTGTCTTAACTTTTTCTGGAATAATTTGTGAATGCCCGTTGTTTTAATATAAACGACTCGTTTGGCACAAAATAATATAGAAATACCAGAGACTTACGTAAACAAAACAGGTAAGACGTGAACTACGAGCGAGGGATTTGCCGCTCCCCGGAGTCGTGCGTTTCCCATACGGGCACGAAAGTCGAAGAAACCGTATCCATATGTGTGACCCTTTGTCGAAAGTTTGTCTCCGGAGGTCTGTTTTTAGTGCCTGCCGGTACGGTGCTCGTTCTCCCGCCGAGGCTTTCCGTTGCCTGCCACGACGACGCTCTGTGTGCGGTCGCGTACTTCGGTTCTCGCCGTTGCCCGCGTCTTGACGCTGCCCGAGGCTGCGCGATGTCGAGTACTCTGCCGACGGTAGAGCGAGCTACTCGATTCCGGCCCGGTCGCTTGGGCTAAATAGTTAACTATTTAGCCCCACCGTTTAGCAGAGTGACAACTCCCGATTGTGTGCAATTTGGAAGTGGGCCAGTTTCGGGGACTATATCTTGCAAAAGGTCATGTATAGATGTATAATTTTTTGACTTTTTGCTCTTATGGTATATTGTCTATGACTCTGATAATGTCCTGTCTGTGTTGTTTGGAGGTGTAATTATACCCAAAAAGACAAAGACTTCTTAATCAAATGATCCAGAAAAATGAACTTAATAACTATAGAGGTGCTCGTATGCTGAAAGGTAAAGTCTCTTTTTGCAAGAACATCGCGTGATGATTAATGATATGCTGAATTACCTAATGGATCTTTTAGTAGTAGTAATTTTTAAAAAAGGATGCTAATGTTTTTAACCTTGTTAATGGGTGTGGACAGTCAAAAGACGAACGCTGGCATTGGAAGAAAGAGCAAAGGGATAGTCGCCGATAGAGTATAAATGAGTGGAAAAAATGGATTATGATGGTGGCAGTTGATGTGAAAGAGCGGGGAGATATTGCTGGGAAGGAGTCCTTGTCCCTATTGTTTAAACATGTGTTGGTAGCAAGAATGGTTATGAATTTCACACTTTGCAATGTTGGGAGAGATGAAGGCAGGTTTGGACGACCTTGATTAATAATAATATGGGTGCTTGTGATGCAAATATTGTAGTGGTGCCTTGTGCTATGAATTAGAGTGTCTGAAAGAATAGTTATTATTAGCTTCCATTTTTGTTGTAGGGTAATGTGCAGTTCTCGTGTATCGCATAACTTCTGGGTCATTTTGTACATGCTCCATTGTATTCAAGTTCAGTGAGTGGGCCACTCCAAGTGGATGATTGTATTCTCTTTCGGGTACTGGGTGATCTGTCCGGATCTATGAGGTCGAGCATTATCGTCCTGTAAAGTAAAACTTTTGCTTACTACGTAGGCATAAAATTTAAGTGAGGCCGGGGTTCAAGTTCCTGTACTTTTTGTCATTTAACCTGCTGGAATCACATAGAGTTCAGTATGCCTGCCCAATGATATTTTTTTCCCAAACCAATGCCGTCTCTCAAGAATCAATCTCAATAAAGTTTAGATGATGATACCAATACAAGTTCTCTCCGAATGGACATAAGTCAGCTGTCACTGCAAAATAAATCTGGACTCTTTTGTAAAGAGTCCAATACACTTGGTTGTCATTTGAGTTAATGTGTTGTGTTCTCTTGTCCAGTTAGATCAGTCTTTCCTGTGATGAGGAGTGTTATGCAATATGTAATTGGTAAGCCAAAAGGGGACCCTTTGTGAAACCATCTACATATAATAGAAGTTGGTACAGAGGTCCTTATAGCTGTGTGATGTTTACTGCAGTTGAAGGAATGTTATCTGACATTGTAAAATAGGTGCCCTACCCATTACAGTACAAAGATGACTTCTGGAAAATCTTCTGGAAACATTATTGGTCTGTTGGAAGTGATGTCAAAACCTATAGACTACTGATTGGCTAGCATTGAGCCAGTCTCCCACTTGTGGTTGTCCGGCTTTGAATCTTAAAATTGCTCTTCTCCTTAAACTGTCGGGTAAATGTCAATGTTTTCTTTGAAATTCTTAGTCATTTAGGAAATGTTCAAAATTTTTTGCAGAGCATAGAATAATAATAGGGTTTCCACAAATAGGAAAAGTCAGGAAAAAGAGAAAACTACATTAGTTAGGAAATATGAATCAGATTGGTTAAGTTAATCAGTTTACTATTGTTCAATAAATTTGTAAAATGTTCAGACATTAGATTTAAGTTGATTTATAAATTAATAATAATTAACAATCAATAATTTTTTCCTTTTCTTCAGTTAAATGAAAGATAAATTTAAACTAAGATATTGCTTTTCTTTGTGTCATTTTTACTTTTTATATCTGTGGAGAAACACTTCTACATCTAGTCTAAATCCAAGAAAAACTTATATTAGTGAAACACACAGACAGTAATTGACAGATTCTTATAGAAATGATGTCATCCTCAAAATCTTCAGTAGGCTAACTTCACCCCCTTTTATATTCTGATTTTAATAGTATATATCTAATAATAATTTCCTAGAAAATTAAATTTTCTTGTGCAAGTCTTGCATTGATAAATCAGAATATAGATGTATTGTCTAGCACTAACCTGTAATACAACTAAAAAAAGAAAAATGTGGTTTCGACAACAGGAAAATAAATGTAATATTTTAAACGTGTGTGAGTCTGATTAATTATTTGATTTATAAATAATTTGTGTATATTTCTTTCCTTACAAGTTAACTTCTAAATAATAAATGAAGTGTTTAAATTTATAAAATTAAGGTTTAATTTTTATAAATTTAAACTAATAAAAATGAATACAAAGGAATAAAATTATTTAAATAATTGAGATTCCTTGTATAAACTAAAATAAATTAGGTTTTTAATTAAGCATTGATTAGTTTTGTAAACGAGGTAAATGATCTTTAAAAATTCAGTTTATTTTTAAGTAGTGACATCATTTTAATGTGTTTTGTAATCACATATTGAGTAACTTTGTTTTGTTTGTCATTGCACTAGTGTACATGTATATATGAATTATTATTTTTATTTTAATATGTAGTTTTGTAATTATTTTATTTAACGGTAAATATAATTTAATTATTGGCATTTTTTTAAGAAAATTTTATATATTAAAACAATGATGGTTTTGATGAATGAAGGTCTTTCGGTATACTCCATGGATGGCAACAATATGGGCTAGTTCTGATTATTTTTTTAATGCTGTTTGATAAAAAAAAATATTAAATATGATGCTTTATTAACATAGACCACAATGAATGCATTAATTATAATTTTACATTGTCCAGATTAATCTAAAAGCATGTCTAAAGAGATCATATTTTGGCTAATGCTTTAGGTTTGCACAATTATTGAGATAAAAACATTCATTAACTTGATTTTTTAAATTAATGCCAAATGATCACTGGATTACAGCTGGCAATAATAATGCTGCTGTTTAATAATTAAATGTCAAATACTACTACTAGGCCAAATTATTGAATGTTTGTTTATTAAATAGCATTATTATAGTCCAATGTAATCTTTCAATTGTTTGGCATTAATATAATTATTGAGGTTCAGTACTTGACCCTTAATAATAGTTTCTAGTTCACAAACTCCTAGCAGACTCTTACATTTTCCAAAATTTGCTTTTGACCAGTTGATTTACTGTTCCACCAAAAATGACAATGAGAACAGACACGGGTAAACCCCGACGATCTGCCATTTTAAAAATGTACACAGCTTGCCTCCTTTTGTTTTTTCAATCTCGTTATATTAGAGGGATGCAATGAACGATTGTGACCCGGTTGAGAGTTATGATCATATGTTTCCAGGGCCTCTCAGAAGTGCCCACTGGTCCCTTGTTCAATCTATGGTTAAACTATTTCTTTCACACTTTTATATTGCCATTTACTTCTTGAATTTTATTTATAGCATTGTTTTAGCAATTTTTTTTGTTTTTGCTGTTAATTTTTTATATATAATTTTCTAAAACAAATTTTATAAATTAAGACATTTGAAATATGTTAGTGGTAACTAGTTTCCATCTTTTTTACAACTTTAGACCTGACACAAAAGATTTACATCCTTGCATTGGGAACTAGCCAAACATTTTACACACAATCTGCAAGACATGCTAAAATTTTTACACAGAGCACCAAATGCATGAAATCTAAAAATGATAACACCAGAGACCTTACACAATACATACCACTTGCATGCCTTTCTACATTCTACAATATAGTCACTTCATGCATCACAAGCAAAATATACAATCTCATGGAACAATTCAACATTCTCACAAAATGACAAAGCTATTTTAGAAATTACATGGGGAACAACACAGAAACATACACATAGCATTCATAGATAATAGAAAAGCATTCAACGGCATTTCATACTCATGATTATTACATACACTATGTACTGTCTTTGAACCTCTGAAAACTGCAAGGCCTTATGTGTATTTCATTTGTTTTATTGTAGAGTATGTATTGTGAAGTATGAGATGTTGTAATGTTTTCCAGTGTTGCATAGAGTTTTCTAGAAAGGTAATGAATGTAGAATATATTTTGTATAGACATACTATACAAAATATATTCAACATTCATTACCTTTCTAGAAAACTGTGCAACTCTATTACATCATCTCATACTTCACAATACATACTGTACAATAAAACGAATTAAATACTGTAAGAACGCCAATTGGGGGGAGATTTTTATTCCCTACCATTGGGATGGTCTAAGGTCTACGCATATGTGGGTGGCAGTTTTATGAGGCAGCAAAAGACAAGTGTTTTACAGAGGCAAACCGTTTATTCTGGACGAAATTGCTTATATAAATTTTTCCATTGGAAAGGTTCTTAGATAGATGCGATCTGGTCCTGTGTTGTAGGAATTTTCGATGGCAATCTGGTCTTGTGTCATAGGGGCCCCTGGACAGTGTTGAACGAAAAGTTTGAAGTCTTGAAAGTCGATGCACAAAAGATGAAAGGATGCACGAAAAAAAAAAAACGGAGATACATGAACACAACAGAAGTCTAGTGGAAGTCCCGTTGTCCTTGGAATTGGTGCTTTTATCCTTTTTTCGATGTTGGCTTTTTGATAATTGAACAGACCTTACGTCATCATCTTCTAATTGGTCTTCCACTTGTCTCCAGGTGTAAATGGAGCTTCGCACAGTTCGCGGGAAAGGTCGACTGGAGATGGTTTATCCGACACCATCTTTTCAACTCTGATCGCGTTTAATTGTTGACTATGACACCTACGCTCATTTTGATATTTTTTCTAGTTTCGTTTTACTTTCTAAACTGCATCTTAACTTTTAATATTTTTAATTTTCTTCTTTTATATCTAAAATTTTGTTTTCCTGTTATTCTCTATGAGCATCGACATCAAAGTCCGGTGTCGCCAATTTGACACTTATATATAATTTGCTTTCTTGACGATAGAACTTAACAAATTTTTTCATATCTTTCCTTTTGGTGGGGGCTATGTCCGGGGTCTCACAATACACATAAGGCCTTGCAGTTTTCAGAGGTTCAAAGACAGAACAGAAGTTATGTACAGTACCATTGTAAAGACAGTCTTTACAATGGTATATAACTTATCACACTTCAGAAAACAAGCATACTAAATGCATCATATAGATAGGAAATTTCTAATACAGGTAAATACACGAACAGCACGTAAACAAAATAATAGCTTTTTCTGTAGCTATGCCTCCACCTTGGTCTGGTGTAGCAATAGGCATTGATATTAACAGAGTAGAATACATTCTACCAACACCATAATAATAATAATTTAGTTATCAAATAATAGATATAAAGCAATGTAATAAAAAGAATTTTGTATTTTTAACAGTTTAGGACAGGGATGGCAAACCTTTTTGAGCTCACGTGCCATATGTAAGCATACTTAGTTTTAAAGATGTTTATGCATGCCAAAGTTTTTGACTTGAAGTAAAGATATTTAAAGAAATTAAATGAATATTCTTTAATTAGAATAAGTGTAAAAAAGCTAGATGAGAAAAAGTGTAATTGGGGTGATAAACTGAAAGGATGATAAAAGACAGGTGATAAATTAAAATTGTATGATACATTATATGCCACAGGTTCACCACCCCTGGTTTAGGAGTTTGTGTCAAGTAGGTGTTTCAAGAGGTTGTCTGTTTTTCTCTTTCATTTATTTTATAACTAGCTGCAAGGACCCGCTTCGCTGGGTTTTTATTTGTGGGCAAAAAGTAACGATAGTGAAGATTAAGATAATTACATTATAGCCAATCTTACCCGTTTTCACAGAATGCAAGAATTAGGTTCCCCGTTTCCAGACTAAGTAGAGAATTTTTATGTCAATTTGATCAATTTTCTGGAACGTTTACAATCGTTCTATAATCGAACCAATTTGAATTCGAAAATTTTTAAAATTGAAATAGAAAATCTTCCACTTTCAAGCCTATATCTCTCGCACCCTTATAGCTATCGAGACGCAACCACCATAGTGCACGAATGGAGACTTGGGGCTACTACCACATACAAACACCATTCATGTGAAATGTGTAGTTTTGGCTGAAAAGTGAAATATAGGGATACACACGTCCATTTTTATATATATAGATTACACTTTAGCTTTTTAAACACAACATTGGCCAAAATTGTCTTAATCTGTTCAAGACGAAATTGGCCAAAGGGAATGTTGTTTGACTAGTTTTGCCATACAAATTCCTCTCATAATCTGAGTTGTTAAAAACAATTTCCTCTCCAGGAACATAGAAAGATGAAATTTGAGCTTAAATGAACTGTTAACAGAAGTAAAGTAGAAAAAACATTTTACTATTTGAAGTGTCATGCTTTCAATAGTCATTCCAGTGGTGTACATTATGCAAAGATTTCATTTTTATTTTAGTAATTTTCAGAAGAATTACAAATAGAACTGATAAAGAACTTCCTTAGAGTTATTTCAGCTTCATTAGCTTTTAGATAAAGAAGAATGTTCTGAAGAACTTTGTTTAAAGTTAATATTTAACTATATGATTTAAAGTACTTCAGCATTACATAACTTTTATAGCTATGTATAATATTTTGTTGAATTAGGCAGATGTCGAGAAAGCAGTAGCTGCCGCTAAAGAAGCTTTCAGATTTGGTTCGCCGTGGCGGACGATGGATGCTTCGGAAAGAGGAAATCTCCTATTTAGATTGGCAGATTTAATAGAAAAACATCGAACGGAACTTGCGGTAAGTCGATACGTAATGTATATAAAATCTAACATTTTGTCCCTAGTTACTTTAAATTGTCACATAATATAAATTTGGCTTTAGTGTGAATTAGAATGTTGGAAAAAATTTATAATTAACAAATGTTAAAATAAAGGAACAAAATTTAAATAAAAAATTAAACTTTATTTTTAAAAATTGACATTACAGAAATTGTTCCAATTTATTATATTTACATATAATTACATATAAATAGTGTGCAATGTACTAACATTTTATGTCGTGATATGCTCACTGGAAATAGAATATAATAAAGCATATTTTGTTATAAATGATAGAAGTTGGAAATGTGGGTAATTCAAAAGACATGCCAGATTTAAAAAAAAAAAACAGATACTTTGAAATGAAGGTAAAAACTTATGCCAAAATTGTTAAAATAGTAAAGATTTCACAATGCACAGTAACTGTATTACTTAAAAAGAATACAGAAAGCACTTGTAAATCAAAAAGAAGAAACTATGGAAGAAAAAATGTGTTAGAGGGAGACTGCAGGCACCCAAAAGAAACCATAAAGAAAAGTCATTTTGATTCCACATCAGAAGTACAAAGTGGTAGAAGCAAATGTGAATGCTTCTAAGTCAACAATATGGTAATGTTTACAACATATGGAATATAAATCTAGTTCTAAAAAGTAAGCCTGTGCCAAACTGAAAAAAAAAGACTACCAAATTGTTAAACCAAAAGAAAGGTAGAAAATAGTCTTAGTTTAAGAATCTAATGTATTTTTTGCCATCAAATTGCCATTTTCACTGATTGTCTGCATTAACCATCTCAAGTGATACTTGACTTCTGGCTTTTAAGACTACTGCCATACCCGTTATCCATGATTTTTGATGACAGTATTATTGACTTGATACCTCTCCCTGATATTAGCGAGAGAATTGTTTTTTGTGCTGCTCAACAATAGATATCTTAAAGTAGGGGTAACCATTAGTCATTTCACATCACAGTTAATCATCTGTGGGAGAAGAGATTAAGAGAGTGGGAACTAACTGTTGTGTCTGTACACGAGAATCAGATGCAATGAAAGTTAGATGAATTAGTATCCATCGGGTGTTTCAACTAATGATCGACACCAGTCTAACATCTGAATGGTCATCTGATCTGTTGGTTCTTCTCTCAAAGTGACAGACTTTCTTTGCTTCAAATATTTTAAGAAAACGAGAGAGTGGTGGAATGAAGCATTATTGGGACTCTATCAGAACAGAAAATTGTAAATGAGGAAGTCACCAAACATTGGCAGGGGGCATTTCTTATTCAAAGAACCTAAAGTCCTTGATCTTCCTCACTTGATCTTCTGATTTTAAGGAAAAATTGTAACTGATAATTCTGTATTGACTACCAGAAGTTTAACACTGTCATAAAGAAGAATGGCTATTTTCATGGATAGGTGACATTATGTATTGCCTATAGAAAGCCCAATACTATTCATCAGTGGATCTGCTGTTCAGATATTGACAAGTTGAAACTGTCGAGCAGAATAGAGAGATTACTCACAAAAAACTAACACCAGCAGAATGAAAAAATAAATGTACATGTCTATTTCTATATAGATGAAAACATATCATCAGATAAATGATATATTACGTAATCAGTTGAAAAAAAAGCATTCAATTTTTGTTAGCCGTTTTCTGTATCATTTACCTGATAATGTCTATTTCTATATAGACGAAAACATTTGTACATTTATTTTTTTGTTCTGCTGGTTTTGGTTTTTTGTGCGTTGTGTGTTTATAGAGAGATTACCTTGTTCACTCTGTGTAAATTATCAGTTTAAAGTCTCAAATTATATAATGCTCCAGTAATCTCTGAGAGAGTTATAGAAATACTTTTTGAACACTTTCATGATTATCTCAAATGAAGTGGAAGATTTGTTTGTTACTTCAATGATGTCGTCATTTTTTTGCACCAATCTTCCAGTATCTTGAATGCCGCTCTGATTTGAAAGTGCTTTCATCATACAATTTACAGGTGAACTTACAAAAGTGTCATTTCAAAATTCAAAGCCAAAACTTGGTAAAACAAGATATGGTTGGATTTTACCATGCATTGTAGACTTAACCCACCTTAATCTGTGACAAATGTATGGCTAGAGATAAGAAGTTAAAGTTCACAAAGCTGCCATTTCATGATAAATTTAATAAATGAAAAATTTATTTATTTCTAATTATTACAAGATGGTAACTTGATTGCCTACCCCTAGCCAAATTGGTATGTATCTGATTATTAATTAGCCTTTAAGTTTAGAATTCTCTAGGTCTCTATTTGTATTACCAGTAATTCATCAAAAATTTTACAACTAACCTTACATACCCTTGACAAACTTGCTGACAAAGAATAGTTTCCATTGAAGACCAAAGCAATGAGAGGTTTCGACTGACTCGGATCTGTTTTGATCTCCGAACCCATACTGAAACACTTTGATCAAAGTGCCAATTGAATTATTTACAGATGCCAACAGATATGGTTCAAAAGTTATATTAATACTGATATAAGCTGATTATCCCTCCCAAGATATGTCAACACTACATACAAATTTGAAACCGCCACTCCTGCCAGAAGATGCCATCACGAGATATATTTGTATAGATTATGCACACTATCATTTCGATGTCTTCAGTGGTGTCATTCTAAAGAGGGAAAGTACTGTTCCGTAAATTTTTTTATAGTATGGCTCAACCAAATAGGAACAACCCATGCTAATTTTTGATATTTTGTATATATTCAAGTTCAACATGTCCTCAAAGTTGTTCTTTCTTTTGAATGCTGCAAAAGTTTTAATATTCAGCTTATTTTAAGTTGTTTTATTAAATTTAATATCTTTTGTTTATAACAATTTAAATTCTATTTTGTTATAGAGTTTGGAAACTCTGGATAATGGAAAGCCTTACAAAGATTCATTTTACATTGATTTAGATCTGACAATTAAATGTTATCGGTAAGTTCTGTTAAAATTTATTTTAGATAGAAATCAATTTTTGTAATAGAAATAAAATTTTGTTCAGTTTATAATATTTCAATTTTATACAAATTTTAACATTATTAAACTTCTGGACTGATGACATAATTAGTGGGAGGAGATATCTACATTTCTGACAATTGGGAGGGGGGAATCAAACTGGGCAACTTTTTGTTGATGTAATACTCGAATGGATTTGGTCGATTGATTTATTCTAGATATTTCTATAATATTAAGTCATTTAAACGGTATTGTGAATTAAGTAAATTAAATGATATTCCGTTGGTTATATAAAACCTCCACTTACTATGACGTTATGTAAACCATAATTTAAATTTACGTGTCGGAGTTTACGTTTCTGCCAAATTTATAGTTATTCGTAACTTTTAAGACAGACAATTAAACTGATCCATATAAGTTAAGTTATTTACAATTAAACATTAATTTTTAACTAATTTTTGATAATCTGGAAGGTATCTTCTGGTTTTTGGTGGTAATACTTCAAATTAATATTTAGGTAATTGTATTTCTACTTGATTTCATTTTATTAATTCTTTGTTTGACCGGATTTTAAAACTAATAGATGAATAATTTTTTCAATTAATAATTATCAGCTAAAATTATTCTACAATTTAAAGAGTTTTTCTTTATGTTACGTAAAGAAAAGTTCAAGAATACAGATCTCTGATAGGTATGGAAAATTGTGTTTTATTTTAGAAAAACTTGTTAAATGTAAATGAAATAGTATTAAAATTTCAGATCACAGTATTAATAATGAAGATCTGTTTTTACAAGGTTTAAAAAATGTATGTATCTTTGCTTGATTCTATATTTCTCAATAACATTTAATGATTTTCTAGATATTATGCCGGTTGGGCAGATAAAATTAACGGTCAGACTGTATCTCCTGATGGAAATTTTTTTACTTACACGAAACACGAACCGGTGGGAATATGCGGACAAATTATTCCGGTAAGTACTAATTCCTTCAAATTTATTGAATTATTTTTAAAAATTTTTCTTTGGAACACATTAACTACATTAAGAATTGGTTGCTTTGCAAAACTATTCTTTATGGTTTTTCTCTGTAGGGTGGAGAACAAAGCGGCCTTGCTTGCTTGTGTATCCCTCTGTCACAAAATTATCGGATTTGTGCCAAACTATTTTTGTTTTTGTATAGCAGACTGATTATTCAAACCTGTTATCTTTTATGCTAGTATTTTTGTTATTTATTGTTTAATTTTAGTTGTAAGGCTTTTGTTTTTTAATTTAAAATTTGTACACTGTTTTAACCAGAAATTGTTAACCTTGAAAAAAGGCCTTAAAAGTGTTATACTCTTACTCATTGTCTGATCAATTGTTTCACTTTCAGAATCTGAGGATGAATCATTGCCTTTTTATTTTTAAAGAACGTCCAGCGAGCACAAATTGGGTGATTGTTCTTTCCGCATGGCTCTTTTGATCTAGATGACGAGCCCCTGAAAAATTCATCTTTACTTTATTTCATAGTTTTATCTTGCCAATGTCTTGATACTATGTAGTCAGCATTGACCCAGGTTTTGAGTGAAAATATCCTTCTTTCTAAAGAATACTGTCAAATTTATCTGAGATGTCAGTGCCTCCAAGCTATAATTTTGTTTATCAGTCAATGCAGAATCTTTCTTGTGATGATCATAAACAATGCCAATTTCTTTCAAAACTTTATGTAATGTTGTTTCGGAAATTATGACAAATTGGGGTCATTGTTTACATCATTTAGTATTTTGTTTCATGGTAGTTGTCCGTTTCTGAAAAAATGCGTATGTATGATGTTTCATACTGCAGTTCAAGTGAAACTGTCACGCTTGGTGTCACATCTCTTTGCTTGGGATTTCTGACGCCTTTTTTTGCCTCGTGTTCAAAGATTTTTTGCTGCTTGCCATTGCTTCTTTGCTGCAAAGATAGCAAAAGATGATTGGCTGGTCAGCCTTGCAGTTTTTTTAACAGCTTCTATGTTTAGGGTAGGATTAGATTACAAAATCTATGAATATGTTTGGGACAAATTGCTTTGTTTGACTTCTAACAGTCTGCCCTTTACACTTAGTTTTCAAAATAACAATGAGGAGAAATACACTAAAGATGGTAGAACATTCATATTGTCATTTGTTATTTTCCAAAAATGTCTCACCGTTTGCACTGTGTAAAAAGGCAACGATCATATCTTTGACATTTTGGTTGGTTCAAGAGATATGCATTTTTCTGAAGACATAAACAAACTTTACATGTTTGTTTATGTCTTGAGTGTTATAAAGTTAAATGTATAACTTTACAACACTAAACACAGGGGTTGCTCTGGAAAATTTTAAAATATTGCCACCATTTTGCCAGTTTTTAATTTTTTTCACTGCTTCAAATTATTTATTGCCACTAGTTTTACTTACTAATTAATGCAGGTGCCAGTAGCCTTATTATTTTCTTGTCTGGAAAACAAAAGTAATATGTTAAAATGTCTCTTACAAGGAGGGGACCAGACTTTTGCGGTTACAAGAAACCATTTAACACGAAAGGGACTTACAAGAATTTTGCTATCTTGGAAGTTCTAAGTCAATGGCGGTCTCTGTGTCTTTGTTTTCGTTTTCTTTCTAAGATAGTCCCAAATGAAGGAGTCCCTGGTTCACGAATGACAGTTTCCTTGACAACTCTGGGATGATGCAGTTGGCTTCTGGTGATGGGAAGATGTCGATCCAAAGACGGGAGATGGAGACGAAGATGGGCATGAGACACATGCATGTACACACAACAATTAGTCATACACTTGGAACTTTTAGGAGAAGAAGCCATTACATCTTTGAATTTCCAGGTTTTTATTAATTTCTATCCTCAATCACCCATTCTGATTGGTTGCTTTTCCTCATTATCACAACTATATCATTTTTTGATAGCAATACAAGGACTTTATTCTTTATCCTGTGAGAATGAGCACATCTTAAAAATCAAGCAGATTTTTAAGTTGTACTCATTTTAATCAAACAACATTGAAAAATGTTTGGGACTAAATTTGTCATAGGCATAATACCAATTTTTTTATTAAAACTCGTTAAAATTAAAGATTGATTATATTTCAATAATGTTTGTTATTATAGTTATAAGAAAAATGAGAAATAAATCTGTCAATATAACTTTAATGTAATTTCAACATTATTTTTTGTATAAAGTAATCCTAGGAATGATCATAAAACATTTCCAATTTTATTTATATAAATGTTCTTCATTTTTGCTAGATAATAAGTTTAAATTATCATCCGTCTAGTGGAATTTTCCTCTTCTGATGCAAGCGTGGAAACTCGGTCCGGCATTGGCCACCGGAAACACCGTCGTGATGAAACCCGCCGAACAGACTCCTCTGACTGCTCTTTACGTTGCCGAATTAATTAAAGAAGTGGGTTTTCCGCCGGGAGTAGTTAACATCGTGCCGGGCTTCGGACCGACTGCCGGCGGTGCCATCACTTCTCATAAAGACGTAGACAAAGTTGCATTCACAGGTTCAACTGAGGTAATGATGGAATATATAAAATACTATCAAAGTCATACTTATAAAGTTCACTTAACTATTTCACTATATTTACAAGTGAACGGTAATTTCTGTTCACTTTTTTTTTTAATTTTCTGTCTCGTGGGTGCTAAGAGGGCCTTATTATTGTGTTTGTTGTAAGTTCAACCGGGTCCACAATAGGGCAGCCAAGTGACAAGGGAACGAGCTTGACAAATCTGGAATGGAATCACCCTCCAAAACCTTCTTGGAATTTTATTTGTCCAGATTTGTTCCCAGGTTCCCATAGTAGTGGTCTGATAGCTTAACCTTTTTTATTGACACCTTAAAAGTGTAAAACATGCATACAATATGTATTTTATTTTATAATTACCATATTAAACATTTAATAAGATCCAATTTAAATCTATATATATTAATAAAACCAAAAAATTTTAGGTAGGAAAGATTATCATGGAAGCTGCTGCAAAAAGTAATTTAAAAAGAATTACTTTGGAGCTGGGAGGCAAAAGTCCAAATATTGTTTTTAAGGATGCCGACTGTAAGTTTTTGTATACGAGTAATTTATTTTTTACTAGTTTATCATTAAATATTAGATTATTGTTTAGAATAAATAAATGGACAAAGTATTGATAATATATAGAGTGCAAATAATGGATTCATTTAATCTAGGTTTCACATTATCTAAAGTAAATTATGGAAGCGTACTTGTGACAAGATAAAAATTAATCATAGTTTCACAAGTTGTTTCACTTTTTAGACAATGTGCAGTACTCAAAAGGGACTCTAGACTTTTTTATCAAAAGGAATTTTAATTGTAATCATCCGAAACTTTAATTTTATAAGAATACTAGCAGATGAGCCCAGTGTTGCTCGAGCTAAAGTAACAATAGTGAAGGTTAGGTTAGGTTAACTAGGGTTTACTTAACTATATATAAATACTGTTCTATTAGAAAATACAGCTCGGGTATTTCTGATAAGCAATATACAGTTCCTATTGGAACAAAATTTATGCGCCAATTATAAGTATTAATTACTTAAATAATTTATTTAGAAATACATACAATGAATTTAACTTAACATTATCTTTGATACAAATGTAAAAATAAAAATTATATTTCAATGTCATAAATAATTTTTTGTTCATTCTGTTATTACCAATTTTAGGATTTTGGCAAAAAAAAGGTGTTTAATTCTTAGTTAATGTTTTATTATTTTTCAGTGAATTATGCCATCGACATGTCGCATTTTGGCTTATTTTTCAACCAAGGTCAATGCTGTTGTGCGGGCTCGCGTATTTTTGTCGAGAGTGACGTGTACGATGAATTCGTTGCCCGCAGCGTGGAGAAGGCCAGAGGTCGTAAGGTCGGCGATCCTTTCGACGTGACGATCGACCAGGGCCCACAGGTACAATATCTTTAGATTGCATAAATCTAGGCACTGTCTTTAATTATGAATGATAAATAAAATAAAGAAATAACTGTTGCTTCAGATAGCCAAAGTTTTGATTTCAGAAGAAACATTATTTTGCCCATCTTTGGCAAACTTAAATCTGTTGCAGACATTAAATGTCCATATCAGTGTGTTAACATTACAGAAGTTAGTCAGCTTAATATATTTAAGATAAAGCTGGCCTAAGACGCTAAGACGGGCCAAAACATTTCTTCTGGAATAATTTGGCTACTTAAAAAAGCAATTATTTCTTTATTTATTGTTCAATCTGTACAGGTTTACACATAAACATTGTATCAGGCCGTCTTGCCTACCATGTGTGAAGGGAAGTTTGGGGTGCATGGTGTCCAAACCAAAAATAGCTCCCTATTAATTACCTATGCTACAGTGCAACTACATTAGTTACCATGTTGCAGAAGCAAAATATAACCTAGTGCAATGTTTATGTACATCCTGTAGAATATAAAATATGTTTCTATAGATAATACATTCATAAAGTCTGTTGCAAAATTGAATTATAAAAGAATTACAGAAAGTTTATAAATTGTAAATAAACTAAGATGGAAATGTTCAATGATATAAAAAGTTCTAAACAATACACTTTTTTATTCAATTCAGCTTAAAAAATATTATCTAAATCTGAGATTTGTAGTGCTGCATCCATAGCACAGGGATGAGGAGAAATAAAAAAAATTTCATGTATAAGTAGGGCTTATCTGTATGTTGCATTCAGAGCCACCCAAATTTTTATTTTTTTTAATTTTTTTGTTCAGTTTTGTGAAGTTCTCTTTGGTTATTTTGAAGACAGTTCATTCACGTATAGTGAATAAATGTAATTTATTCAAGTGTCTACTAATTCTCATCTCCACTTTGTAAAAAAGTAAGAATGAGAACTACAAGAACCAGTAGGAGGTGGTGCCAAATGCATCGTGGTGTTTCTTATCCGATTCGTCGATTGTTCGTTGTTTTTTATTTCTGTGTCCTTGGCGTGCAGATGTTATTTTTCAAACCAAACTGAATAAAATGATACAAAGAGTTCCAAACAATATAAGTTAATGCTTCTTTCAAAATCTTTTCACAAATTTTAACTGGGAGTCGCACACAATCCAAACGTGGCTGCGGTGTATTTACAGTACCCATTTGATATCCAATATGCTTCAGACTTAAATTTATAATTTTTATACGTTTCACATACTAACAGACTCATTCTTGCTACTATTTATAATTATATAATTTATTTTTAATCCTTTTTCTTATAAATTTATAGAAAGTTCATTTTGTATAAAAGTACTAAATTTTAAGATGGTGAAATTTTTTAATATGAAATTTAATTAATATGAAAATATAATGATCATCAGAAAAAATAGTTTGTTTTAAATTGTTAAAGATTGGTCAAATTGATTGTAAATTCTTGACTAGGATTTTACATGAAATGTCATTGATTAAAATTATACACAAAAATCTTATTACACACTATTAATCTGTTAAGAATAATATGTAATTATACAAATATATTTGCTGTATGTTTGTATAGTTATTTATTACTCTTAAAATTAAAGTTTTTGAGACCTAAAATTTCCATAATAAGATAGATAATATGTTTAAAAATAACCAATATAGACCAAAATGAATGAAGAATGTTTTTTTAAAATATAGAAAACATTTTGTACTTTTATTTCAATGTCGTAACAAAATAAAAAAAGTCTTCCCTTGTTATCCAAATTTTTTTGCAATTGTCTACGACAGTGGTTCTCAAACTGGGGTCCGCATTCCTCTAGGCGACCCTGAAGGAGTTACTTCGGGCAAAGCAGATGCACCCATCTCATTGAATTTACATTTTATGACTAAGGTTTGCCACTTTCTGAATAAATAATTGTTTGTCAAAAAATGTTTTGGTAACAGTAGCCTATATGTTAATTGTAGTTAATTTTAAAGGGTCCGTGAGCAATCTAAAAAATTGTAAAGAGACTGTCAAGCTAAAAATCCTAAAAAAGTTTGAGAATCACTGGTCTACAATGTTAATAATTTTTTTTAATGTTTATCAAAGATTCACTAAGAAAAATCTGTTTTATGTTTATAGCCAAGTTACATGGCAAACCATCCATTCTACCAGTAGTGACTAATTTCATACAGTGCATTATTATTTTCTGTTTTTAATTTTGAGGGCGGCGACCATTGTCCAGAGGTTAAAAATAAGATTTTTAGCGACCAGCAAACTGTCGGTTGGAAATTATTTTGTATGCATTTTGTTCGAAAAGAAACACTCCTTTAAAAAAATGGCTGTCGTTTAAGGGCAGTTGTTATAGGGGCTTTGATTGTATTTAAATTAGTAATGGGTTGTCAATGGTGATATGTCCAGTTTATTAGACTTTAATGATGTATTGTATGCGAACAGAACAGATTTAATCGGTTTCTATAACCTTCTCCCATTTCATCACAGAATTCTGGATTCCTTTCTTAAAGAAGTTGGCAGTCTTTGTGGCAACATATCCTGTTAGGTCATTTTGGACTTCTTGGTTCAAATACACCTTTCCTGAGAAATGATGCAGCAGGGACAAAACTGAATGAAAATCCGATGGAACGATCTCTGGGCTGTATGGAGGATGGAGCAAGACCTTCCGGCCCAACTCTTAGATCTGTTCCAATGCACAATGCGAGGCTTCTCACCATTGTGTTTTGGAATTATGCCTTTCCCATTAACTGGAGATCACACTGTGGTAAATTTGGCATGCAGTCGACGTTGGTTTGCAAATAAAAGTCAGCCGTGATGGTTTTGTTAGGATGCAACAGTTCTGAAAGCACCATCAAATGGACGGCCCAGCCTTTTGCGGGTGCAGTCCAGCTTTAGGGTCGGTGTTGGTATCAGTATTGGTGTTTGGCCTGTGCTCAACCATGGTTTCTTTCATGTTCACGTAAAAAACCACTTTTTGTTGCCAGTCACAAATTAATCTAAAAACGATTGTCGTCATGCGTTTTGGAAGCAAAGCAGCCATCATTGCTCTTCAAATGTAGTACCCAAATGTCTTACTTTGATTGAGACTGCCAATTTCTTGTAGATATTTTTGTACTTCCTCACAAGAACACTTCAAAATCTCTGGCATTTTGTGTAATGTTTGCCTCAGGTCGGATTCCATAACAGTTTGCAAAGCTTTGTTATTTACCTGTGTTGGGGTAGCTTCACATGATTTTTTTTTGATACAGACATCCCCAAATTGAAATTTTGCAAACTGTCGATGACGGTTCTGTTCACTTGGTGCATTTCATAAGCAATATCAACATCCTTCGTAGCTCAAGCTGCATTCAAGCCTTTATTGAACTCAAAAATCCTGATATACATAAACTTTTCAAAGCCCAATTTTTTAATAATAAGCCATAATAATAATAGTTTGTTTCTCAGTGCAACTTACTGCACCGTGTTGTAGTTGACGATCCAATAATTTTAACTGTACTTTATGGAAACATGCATATATACATTTGTCAATAAAATACAAAATTAAAAAATAGGCTAAAAATTTTGGCCAAATTCAAATTAACAGATCATTTATAACCTAGCTCTGTATTGGAAACTTTTGGCTTAATTGTTATTTTAACAAATCAAATCTTATTTTAGGTAGACAAGGAGCAACTCGACAAAATAATGACTTTAATAGATTCCGGAAAACGAGAAGGAGCCAGTCTGCTTTGCGGTGGAAATCGACACGGCGACAGGGGCTACTTCGTTGAACCCACCGTTTTTGCCGGCGTGAAAGACGGAATGAGGATCGCCACGGACGAGGTGAGACCAGCACATACCGTTTGAATCATTAACGACTTGTAACGGGAGACTAAATTTTATTTTTCAAATTTAGATGAATTTTCTGCATAATTTTGATTAGTTTTAATAGTTCTTCATGTCAGATTGTATTTTGATACTCTATACCAGTGTTTTTCAACCCTGGGAGTTGCAAAGCGTTACATGGGGTGTCGCGGGTAAAAGAAAAAGACAAGTGTTTGTAGGTCCTACACTACAATAAAAAAAAAAACTACAATTTCAGTGAGAAAGCTGTACATGTTTATTTTACAGCACAATTGGTTTTTTGATCAATATTTAGGTCTCAACAGAAAGAAAATTAAATATGTAGTTTTTAAAATCACTGATATAGTTTTAATATGGCCCTGGGGGTCGCCAGAAGTTTTTAACTTGTAAAGGGGTCGAGTATTCAAGAAGGTCGAAAAGCACTGCTCTATACAAATGACACCTTCACAAGAATCTGAAAGATTTGATACTCTCTGCAAATTAGTGAATTAGGACACTTTATCAAATCATACTGTCTGATTAAGCTAACATTAATAGACATGGTTAAAAATGATAAGTCAGATAATAAGGTTCTGCTATTGATACTTCCACTTTATCAACATTGGATAGGTTAAAGATGACTATTCTTTCTCTGCCTGTGATGCCATGTTGAATTTTCGTCGATGTTAAGCCTAACAAAAATGACCTGTTTTTAAAAACGTAATAATGGCTATTTTATCGTCTGAAATTTTATTATTTTTCACAAACAAAAAAATATATAATATATTTCTAAAGTGCATTTTAATATAAAAATTACACGCATAGCAACATCTAGATGCAGAAACAAATATATTCAGGGGTAACGGTCAGGTCAAATGAGATCAATGCAAAAATATTCGGAAACAACACGGGACAGGTTAAAAATTGCATAATTTATATACAATACACATGATATCTGGCTATTGTATGGTGCCGGAAGAGAGTCCCATATTCAATCTTCCTATATTCGATTAGTGGAAATTGCTGACTAGATTCTAAACTCTGCTTTGACTTGCATACTTGACTGGTAAACATACGTGAGAATTTTAAAGCAGATCTCATTACTGGCTTGCAAAACTGTGTCGGGTTCAAAAATTGAACAGTGTGCCACACGTGCTTGAAAGACACACAAAAGTTGGCTAAAGTCCACAAAATGTTGTCAATAACTGGACAAATAAAAAACAAAAGAAAACGTCTGACCGAGACGAGTAGTCGACCGGCAGTACTACAAAGAAGATTCGGTTAGAAAAAGACTAGATTTACAGAAGAATGTCCAGAAGAGAATTCTTTTGGCATTCTGGTTTGTAACATTCTTTCTGTTAAGTCGTTAGCCAATAAATGCATCGTGGTGCTCGAGCATTCGCCCTACTTATTTAACAATTTAGCTTTGTGCAATTTACTATTATTCCCAAAAGTGAAAATCCTGCTAAATGAAAGAGACTTACTAGCTGTTATCAAATTCAAATTCAAAGGAAAATGATATCTAGAATTTTTTTTATTAAAATTTTTTTTTGTAAAATCAAAACCCAAGAGTTTGCTGCCTTAAATAGAATAAAGAAAACACAGACAAAAAATTTGTAGATTTGCCAACTGGAAGATTAGTAATTTTATTTATCTAGTATACATTTAATGCTCATCAACCAGATGATAGTATGGTAAAGTATACATCATCTGTTGCAAGGAATCTAGATTTAAGTCTTATCAAATCCTCGAGATTTTCACTCTTCCCTGGCACGGTGTTGAGCGTTCTCCTTGTGGCTGAATCACTCTGTTTAATTTAATTAACCCCTTCTGCACCACGCTCGACTTCCAGTGACAACAAATTTAAGTAATATGAGATGAATGATAATCGATACCTGTAGATATATGCGAGATGAATATTAGTTAAAAAGGTGATTCAACTATTATATCAGATTTATTTACTGAGGTATCGATTATCGTTCATCTCATATTATTTAAATTTGTCTCTTACTAGAAATAAATTATTTTGAAAAACAATCAGTAAATTCAATTAAACAAAAAATTTAAATAATCACACTTAGTTTCCAGGTGTTAAGATAATTAGTTCAATTAATAATAATTTTCTTTAAATTCTTAGATTTTTGGTCCAGTGATGCAAATAATGAAGTTTAACACCATGGACGAACTGCTGGAGAGAGCCAATAACACGATGTATGGTTTGGCTGCCAGTATTTTCACCAAAGACTTGGACAAGGCGATGCACTTTTCTAGCGGACTTCGCGCCGGGACAGTTTGGTAAATCTTTACTTCCTGCATTCAAATAGATCTCGAGTTTTTACATTATTATTATAGGAAAGCAATGAAAAGAAAGAAAATATTTTATTTATTTTCATTCCAAATTTTAGGATCAACTGTTATGATGTACTGGGAGCCCAGATGCCTTTTGGAGGATACAAGATGTCCGGAATAGGAAGAGAATTGGGAGACTACGGACTGGAGAATTACACAGAGGTCAAGACGGTAAGAATATTTATAATTAGTGCAATATTTTCTCTCACACTTTTCTCCCTTTTGGAGGATTAACACAAAATTTCTTTGGAAATGCAAGACGGCAATCTCTCTTTTCAACTTGCCAATAGACGTGCCATACTGTACAAGCCACGTGACCAGTATCTACTTTGCCGAGGGTCCAGACAAAACTTCAAAAGACAAACTTCCTTTGTCTGAATTATTAGTTGCATCATTTTGTTTGGCATTTATAGACTGCCTCTTTGGAAATAAATGAAAGAATTCAAAGGTACTCTAAGGATGGGCTCGGAAAACTCGGCTAAAGTAAATAGAAGTGGCCGTCCGTTGCTGGATCTGCAACAACAACGTTCACTAATGTTTCGAAAGTTGTTAGATAATATATTTACTTTTTTTCGTCATATTTTGTAATCTGTTTACAAACTATGAGCACATTTTGATGGACAGTTTTTCACTTACACTCTTCAGGCAATAACCTCACTCTCTCCACACTACTAACTAGTTGCACTTACTCATTGATTACACCGTCCAGAAAGAAAGGATGGAAGATTGGAATTTCCCATTAAAAATTGGAAGGAAACTTCATTTTCCTTAGGCATGCATCAAAACAACAGTTGTTATTTCATCTGCTCCAGTAGGATAGTTCTCACCACCTTTTTCAAGTCTGTTGCAAATAGTCATAAGGGGAGAGACGACATTTGACAGCCAATTTCTTGCACTAGTTTCTCCAGGTTAGGAAATGGAGATATAAATCTTCTCCAGTATACTTACATGGGTTTTTTTTGGGCTTCTGCTTTTTCAACTCTGTGCTATACACGAACACGAGGGAAACAAATTATCGACAGACTTACAGCAGTTTAGTTACACCAAAGTGTCTGGGTAAGTTCTTGGAGAACATTTCTGAAAGTGATTAAAATCTGTCAATGGGTTTTATTCATTCAGCTGCTCCAATCTTATCTTCAGAAGGACAAAAATGTAAATTTTGTCATTGCTTTGATAGTTTGCAATTATAGCATAATGAGTTAACCAATACACGTTTTTAAAAATTTAATATTTTAATTAAGTAAATATGTTACAGATATACGTTCACTCATTCAAAATCTCATTTATCATAAATTTTTTCAGGTGACCATCAAGATTCCGCAAAAGAACAGTTAAAAAGAATATTCCTGAGCAAAGATTAACATTCTTTTTTTTTTATAAAACAATAAAATTTTATACATTTCGTTAACGAACTCGTGCATAAATAACATCACAGACAATAAAACGACTTTAAAATCACCGATCCAGCAGTGAAGGAGTGGGACGGGAAACGGCGCTCCGGTCCGATCACAGGCACTTGACGTAAATGGCTGGAAACAGTCCCCTCTTTCCTCTCAGTCTTCCCAGCCACCAGCCGGACGGATCTGTGTCGACAGTAAGATGCCAGTTAATTATTTATTTTCTGACAGAGATCAAAACACTAAATATATTTTCTGAATGACAGAATAGTGCTCAAAATGTTTGCATAATACTATTGATTTTGGTGTATAGTTTTACAATAATATTAATTATAGATTGTATCAAAATTTTGTTAGACAAAAAAAATAGCATTGAGTTGCCTTTTTCAAGAAAATAATATTTGTATTGTGTTTTTCCCACATCTTCATCCAGCTATTATGGAAAATTCTTTTTGCATCCCGGTATTTACTAAACAAAATCGGCTTCAAATCTCTAAAGCTGACAAATTTTTTCAGGTTTTCCAGAGAATTTAATAAGGTAATAAACTCGATTTTGTGTTAAAAAATTCTCGGCTTGTCAACATTTTAAAATAGCAATCAAAAATTGTTGTGATAAAAACAATGCCCCATATGCCTATTATAGATTCTGAAACCTTGAAATAATTACACAATTATAGACAATTTTGTGTGTGTTTGTACAGAAAACAATAAATTGGGAGTTTGACAAGTTTGATGTATGTATGTTACATTAGCCACTAGTTCAGGAATATTTTTGTTACATTATCTTAGGAGTTAAGAGTTTTTGCAGAAATGAAAACACCAGATTAATTCAATGTATTTGAGAAATTAGATCTTATCAACAACTCTGAGCCCTCTAACATAAAAGAAGCTAGAGAAAAGAAAACTTTCTTAAAATAAACTAATCTCTAAAGGGGAAAGAACGAGATCTGTTTGAAAATTTAAACTGTTCCACCCGCTTACTGCAGCTATGGCAAAGAATTATGAAGGAAAGAAGTTAGGCCACATGGCAGTAGTGGTTTGGGTAGCACTGATCACAAAATTAAACACAACAAAATTAATTTTGAGATCAGTGAAATTACCAGAGAAAAGTATCAATTTCACACTCAATAGTCAGTCTTATGATTTTAAGAATTATTTTAATCTCATGTAATGGACTCTAGAGGCCATGTTGCTAACAGAATCTGCCAGAGAATATCAAAAGGTATAGCATGGATATTCTATAGACCTAACAAAGCTTCGGAGATGCCTTAGGTTTTGGTATGCTTGCTCTAAGGCAGAACGATTCAAGGTCTGAGGAGGATGCAGCCTGTCTCTTCGTTAATTCGACCTATGCTGCATAATACGTTTTTACGTGATCGAGAACCAGAGATCTAAAAGCTGGAAATCAAGATGCAACTTTGTTATCAAAATAAACTTAGAGATCCTCTTTAATCAAAAAAATTCAAGATTACGACTATGGACAAAGAAAGGATATTCGAAATAAACAATGAAAATGTCAAAGTAGTCGCCAGGCGGGAATAGACAAAGGATAGCAACAAACAGTTTTAGATACTCAAAATAAAATTAGTCCACACAATAGTTTTTCCTGCAAAATAATGAAACGAAAGAGATTGATTCCATTGAACGGCTAAAACAGGGATAAGCGCAACCTTTTTTTTATGTAAGAACTACACTTCAAAACTTTTAAACTGATGCGGGGGGAAGATGTCGGCAAATCACAATTATTTATTCATATACAATAATAAATTAGCATAGATATACTTAATTTAGCTTCTGAAACTGATGTAAATATAATATATTTAACCAAGTATTTCCGATATTAGTCACTGCTAGTTTTGATGTGTGTGTTAGTACAAATTAAAACAAGAAACTGGCTAAATTCATATATGTGAATAGTTTTTCTGCAACACAAATTGATATGTTTGTTCATATTTTATGCAATGCAGGCGCAAAAGATATTACTGCAGGCCTCAGGTTGCCCATCCCTGGGCTAATGGATCGATCTTTCAATAACTGAAGAAATTGAACTAGAACTTTCTTTAGAAGCCAAAATAATAATCTTTCTTAGTTTGGACATATTATGCAAACAATGCTTGGCAGGATAGGAAGAAGAGGTAGGAATTTTCAAAGTTTTGAAACAGACAAACTCCCTCCAAAAAGGCCCATATTTGGTCATTTTTGGAGGAAGTTTATCTGTAGAGTCATGAGCGAGTCGACAGCAGCAAATGTCAGACAAAACAGAATTTGAAATTCCTTCAAACTATTCGACCATATTTCAAAATCACTATAACATTAGACTAAAATATGCATTCCAGTTTACCAGTGCAGCCGTATTAGTTTTGATTGTATTTTGTCTTTCTGTCGAATATCATAACCAATAAATATTCGATTTTCTGATTATGGTCGAATTATCAAAGAGCACCACACGTTAGAATAGATAAGTAATTTTTGTTTGAATAATCCTACATTCTAACAACATCGTTACCTTCTTTTATCACTTCAATTAAATCTCCAACGTCGAATGTCAGTTCGTCGACATCCTGGGCGTCGTAGGAATAGAGAGCCTCACACTTTGGAAATTCTGGCTTGGGTTTGGGCTTGGGTCTGGTCGGAGGTTTGGGCCTTCCGCCCGCCGGAGGAGGTCTGCGCCGCATCTCATTTGCACTCTGGCACCTGCAAAAAGGACGATCGGAAATAAATAACGTGTGTAAATGTTTTTGCTCCAAATTGTTATTTTGAAGTTGTGGATGTTCCAGTGTATTAAATAAACAATGTTTGTGCTAAAAAGAACCTGCAGCATTTAACACAAATAATAATAGGTAAGTATTATACAGGGTGTCTCAGTTAACGTTTCAGAACTTCTAAGAGGGGTAGGGTGCATTCCAATAACTCTGAATCATATAGCAATGCAGGTTCGGAAATGCTTTCCTGAAGCGGTAGATGGCATTGCACGAAAGTTCCGAGCGTTCTTGCAGGAAATCCTCATTTTGCACTAGGACACAGAGTTTACTGATATGCATTTGGTGTATGGGGCTGAAGATTGTAGTGGACCAACCGCCCAATGATATTTGACAAGACATATTCCCAGCCATAATTTCTTTGCAAACCTGCACCAGAGGTTAGCTGTTAACGTCAACCCTCGAGGGCCTGTTTGTAATATAGGAAGTATACATATATACGGTAGATATATAAGATAAAAGTTTCGAAAGAAAACAGTAATATAAATACCATTGTTTTCCCCGGCATTAATTCTCACCTGTTGCATTTGGTACATTTTTGATTTTGCAGTATGATCAAGTCGAATTAAAAGTCCATTATGGTCTCTAAACTAGTCAGACAAGTCAATTGATTTATTGTGTCAATTTCCATATTAGTTAATGTTCCTCAAATACAGCATAAAATGTCCTCCTGTACAGTTGCTTGCTAAATTTGTAACAGGCACATTGTATGTGAATATTTAATTAATATTTCACCAATCATACTGTATTTAATATAAAACTGTAAACCGTGCATTTCTCTGGACTCCATTTTTCAAAGACTGCTTTTAACAGATCGATATTTTCATCAATATCTTCTCTACTTTAATATAAATATGGTAAATAAGAGAATAAAATCCATAAAGATAGAGATAAAATAAGCAGAACCACATTAATCATCATGTTATCACATTAATATGGAGTTGCATTCTGTTACTAGATAGATCATAGTGCAGAGACTGTTTCGAATCTTTTGGACGAGTTGATATTCAAATATTGTACACAAAAAATTATGCTAGAAATATTTTTGCCGATGCATAGCTTTTAAGAATTTTCAGTCATTTGTATAAAAGTTTAAAATTATTACGCACTTGTGAATTTTAAGTTACATCACTAAGAAACAAAAATACCTCTGTAAAATATAATATGTGTGTTTTTCAAATCAAACTTAATGTCAAGAAGAGCATAAACATGCTGTTCTCTTCTTGGCAAAATTATAAAAATCTTGTTACGAGAACTCTCAAAAATATTTAAAGAACAAATTTGTAAATCAGTAAAATTTGATCTTACCCAGATCCCATTTCAACTCTCGAATTTACATTCTGTGTGTTCTGCGTCCTCTGAACTTCCTTCAGTTGTGTGGAAATTCTCTCCGTTAAATCCACTAAAATTTAAAAATCAGTTAATATCTTACTAAGATTTAATTATAAAATTTAAAACTAACAAATACTAATGCAATATTAATAAGAAATTTAACATTTTAATGATTAAGTAATATAAAATAATAATTCTCTATTTTTAACTGGTTCTTCAGCAATTCATCTTCCTTCCACATAACATTGAATGATCAAACAAAAGGAAAATGAACGTAAGGCGTCTGACTCATCGCCCCCAAACTCTTTGCAACTTTTCCTTTTGTTTCATGGGCAGGTATAAGATTCTTCCCATATAAACAGTTTGTAGTGGCATTGTACCTTCTTACAATGTAACACATTCCAATAAATTTGCCTCTTAAATGCTAATTCTTAGAATCTACTTTCATGCAGCAGCCTTAAAAGCAAACTATAATTTGTATAAAGGTACGTAGCAGAAATCAATCTTTCATTCCAGTTTTATCCCGAGATCAAATTACACTTCTTCCTAAATGTTTGTTTGTACAAAGGCATTACTTTGGATTTCTTTTGTATGACATTCGGTGTTAAAAACCTTATGTATTTTGATGTTTAATTTGAGTGAAAAAATTACAATTGTCCCTCCTCCGATTAACTAAAATTGAAATATTTTGTTTAAACACACCCTATTGTATTATTTTTATAGTTTTGAGATCTGGAATAAAACTTGCATTTGCTTTACAAGAAGTAATGATTCTTGCAAACAGTTTATTCAATAGTTCGTATTGGAAAACTCACGGTAACTAATTCTTTAATGATTCGGTCTTATTACTTAATCCAGTCTTCAATATTAAAGTTACATTTAAAATTTTTTATTAGCATCAATTGTATTTTTAATGACTTACCGGTCTGCATTACTGGAACACGAGGAGGCTGTGACCGGGGAGGTTGGGGAGCTCGCCTGGCAGTCGAAACGACATTCTTGTTCCGAGGATCCGTGCCGTCGACCTTGTGCTTCGTTGTATTTGTTCGAGAAAACTGTTTGGTTCCGGGTCCTAAATTAAGTAAATCGTAAGAAAAATGTATTTGTATTGTGTAGTCTTCAAGCCGAAGACTAAAAAAGGAATTTAAAGAAAGGACTTACATTGCTTAGTGACAAGAATATTTTTGATAAAATAATTTTCTGTTATTCAAACTAATTTACATTGACAATTTGGGCACACGAATGTGTGTGTTCAAATTATTGCCAACTCTCTATGATTATTACTGACAGTAAAATTTGCATTTTGCTACACTCATTCCTGTAATAATTTTGGCATGCCAAAAGTATAATTCTAATTATGTTAATTTACTAACTACAACGAATACTTAATGTATTTAGCACACATTTGGTAAATTATATGAAAACATCACCATTCTTTAACAAGCACTCTTAACTTACGACGATAGATATTAGAAAATGTATTTTCTACTCACTAGAATCCACTGGGAGTCCTGCTCCGATGGAAACAATCAAAGTTTTGCCCGATATTTTCGTAGTGTGTTTATCACCGCCACTGGTAACCACGGTCACGTGTTTCACGGCACCTCCTCCGAAACCTTCTTTTTTAACTCTGAATTCCAACCTATTAGGTAAAAAAAAATTGTTTTATAAACTATTTGAAATGTTTGCTTTTAAATACATTTCCAATTAATTTACAGCATTAGTTCATTGAAATACTAACACACATCTCAAAAATGAAATTTGGCATCAGAAATTTAATTTTGTTTTGTTTCCATCTGGGACAAAGCCAGAAATTTCAGCGGAAGTCAACTTAGTGGCCCAAGACCACTAGCAACACAAGTCTCATACCAGTACAGACATGCACTTGTATACAAGCTGTACACAAACCATTGACACTCAATAAATAAAAAGTTGAACAAAAGTATTAAATTTTATTCTTCCTCACTGCATGGCTAGTCGTAACCTAGTATTTGAATCCGACTTGCATGTTTTTGTTTTGTTGTGTGATCGACTGCCGGTGACATTCTTTTTCACCATGTTTGCTTTTAAACTTAAGCAGGATTGCAGTGGCGAAGACAAGGCAAGTGCCAGAAGAGCATTAGTTTGGAAAATGCCACTTTGTGTGACATCCCCACTATCTATAAATTTAAATTTGGCACGAACATTTATGTACAGTACATTAAATAACAATATGTAGAAATTGGACAAATATGTAGTAATATATCACATAAACAAAATAAAACTATATTTTTAGCCAAATAAAGAAATAAAACAACATTGTTTTTGGCATGTTCTACACATTTATCTTAACAGTTAATTCCAATTAAAAATTTAGAAGTGTTGAAGAGAGAGACTCATTTTTTTAAGCATGTCTTTGTAATTTCCTTTTTACGTGCCTCAGACACGGCGATGTGATGCGGGCGAATGGCAGAGTTGAGTTTTACTTTGAGGTTCTTTGCTGCCTCGATACGTAAAACCTGTCAAAATTGCCCCTCTGGCCATAGTTCTATATAAAAATATATCGTTGATAAAATATTTCACCAACAACACACTTTCAATGATTAAGTCTGTCATTCAAAGTATAGCAAATATAATGTATAAGTAAATGTAGAAAACTATTATCATGTAAATGATGTGTATTGTTTGACTTGTCACTGGGCAAACAAACTTAAAATGGTTTAAAAATATTTGATGTCTTCAAAATAAAAATACTATGGTATTTATGGAGTTTTGATGTATTTTCAAAGAAGATTGGCATTTGATTATATCTATTCTTTCGTCCATAATTTGTGTGCATTAAAAAATTCACTATTTAAAAGTATTATAAAAAACATTAAGAACTTACTTATCACTGAAATGAAGAGTGAGAGGTCTGTGACAGCATTCCTGGTATTTTTTATTAAGAACTGTGACAAATTCCGTCTTAAAGACGCATTCGATCAGACTGTCGTATTCGTTTTTCACATGTATCACCACAAAGTCATCTTGGTGTTTACTAAATATTCACAACACACAATATATTAGTAAAATTATTTATTTTCTTAAAAATAAATGATAATTTATACAAAACACTAAGAAATATAGTAGTCTGATTAACCACAGTTTCTACAAAACTATATAATATGCCAAAAAAATATTATAATTAATTTTCTCATTAGGGTAAAACTATGATTTTCAATATCTCAGAGTAATGGTATGGTATGCTTTAACAAAGTTCTTACAAGTACTTATTCGCTTGTAATACATTGAACAGACAAATTGCAAGCCAAAGAACTTACTAACATGATCACAATTATCTAAAGTATGTTTTAAATGTTTGATTATTAGAAATTTTAGAAAAGTAATGAAAATTTATATAAATTTAAATTTCATATTTACATCTCTTAAAAATGATATACTGTAACAACTTCAACTTTCAATTTGAAATACATTTAATGAATTACTTAACATTTTTTAATTTTTACATTGAATATCAAGCCCCATCATAATTACTTTGCCTCAAACTAAAGTATATATTACTAATAAAATTTATTGAATATAAAATAACTAAAAGTTCAAAAGAAAATTATCGACTGACATCTTGACAGTAAATTCTATATTTATTATCAGATATACGAGATGCTGGAACAATGTGTTTATTACAGATTACATATATAAAAAAATAAACTTGATGCATTTCTTCTTGAAAGAGAGAACTGCATAAAGGAATTAAATTTCAAAAAATTTGAGAATGACTAACAATATAATGTTTTTCTATAACAATATCTGTTATCATATATAGTATATTATTACTATATTATACAGATTTGGCCAATGAGTCAATTGAAATTGGCTGGCCTATCATAAATGACATTGCTTATTAAAACAAAAAATATTTGCAATTTTCATGGGAATGAATTTCATATTTTCTGCAGATAAATTTACTATTAGTCTTTAGTGCGTTACCTTAACCTGACCTGTGTTATTCCGGACATATCTCGGATCACGACCTGCTGATGTTAAAACAATGTGTCATGATTTCTGTTTGTAATCAGAAAACAGAAAAAAGAACGCACAGAGATACAAAATGGTTAATGCGAGAGAATGGAAGGCTCTTTGTATCAACAATTGTAGCTAGATCAGTGATATTTCAGAAATTGCTTTCGTGTCCAAAACAATTTCAATTTCGTGCAAAATGAATGCACAGAAAATAGAGCAATATTTGTGATTTCTGAGAGATGAGTGGAAATAAAACACTTAAAATGCATTTATCTTTTGTCATAATAAAATTTTTATGTTTCAATATCATTTTCACTCAGTAAATAAATTATATTTTGCAAAAAATTTACAAGAATGGGTTGATAAACTTTTACAAATGAGTAAAAATGTGTATTGTAGGCATCCTAGATATCAGTACTCTAGCTTGTAAAAGTAGGTCACAATCTGATATAAATTAGTAACATCTATGTATATCATTGGGCTGCAAATTTTAAAAATTGTAGACCTATAAATTTCCACTGTCGTCTGTTTGTCCTATTTTAATCTCGAGAATGGTGTTAGATAAAAACTTCGAGACCAAATATGGAAAGCTTAGAGGTAGGAGGCCTTGATTAACTATATACAAACTTCAAATGCAAACCAGAAGTCACATTATTTTGATTCAAAAATTTTTCCCTGAAAGAAGTTGGATAGATGACTGGCAAACCCCATTACTAACAGAAAAGTATGATGTACAGAGGTAAGATATTACAGTAATTTGAGATGGAGAGCATATATTTTAACTTAAATTAAAAATATGATTTAAAATTGCAGCCTAGCATTGTAACAATAAATAATTGCTCATTTAAATTAAATTTATTTGAATATATATATACATATACTTTTAATAAAAAAACTCAGTTTTTCATACCTCATTGCAATATGAATTACATTTTCCAAATGAATTTTCCTCTTAATCACTTCCTTCACTTGTCCCTTGTCGGCTCCCTTTTTCACCTGAAATTCAGTTCATGGCATAAGGCAATCTTATTTTATTGTCACGAATAATACCACACAGAATCCAAAAAATAAACCCACAGTTAAGCAATTAAATATTTATAATATTTATAAAGAAAACTATTTAATAATTATCAGGAATGAATTAAGATATATTATTAGTCTTGGTTTTAATAACTCTAAAACTGAAATGTTTGTATTCAAAGTGCTTTTCTTTAGAAATTATTATAAAATATCAGGATTATTTTGCTACAGGCTAAACTATTAAATATATAAAAAACATGAAATACCTTTTCTCTTCCTATTAGATAAATATGTTTTGCAGTTATGATCAAATCTCTCTTGCTTATCTAACAAAAATCAGTTAAATTTTAATTTAAATTTAATTATTTTAATAATTAATCAGGCACTGAAATCATTTAACTTACTTTAAATCGTCTGTCATATTTTTTGACCGTTTCGGCAAATTCGACGTGCTCTCTTCTTCCCAACAGACTGCGTATTCCTGGATGTTGATCTAATCCTATGTAATCGCCAATAAAATTTCTATTCAGACTGTATCTTCTTCTTTCCTTCTTCCCATAAACTAAACTGCATGCTAAACATTATCATTTTAATTAATTTTATATTTATATTCTGGAACTATGCAAAATAAACAATAATTATTTCTATTTTTATTAATAGTATTATTTCTAAAATATGGATATACTAGTCTAAGCACTAGGCATTGACCGGAGAACCATAAACAAGATGCCATAACCGGAGAAAATTTTGTTACGGCTACATAGTGGCTAGCAAATTAGTTACGGAAATTAACAACTAAGTCTAAAAAAAGAAAAAAAATAGATTCATAACTGGAACTAATAATTTTTCAAAGAATATGTGGCTCTGGGCTCTGACTCCAACAAAAATAGAAATTATGACTAGCCATGGCACCGACTCCAAAGTCCCAAAGAAGAGTTTCCTTGGAAGATCTGCAAAAGTGGCAAAAGGCCAAGGAGGAATGCTTTAATCAGCACGGACATTTACGATGGTGACCAAAACTGATTGCGATACCTACAAAAAGACAAACACAATTTCTGCCAAAAGCCAAGAAATCCTTAGTCTGCCTAGAGATCTGGCTAAACAAAATGATTATTCTGCTTTAAATCTAGAGTTAAACTCCACAACTTAGAATGATTGGAGGTAATCCATTCTTTAATGGCCTAAAAAAGTATTATAAGAAATACTAAACCCATCTGGACCAAACAAAGATATGAAGTTCTCCATTTGGTCATTAAATTGGCACTTACATTGCTAACAACATATTCACATCCCGGCACTCACAACAGAAAAAGATCTATTGCCGGTAGCCAGCTTGTACAGGCACGAATGGCATTCCCATATGAGTGCCAAAGTAACCCTACAAGAGTCGAGTGCCTTTAAGGCATCCCAACTTCTTTTCTATTATACTGCAAATTGTAATCAGATTAAATGCAATATTATATCTTTAAGTTATGCATTCTGTATGTATTATGTCAACATAATAATTGTGAATAAATGCATTTTATGCTTGTCAAGTCATAACTGCTCATTTGTTGTTCTCCTTATAGTTCAAAATTTAAATAAAGACAGTATGTATTTGCAAACTAAAATTATAAAAGTAATTTTACCTTGTTCTTTCATTTTCACATGTTGCTTCTTGGCAAAATAAAATCTGAAGGCTTTTTGGATAATGCGAGCATAATTGTCAAATTTTCTCTCTCTCATTTCTTCTAACAGAAACAGCTAAAACATTGTTTTAATATTTTTATAAAATTAAGTTATAGAAACGTTCTAAATCATATATAATTAGTTAATATAACATTAAAATGTATTAAAGATAATGATAGAAAATTTGAAAATTTTGACTAATAAAGTTAGCATCAAAACTATGCTTCTGCATTATAACAAGTAAATATAATTCACTTAAGAAAATAATATATAATATATAGCTTTATTTACCGATTCAGGTGCTTTAATAAATATCTTAGTCTTTCCTAATTGATACTGATCACTTTCCATTCTGACACTTTGAAGTATATGAACAACACCATGTTGGATATTGCCTCTCCACTGTGGCCAAGTTTCTTTAGTTAATATTGCATATCTGAGAAATTAAACAAATTATATAATGGAAATTGTTAATGTAATAGATAATAAATAAATATTTATTAATAAATTTTGCTTTTAGCCCATGATTTTAATTTAGATAGAGTTAGATAGCCTAATAAATAGGATTTAAGAATTTGGAGGGCTTATCACACCAAGGCCGACAGAAGAAAAGACCAAATCTTATACAAAAAGGTTTGGTCAAAAAAAGGCATGATAAGCTCTTCAAATTGTTAAATCCTATTTATTAGGCTATCTAATTCTACCTAAAACAAATATTTATGAAAGTATTGCGTCAATATATTAATATATGTATATACAGTATATGTATTCATTTTAATAAAAAATGACATGGTCCAAATAAATGCCAGACTTGATAATTTTTTTATTGAAATTATTTCTAATATTAACAAATGCTTTCTCTTTTTTCTCTCCCTTTTTACTCTTTCTGCCCTTGGACACTAATAGACGTTTTTATTGAATGTATTGCGGGTCTGACCGGGCCAGTAGGGGTGACCAGGTGACGAAGGATGAGACCTAATGCGTTTCAGACAAACCCAACTCATCCAAATTCATTTCTGGATCCCCTGGAGTGGTGGGCCAACACTTTAATTGTACGGCCATTTGACCAAAACTTTCACTTGATATTTACTACATAATGGCAAAAATTAGATATTATTATTATTAAACACTCTCAAAAGCTGGATCAGTTGATTAAAAATACTGCACACCATTCATACTTATTCCTGTACATTAATATTTAATGGAAACACAAACATTTAGTGACCTTCATCAAGCAAAATGTAACTTATTTGATATAAAAAACAGTCCTCATTTGATGAAGATCCCTAAAAGTGACTAAAAATGTTTGTGCTTCATTAAATATCAATGTGTGGGAACAGGTACAAATGGTGTGCAATGCCCTTGTTATTGTTAGTGCTTAATTAAAAAAAAGCACCAAATTGATAACATCTAAAGTTCACAATTTATTTTATTGGATTCCCAAAATAAAATTTTCATGTCGAGTCAGGTTGTAAGTTTAAAATTTTAAATTTTCATTTATAAAGCAACATTAGTATTTAAACTTATATATTCTGACAAGCCTTAAGAATATCAAATCAGAAATTTAAATGACAATTTTGTAGTTAACAATTTTACTAAACACAAAAAATATTTTAGTATCTATTATCTGTTTAGTTTATAAATAAAAATAATCACAAAATAGTTTAAATGTTAAATGTCTTGCATTCACGTTAAAATGCATTAAAAAATCTTGCGCTTACCTGTTCAAAAATTTTTCGAACCGACGCCTGTAGGCAAAACCTGCTCTCCGAACTCTGACGTTTTCCTTCAGGCCAAGATACTCTACCTGATGCCTGACCCTATCAAAATAACAAATAGTAAGAAAATACATTAGTTTAACAGAAATAATATAATAAGTGGAAGTTAGAAATATATTGCAATGTATAGGAAATTAATAGAAATCACTTAACAAAAAATTTGAAATGGAATTGGTAAATTATCAAATAAATTGGCCAATTCTTAATACAGTAGAGCGTCGTTTATCCGAAAGCCGATCAACCGAAAGCATTCCAGTCGGACTGTGTCGTGCTGAATTGAACGTTTTTGATACTAGATTAACTTCTAAAGTATAATTTTTTTGTTTTTATATTTTTCAATATATTTTGTTTGTACAAAATAAAGAAATAATTTATAATAATACAATAGCCACAATTATTATTTTAAAAAATTTACATTAGGCTTAACAGCGATGAAAATTCAATGCAAAGCGACACGCAACGAATGAAAATTTCAACATGGGATAGGTTAATATATTTTTTGTACATAATCGGTTATCCAAAAAATAAGTTATCCAAACAACCCGTCCCCAATTGATTCGGATAAACGATACTCTACTGTATATCGGACATTTTATCAAAAATAAACAAAATTTGAACAATTTGTAACAGTCTTTGCTAATAAATTGAAGACTAAATACAGATGTTCATTTGTAGCCTTAGGAACACAATTAAGTTAACAATTATAAGAACTTTGTTTTTGTGTTTATTTACTAAAATATATTAGTCAAATTTTTACCTTTCTTCGTCCCAGTCGAGTGGCTTTTTGGTTTCATTAGGTTTAATGCATCTAATATAATGTGGAGTGCATTGCATTAATGCTTCTACTAACTTATTTGCCTGAGTCTATGAAATAAATAAAAATTCATCTTTTTTTATTCTAATTTCTTACTTTCAACAAATCACTTATGTACAGAATTTGAATTACGCTCACCTTTATTTTACTTCCGGCAGTGGTGGGTCTGTTTCTAACCGTACCGCTAATGACTTCGGGAAACAACTTTACGACAAACGGACTAGAAGTAAAAATTAAATATCGTAATTAACTTCACTTTGCTTTCTTTAAACCGTATAAAACAATGCACTTACTTTTGACTAGTTTGCATGACTTGAATAATGTCAGTAAATAATAAATCTCTATTTCTTTCGCTAAAACCTTCCACGTCATATGACACCTATTTAGCAAAATATAAACCGATTTACACAACTATCGAGATTTAAAATATAAATTAAAACAAAATATCGTAAATGTTATTATGTGAAATACATTCAAAAACAATATTATTAATAAATTTTGCTTTTAGCCCATGATTTTAATTTAGATAGAGTTAGATAGCCTAATAAATAGGATTTAAGAATTTGGAGGGCTTATCACACCAAGGCCGACAGAAGAAAAGACCAAATCTTATACAAAAAGGTTTGGTCAAAAAAAGGCATGATAAGCTCTTCAAATTGTTAAATCCTATTTATTAGGCTATCTAATTCTACCTAAAACAAATATTTATGAAAGTATTGCGTCAATATATTAATATATGTATATACAGTATATGTAATGTATTCATTTTAATAAAAAATGACATGGTCCAAATAAATGCCAGACTTGATAATTTTTTTATTGAAATTATTTCTAATATTAACAAATGCTTTCTCTTTTTTCTCTCCCTTTTTACTCTTTCTGCCCTTGGACACTAATAGATGTTTTTATTGAATGTATTGCGGGTCTGACCGGGCCAGTAGGGGTGACCAGGTGACGAAGGATGAGACCTAATGCGTTTCAGACAAACCCAACTCATCCAAATTCATTTCTGGATCCCCTGGAGTGGTGGGCCAACACTTTAATTGTACGGCCATTTGACCAAAACTTTCACTTGATATTTACTACATAATGGCAAAAATTAGATATTATTATTATTAAACACTCTCAAAAGCTGGATCAGTTGATTAAAAATACTGCACACCATTCATACTTATTCCTGTACATTAATATTTAATGGAAACACAAACATTTAGTGACCTTCATCAAGCAAANAACTAATAGGCATTGATAATTTCTATTTTCACACATCATTGGAAAATTCTACGATTTCCGAATGCATCAAACTTTTTTGGCAGAAGAAACAAAATCGCCAACATGCAGAACAGATAACTAAAATAACTTTTGTATTCTTTATTTATGTATTTCCTTTCACATATGAATATTGAGTGATTAACATCTAAAATTTTTTATAAAAACATAAATAAATAATCAAATTTCATCCATAAAGAAATTTGATTTTTTCAGAAATTAGTATGCTGACTAAGAAATCTAGTGATTTAAAAAATATATTTAATTTTGAGTGGTATATTTCTTTGTTAGTTGATTGCTGATGTCACACATCTCCCATTTCTTTATTTAAAATAATTTAAATAAATACAAAAGACTTCTAGATAAGTTATAAAAAGCAAAACATTTTGATTAATATTTTTGAGAGCAACGATCCGAAAACGAGACTCATTAAAGGCCTTATATTGTGCGTGTGTCATTCAGAAACTTTTGATCCCATTCGATTATGATGATTCACACTTGAATAAATATCTTTTGATCTTCCATTCAAACTTAAACTAATAGAATGGCTTTCAAAGAAACTCGCTCGAGTGACGACAAACAAAATCGGGCGAGATTAATGATTTTTTGAATGACGTTCCAAAGACGATAAAATGTTTTGAATGATGATCCGAAGACGAGAAATCTCGCTCGTTAAGTCCTTTATAATACTAATTAATGTAAGGAGTTTATTTTGGTTTGCCGATTATAAAATAATTTTATTTTATATATTTATACAAGCTTGATAATTATTTTTTGGATTAATTGGATGGCACAACTGAACTTTAGTAATTATAACCAAAATTATCCATATATTTTATATTAATATAAAATTTACAAAAATTCAATTAAAAGTGAAATTAAAAGTATAAAGAAATAATAGAAGATTTGTTAAATTAATTGAAGCAACTGAACTGGTTACCTGTTGCAACTGTTCGTCCGTTCCTTCGTTAACGGCATGCATCGTGGCACATATGTCGTCTAGAACGCTCATTATGCCGGGGGGAGATTTATTTTCTATCAAATCGCAGACTATTTTATTATTAAAATAGTCAATTGGAGTCCATTTTATTCCTTCTTGAATATATTCTTCCTAGCAATTTATAAAAATTGCTCTGATTAAACTTTTATATGATAAAAATTATTACAGATGAATTTTGAAGTTCATTCTCATTTAGAAATTTTTTCATATATTAACCTTATTAACTTATAATGCTAATTTACTATTATTGTTAATTAATAACTGATAAATACTAAATTATATAGTCTTTCTTGTAACATGAATTTTATATGTTTACATTTCCAGTTTTATATCACATGGATTTGTAATGTTTTCTTGTATTACTTCACAATCAAAGATGAGAATTCCTTTTGTTCTGTTTAATTCTTAATAAAATACATTTTATCAAAAAATGTCTTCTGCACTTTGGTTATTAAAAGGCTCGTGAAAGCTCGTTCACCAAGATTTAAACCTATCAAGGAACCTATAAACACACCAATAGAGTAAAATAACAATGTCGCCAGATACCCAGTAACAGGTAAAGATTTAACTACTTTACTTGTCCTGTATTATGATGATAATTTTATGCTTTAAGAGGCACACCAATTGTTGTGCAACTTCTAAGATACAACGACATAAATCAGACAATTCCTAAGTCAATGTAAATGTCTAGCATATCTTTTCTTTCCAATTCTCTTTGGAGAGCCAGAAATAAAAGATATACTAGGTATTTACATTGTCTGGCTTGCCAAAGAAAACAATAACATTTAATACATAGTTTCTACCTACAGATCCTTGAGATGATGCATGCTGGAACATTACAAGTCCATTTATAACAATAAACAAGCCAGCACAGTATCAGCAGAATGGGTCTCAAATAGTAAGATACTAGTTGACCAAAACATCTCTTAATTATTGAGAAATGGTTAGAAGCAGGTTCCATCAGGTTATTGGAGCATTATTACATATGACTCTTATTGCTCTCTCTTAATGTAACCCTGAGATGCATTAACTTTGGACATGAGGTGATCCACCCTCACACACATCCACAATGTCTCCTCTCTGGTAAATAGGTTATTCACGAAGTTTAGCTCCATCAATAGCTTGATGTAACTAAACCTTGTGAATAAAGCTATGCAAATAAAGGAATTAGGATAAATATTTAGTATCCTTTCTCTTTCAATTTAAAATGTATGAGAATTTTGATAATGAAATATACTCACTGACAAAAGGTATGCACAAAGAAAATGTTGGAATCAAATAGTTTAACTTTTGTTAATTTTTCTTTAAAATTTAATAAATAATAATGTTATTCAACTTTCAAAATTCATCCAAATGATTCTAAAATTTTACTGTTGTTTTTTAAAAAATATTAATAGATTGACAAGATAATTATTCAGTAAATAAAAATCAAGGTATAAATGGTAATATAAAATTATTATATTCATTTGAAAAAGAAATGAAGATCAAAATAGATTCATTTCTGAATAGCATTTAATATAAAATTGAAAAGAACAGATCACTTTCTTAATAGAAATTTGCTTCCTTTCTAAACTGTACACTCGTTTCTATTTTTGAATAAGCAATTAACCTAGTGCAATTTATAACAAATGAAATATTATTAAATTTATGTTCTTTTTAATATAGAAATATGTGATATAATTATGTAAACTTAGATATANGACCATGAAATATTCAATATATTTGTAGATAGTTAAGGATAAAACTGACGATGTATGTATTATTGATCTTGGTTTTTTGAAAGTTAAAAAGTTAATGATATAATAAACTCATTTTTAAATTCTAAAGATGCAGCAGAATTTGTTAAAGTGCTATTTAACAATTAAATTGAATGTCTAGAAATATCACAAAGGACCATGAAATATTCAATATATTTGTAGATAGTTAAGGATAAAACTGACGATGTATGTATTATTGATCTTGGTTTTTTGAAAGTTAAAAAGTTAATGATATAATAAACTCATTTTTAAATTCTAAAGATGCAGCAGAATTTGTTAAAGTGCTATTTAACAATTAAATTGAATGTCTAGAAATATCACAAAGGACCATGAAATATTCAATATATTTGTAGATAGTTAAGGATAAAACTGACGATGTATGTATTATTGATCTTGGTTTTTTGAAAGTTAAAAAGTTAATGATATAATAAACTCATTTTTAAATTCTAAAGATGCAGCAGAATTTGTTAAAGTGCTATTTAACAATTAAATTGAATGTCTAGAAATATCACAAAGGACCATGAAATATTCAATATATTTGTAGATAGTTAAGGATAAAACTGACGATGTATGTATTATTGATCTTGGTTTTTTGAAAGTTAAAAAGTTAATGATATAATAAACTCATTTTTAAATTCTAAAGATGCAGCAGAATTTGTTAAAGTGCTATTTAACAATTAAATTGAATGTCTAGAAATATCACAAAGGACCATGAAATATTCAATATATTTGTAGATAGTTAAGGATAAAACTGACGATGTATGTATTATTGATCTTGGTTTTTTGAAAGTTAAAAAGTTAATGATATAATAAACTCATTTTTAAATTCTAAAGATGCAGCAGAATTTGTTAAAGTGCTATTTAACAATTAAATTGAATGTCTAGAAATATCACAAAGGACCATGAAATATTCAATATATTTGTAGATAGTTAAGGATAAAACTGACGATGTATGTATTATTGATCTTGGTTTTTTGAAAGTTAAAAAGTTAATGATATAATAAACTCATTTTTAAATTCTAAAGATGCAGCAGAATTTGTTAAAGTGCTATTTAACAATTAAATTGAATGTCTAGAAATATCACAAAGGACCATGAAATATTCAATATATTTGTAGATAGTTAAGGATAAAACTGACGATGTATGTATTATTGATCTTGGTTTTTTGAAAGTTAAAAAGTTAATGATATAATAAACTCATTTTTAAATTCTAAAGATGCAGCAGAATTTGTTAAAGTGCTATTTTTTGTTTTTGAATCATTGTTATAAAATTCTGCTTTGAAGATTGATGGAAACATATTTGCCAATTTAAATTAAATTAATATGGTATAAATATTGTACAACACATGAACACTACATCACATATCAGTTGGAAAAGTTTTTGATAAACTCCTCCTGTAGTGTCTCTTTTTAACTTGTGTCTCCTGACCAATGAAAAAGTTGGCATCCCACATGTGACAGTCTTGTTTCTTGTGCCAAGAACTAATGACAAAGGTGTCAACAAACCAATTCACTCTTAGATATAAATGATTTATAGTGTTGCTTATGTTCCATCCCATTCACAAAGAAGTCAATGCAGTTTTTTGTCTACATTTGATCACTAAAGCCAAGTTCAATTGTACATTAACAGTAATTAATAGTGTTTGATCTTGATACTCATTATCAGAAGAATGAACTAGTTCTTATATTCTAAGTTATATAGATATAAAGTTAAGAGCTATATAGTTCTTATATTATAAATTTTTAAAGTTTAAAGCTATACTTGAAATCTGTATTATAAGAACTAGTTTTTCCCCTCCCAAAAGTGCTTGAAAACATTTTTCATTTGCTTTTGTAGGTTTTTGACTCGAAGACATTTTTTATTTATCTTTATTAATTGGCATTTTCAACTGACAACAAATATATTGAAATGAATGAAAGATGAAAATATATATTCCATTTTGTCATATTTTTCAGTTAAAAATCTTTTTAATATAACTTTCCATAAATATAATAATATAAGCTTCTAAATACAAATATGTCGCACTAACCATATACAGCTTTGCAGTTAATTTTTGAAACTTAACACTAACGTTTTTGGTTCATCCTAGGACCTTCTTCAGATGGAGTTCTATAAAAAATTTTTCTGGTGCGATCCAAGTTCAATTTAGCTTTTGATTCTAATTGTTCCAATTTCAAATGCTTCTATTTTCAAATTTATTATTTTTAAATTTTAAATTTCCAAAACTGTATGCCTGCACCGGCCATTATAGTGCCGGATCATTCATAGCCTGTCATGCTCTCGAGAGTTGTTTTTCGTCTTTAAAATTGATTGACAGGCCTTGGCAATCCACTTTAAAAATTTCCAATGCCTCCAGATTCTGTAGTTGGTTTATATGATGAATTTGCCAGATTAACTGCAAAGCTATATATGGTTACTGTGATGTATTTGTATTTATAATTATTGCCTTGTTCATTGGATGGATTTAAATATAAACTTCCATATAAATGAGAAAAGCAAGTTTATTTACAAAAATAAATTATAATAAATATTACAGAATAATTGAAGAAATAAAATATCACTTGCTTTGTTCTCATTCATTCATCTTGTACCAAGATTATCATCTTAATTTCTTACCTGAACAATGTAATCAAATAGACGAGAATATAATCCTTTGGCCCATGCATCTCTAGTATAAACTGCCTGCTCTACGTTTAACTGCATTTGAATTGTCTCCGTACGGCCGCCCCATTTACTATCCATCGTTCTACTTATTAATTTGGATTTAATCAAATCTTTATCCACTCCAAATAAGTATGCAGGAAATTCTAAAACTATAACATATAATATAATGTGTCAATCTGTCAGAATGTCCGTAATTTGTCAAATTTATATTATAATTTATAAAAATATTTGCACACATGTTCTAACACTTACATTCTTCGTCTCTAACAACAGCAAAATTAGCATGTTCTTCAAACGAGATATTTCCCATGTGTAAAATTCCAGCAACAACTTGTAACACATTAAACTGGTCATTATCAGACATTCCCATAACAGTCATGGCTCTCTAAATAATAATAACTGACTGAGATAGCAACTCGTAAACGTATTTAAAATGATATATTAAAAAAATTATTATATTACAAAAAATATAAAATTTTAACTAAACTAAGAAACAATACAAATATATGATTCTTTTAATTTAAAAACTAATATGCAGCTTAGATTAATATTTCTACATAAAAAATTGTCTAGCCCAGAGACTGGCAACCTTTCGGCAATGTTGTGCTGAACCTAAGTTATAATGTTATTCCAAGTGCCGGCACAATCTACCAATTTTGTGATATTATCAAAATTGGTTTGGTTACAATGGACTTCAAAAAAATATAATTTTGAAGTTAAGTTGTTAATTTAATTATATTCTTACATGTGAAGCACATCCACAACACATAGATGGCAACAAGGAGTAAATACATATGCTGTAATATAAATATACAAGCGAGAGATTTCTTTTTAATGTCCTATGGTCTACACTGAACTACGGCTTCCATTTAAATGTGTAATTAATAAATTAAGATATAATTTTTACTACATTGCTATTCAATCAGAGTGCCACTGAAAATCATCCCACACATGTGCCATATGTGACCTCTAATCTAGCCCAATTTATTAATATTAAGCCAAATATGTAATTTCCAGATTTATAGGGTCATTTGGGCAGATAATTTAATTAACTAAATATTTTGTCTGCGTAAACAATTTGGCAGTTAGGCCTTTTAATAAATTTTTAGTTAATTAATTAATTAAACTAGTATTCCGAAAGTATCTCTATAAATGCAACAATTAAATATTTGGTTTAATACTGATTTTTCTGTTTTGTAAAAAACTGTTATCTGTTCAAAGGATTGCAGCTCTCTGCACTTGTAAGGCTTATAGGACCACACCCACTAGTGCTGTTCTGGTAATGTCAGGGTTGACCCCTATTGACTTAAATCCAAGATGGATGATGAAATGGGTGCTGCATTTGTAGTTTACTCTGACTTAGGTCATGAGCTTCACAATACTTGCTTCTGTCTAGGACTGGTCTAGGTATATGTTGCTCAATAACACAGGTGAAAACTTTAGCTATTTATATGAGCTTAATTCACATTACGTGTAGAAAGGACAAAAGACATTACTTACACTATCGCATTTATTTGACAGTGGGGTAGCTTTGCACAGAATTGCAAAGTCTGATAGCCACTTAAAACTCGTCCATCTCATACATCACATCCTCAGACTCTTAGACAACAACATTAGAATATACTTCCTATGGGTCCTGGGTCATGCAGGGGTTCTCGGCAACAAGGCCGCAGACTGTCTTGCCAAACAAGCTGCAAAGTCTTCAGTCACTAGTACCTTCAGTTACATTCCTAACTCGTACATTAACAATCATGTCAAGAAGCAAATCTTGATTCTCTGGCAAGACAGCTGGGACCATGACACCACTGGTAGGCTCACCTACACTTTCATCCCCAAGTTTGACACTACTGCGATTCTTCACCACTTTTACCCTAGTTACAGCCTCACTCAGCTACTTACAGGACATGGCAAATTTAAGCAATACTTGCATAGATTTAACCTTGGGGAATCCACGATGCGACTGTGGTATTCAGGAGGCCCAAATACCACTTCACTTAGTTTTTTGCAGCAATATGTACAATCACATTAGGGATAGTTTAATGAGATCTGCTATTCTTGAAGGGTACATACAACTGGCCTTGTAACCTGCACCAACTCATTTACATGTGTACAATGTTCCATCATCTATTTGCATTCTTATCCCTTAGTGGGGCTCTTGAGAGCACACACTCCAGGGGCACAGATGGCAGTTAGCTTTCCCTTGCTCTGTTTCAACTTTCAACTTTGTATTTTAATTCTTATTTTCTGGCTTCTTTTCAGTCTAAATTCAGTTAGTTTAAAGTTAGTTATAGTTGCATGTTAGATTAGGGACTCTTAGCTTGGTTTCCAATTAGATTAGAGTTTGTTAGCTTTAGTCTTCTGGTTAGGTTCGTTTTAGGTTATAGTAGGTTAGTTTAATTAGTGTGTAAATTAATGTAAAAAAGATTTTGGGGTCTTGCTCATTTGTCTTTTGTCAGTCTGTTCGTTTCGTCTAGTTTGTCATCGTGTTTGTCTGTTTTCACACTGCCTATCTAGCAGTTAAGTAGTATTAAGATTCATGCTCATGTTCAGTTTTATTAGTATTACATAGATATAAATCTTTCTACTAACAGCCACTTAGCACTAACCTCTACCCTTAGCTATTCATGGAAGCACTCAATTATTGGTGTTTGCTACACTCAGGTTTTCTTTTAGACCTTTTGGGAGACTATGGCCTTGCAGACTAAAAACTGCATACCAACATCAAACATAGAGTACAGTAGCCATACAAACACCATTCAAAGGGATCCTATCTTTCTCTACTGTCTATCTCTTCTCCCTCCTTCTTCCCCTCCCTTTACCCTCTTTCCTGCCAGCTAAACACCTCATGTAGGCTGATGTCTTTCATGTGTGTGTATATATATATATATATCCTTAAGTAGATGTTTTTAATTCTTTTTTTAGTGTTTTAAAAATTATTAATTTATGAAATTAAAGTTTTATTTCATTAACATAAAAATTTACTTGATTGGATCTTACTGAGTATTTAGAATTTTTCAAAATTTAAAGATGTAAAGACAAAGTACATAAATTTCTAATCAATGTACAAATTTAAAATCTTACCAATGTTTCTTGAAAATCATGTGCATCATTTATGCCATCCACTCTGTATGTTCCACTTTGATTTAAATACCAAAAGTAATCTGGAGAAGCCAGTCCAAAGTTTGCTATAAAAGAAACATTTTATATTTTATATAACTGCTTGTACTTGTACATATAAATATATCTAATATATAAATAAAGAAAAAAGTTTGTTAATCTGTTCTTTATGTTTTGACATGGTTTGAGCAAATGCAATGAAACTTTTCAGGAGGAAGTCAATTATTACCTTTGATCAAAGTAACTTTGAACTCTGCCTGCAATAGGCTCCTTTTCTATTACCAGTATCTTGCTGGTCAGATATAAAGGGACCCTATTGTGGGTGGCATTCAAATAAGAAAATTAATTTATAAAAAGTTATTGGTGAGCACAAAATATGTTTTTCGGGGATTTTTGAGGGTGCAAAGTTCAAATATTTGGACCATTTTCTTTGCAAAATTTGATCAGTTGGATGATTACCATTTCAGATTCAGCTGCAAATGATGTTAGTTAACACTAGAAAAAATTTGGATGTCTCAAGTTACCTTCTCGTGCAAGTAGAAGTTGACTATTTTTGTTGAAAAACATTTATCCCACCTACATGACTAATGAAATCGCATATCAACGTCATCTCTAAACCCAATTTATTAGTTAAATCAAACTTTGCCATATAATAGCCTAACAATTTGGCACTTTTGTTTGGTTCAATAAAATTGTGCCATTCCATACCATCTCCGTACTCAGCAAGCACATTCTGTGCTTGCTAAGTACATTTTGGGCTGAGTATTTAACCCTGAGGTTGCTCAGGGTTAAATACCAGGCAGTATTTATATCTGGAACAAATGTAAATTCATAGTATAGGAATGGTTCAAAAAGAAAAATACGGACAACTGCAGAAAATTGTAAAACGTTTTTGAGAATTGTTCGTTATTAGGAAGGAAACTTAAATTTTTGTCATTTTAAACATATAAATATTTTAAAACTCTTTCTGTCTATTTATGAGACATTTTCAAACATGCATATTTACAAAGCTTAATCTTTTGAGAAAAAGCGAATGGCGATCGTCAAAGGGTTTTTTTAATTTATGTAGGCAGTGCACGAGCTAAGTTCAATGAGTTCTAGAGTTCCAAGCATTTAATGGATAAATTCACATTACAAAGAATATAATACTCGACTCCATTTGCAAAAGTGAATTATGCCGCATGTAATACGTTGGAATATTTCAACAGTATCATTAGCAAAGTAAAGACATAGATTCTCAACATTTCACAAAAATAACTTACTCACTTCAATACATCTGATCTTTCCTTTCTATAGTTATTTGTTGCTGAATTACATTGTTTTCATTTATTATTTCTTAATTCCCATATATAATAAAAAAATACATTATCTCTACTTTGCAATCACTTAATTCTTAAATTAAAATAAGCAATATTTTTTCCAGAAGAAAATATTAATTATTTTATTCTTATTTCATTCTAACATGTAACATTTAATTTTTTTCATCAATTCAATTTTAGGAGTAAAATATTTAACAAACAACTAATCAATTATTGAACCAATAAATTAAATTATTATTTGTAAATCTGATAATAGTCTAGTCTATAGTAAAACTGTATGTAACATGTAATATCTAAATAAAAATAATTCCTAAAAATATTCCTTAGCCCTTTTATTTTGTATTCCACACTGACTTTTCATTGTAAAAAATATTGAAATGTAAAGAATTTATTTTGTAAATCATTAATTAATGGAAACATACATAAGTAGATTAAGAAATTATATGATAAGAATTATTAATTAACTAAATATATAATAAACATTAATATAAAAAACTTTCCAATATCTAAATTTTGTTGAAAACAATTTTTAACATGAATATATAACAAATGTAAATTATATGTAATTAAAAGTTTATGGCAATCATTCATTGTTGTTGTAGCATCTTTTCATAAATAAAAAAAGAAATTAAATAATAAAATTTGTTTTTTGGAAGAATACAAATCATTAAATGTTTGTTTATCGTCATTATAGTTCACTCTTAATACAAATCATTTGTACTTTATTACATTATTCTTTATAGTGAATATGTCTATTAGTAATGCTAAATTATTTATAGCTAATATGTCCCAATATAATTTGACAAGCATTAAAATTCAGTATAAGCAAAACTCATTAAATGCAAGCTCAATTCAATTAAATTCAAACTCAAAAAGTAAGGTTTCCTATTTCTTATTTTAAATACAGCAAATTATAATGCAAATATGCAAAACTATTACATGCATGTTCAGTCTATTTTTCAACAAAGTCACTGTTTGTTATAGTGCTTATTATAGTGATAGATTGAAAAATTGAAGATATAAAGATACATTCTTCAGGTAAGGTCAATATTTGGTTTTGTTCCGGATATCTCAAACTGGAAATGTAGATCTTGTTGCAGGAAATTCAGTTCATTGTCAAAAGGAATGTTTTAACTGCACAATAATAGTTTGCTCCCGCACACAGATAAAACATGCACAAATTATCTATAACATATTTTTAACATAATTTACTTACATTTCATTTGCTCCGTTGCTCCAAGACACAACTGATAAAACATGTGAAAATTTCTTTCATCTGGATTCTGATTTACCACTCTAGACTGAAAGCAATAATATAAATTCTAATTTGAACAACTTTCAATAAATATACAAACAATATTAAATACAAAGATACCACACTCTGTTAAGAAAAAAAAATAAGTGTAGTAAAATAGTCTAAGTGGTATAAAGCAATTAAAATTTATTTCAAATTTTTGTAATCAAAATTCAGTCATAAATTTTGGTGAATTTTATTACGTTAATTTATTATTTTTACAAAAAGAGCTTAAACAAAATTAAGATATTAAAGAATAAATGTATAATAAAAAAATTTAATAATAAAATAATATCCAAATAATGTATATTTATTAAAAGCTATTCTGCAAATATATTCAATCTTAAAATAATTTTTTAAATTAAAAAAGAAATCAATATATTAAATTATAAACAAAATATTTCCTTTGAAATTTCCATATGAATATAAAAAAGTCAAAGATAACAGAATATCATTAAAACAAAATGTAAAATTTAATTACATTTATTCAACAAAATTGTCATAAGTAAGTGATAATTGTTTTTTTAAAATATATTACCTTTTCTAGAAGAAAATTTGAAATTTTTCCTCCCTCCGGTTCACCACCTCTACTGAATTGTATTTCTACGTATTTTCCCTTTGGTAAAAATATGTTTAATTTTAACACACGTAAAAAATATTTTTCTGTGAGGCATTATTATTACTATACACTTACAAAACGAGAGGAATTGTTGTTGCGCACGGTTTTTGCATTTCCAAAAGCTTCAAGTAACGGATTGGATTCTAAGATTATTTCTTTTATTTTCTGAAAATGAAAACTTAATATTAAAGTTTATTTATTCAAATACTCTTATGGAATAAACAAAAATGCAATTATTGCATTTACAGCTGTGAAAGCTGTAAATGTATCACAAACAAATTTTGTAATAAAAACAGTCGTAAATTTTTTCTTATGTAAAAATATTATTTTGTTTATTTTATCTACCAAGTTCTTGAAATATTTTAACGTGTATTTATTAATACGTGTAAATACAGTCAAACCCCATTAAAGCAACTTAAAAATTGGTATTTTATTTTAACGAGATTTGTATTAAACAAACTTTACAAAAAAAAAAAATCATTAGTTATACCATCAAATGGCAAAACCTCTATTTTCTCATAATTTTTTCACTAAAATGTACGATATTAAAAAGTAAAGATAAAAATGTTTTTGAAGAATGTCCATTCACAATCACCAGAACACTATTAACACTAGTAGATTTGACCTTTCTTTATACACTCATCTTCGATGATCACAAATGGATGTTCAGAAAACTTTAAAATATTGTGTATTTATTCTTCAATATTGTACATTTATTAAATATATTTTGTCCTGGAATTTTTAATCTTTGTTTTATCTTGTTTGGGCATGTTTAAAAAATAAATAAATAAACAAACTTATATGCTGTACCAAACAAACAGTTTCTTTCTTCAAGTCATTGTATTTCAATAATCAATGGTCTTTTTTTTTTGACAGCAGTTAGAATCAGTAGAATGACAATTAAAACCACTTATTTTTTTTACTCTTTCTACACCATGGGTACTAAGAAAACCTTTTATAGAGTCCGTCGTGGGTTTGGCCAAGCCCACTACAGACCAGCCGAGTGACGAGGGATGGGTCTTTCAAAGTATTCCTGGAATTTTTTATCCACCCAGATTTGTTCCCAGGTCCCCAGAGTAATAATATGACACTAAGTGTTTTGTCCATTTGGCCGGATGATAACGGATATAACGGGCTAACTTAGCCTCCAAATTGAATCCAAGAGCCGAACATGTGTAAAAGTTTAGAAATTTAAAAGTAAGTTCTTAATGTTGTATTAACAATAACATAGACATTGTAAACATTAGAGTTGAAAAATGTGTGTTTTGTGTGATTTCGGGGAAGCTGGAAACAGTATGCTTTGAATTAAATGGTAAATTATAATAGTTATTCAATTTACAGAATTACGACATACTTTGTATATGTATTAACCAAACTCGTTAACATTGAAATGACTATCCTTATCACAGAACTGTAATTATACTTTGCACTAATGTGGACTTTGCATAAATCAATAATGTAATATTCAAGCTTAACTGCAATAAATATAAAAATAACTAAAATGATTTAAATGTCAAAAATTTAACTGTTTAAAGTAAACAAGTAGTAAGTTATTTATATACATTTCCAATGATAAAATATGTCATCATTAGCAGCTCTCTAAATTCATGTTAAAAATTAAATTAGGCATAAAAATTTTTACCTAGTTTTTTTTTATTATTGTTTATTTATTTATACAGCGAAATTATCTTATCAGCTGTTAAAATTAGAAGTTATAGATAAGTAAGGAATGTAGTACACTTATCTGTAACTTTAAATTTAATGGCTGATAAGAAAATTTTATTGAAAAACTATTGTGTGTCAGTTTTCTAAATAGCAGTTCCTTATACATATTAAACAGTATGAGCAGTCAAAGTGTTAGTTAGAAATAATGAACACATCATTTGAATTCTGTAGAAATGACAAATTTAATTTTGACTTATATAGGTACATACTGGCATAATTTGATACTTTAAAAAGAAACATATTATATAAAATTATAAATGATTTTTCTTACCTGGACTCTAGTTCCTCCACCCGAAATCTGAGCAATATATGACATGATGTATTTTGCGGCTACCGTTTTTCCGGCTCCGCTTTCCCCGCTAAAAAAGTTTTACAAAACTTAAATTAAAATATAATATTTACTAAATGGCTTAATATCAATTGCTAGTTACAAATTATTAAATAAAAACAGAGTAGAACACTTTGGCATTTGAAATTCTATACCTGATGATAACACACTGACTTTCGTTGTCGATCATCATGTTACGAAACATGCTGTCCGACAGAGCGTATATATGCGGAGGATTTTCGTAAGAAGCCTATAAGAGTAAACGTTTTTCCTTAATATTAAAAAATTTTGCATTCAATTAAAATAAATTATCGTCAACTTCATTAATATTTACTTTTATAAATATAAACCCTCGTTAACTTAACTATAACTAATAAAGGACAAAGGTTTCAGAGTTTGTGGAACATTTTCTCCAACAATGTGGTAAATGAAGATCAATATACGGTGCAGTAAAATTTATTACAATCCACTATATACAGTTTTACAGATTTAACAAGTTATACTGCTGAATTTATTATTATGGGAAGCAAGATCAAAAAATTTCACGACAATACAATGTAAAATAATGTGCAGTCTTTAGTAACTTACCAACTACGGCAAGACAATGCATGGTATTACAAAGATTTCCGGTTATCAAAAACACTTGTTAATTATAATTTTTCTATTGTCTACAAATTTTAAATTACTTTACAATTATATGAAAAATTTTGTCCAAGCTAGTGGGGTGTTTACTGTATATAATTGGTATATATCTCTTCATTAATAACAATTATTAATGTAAAGATCAAAATTTTATTTTCCAGTATTCTAATCTTTTTGTTTTACCCTGTGAACAACAAAGTGAAGATTTGATAATTCTTAGTAAATGTATTTGACTCAATTTTAAAATAAATAAAAGCATTGAATTGAAAGCAGAAATGTATTTCCCTCCGTGAATTGTGGGTGCAGTCAACCCGCACAATTGAACTTACTGAATTGAACGCTCGCATACAATAATCACTTGTGTAGCAAAGTTTCATGACCTACATTGTCACACACACACCATTTTATTTTTATTATATCAGATATATTTTATTAGAACAGTTAAGAAGTGAATTTTGTGATTAAATAATAAGGTATTTACAATTCTGACTATTATTTTCTTTTATGACAAATGAAACAATATCATTCATTACAAATTTGCATGTCATTAGTAACCAATATTTCATTAAATAATAACTTTACGCCAACTGAAATTGAATTAAATTTATCAATGACGCAGCTAAAAGTAAAGTACATTATCTTTAATACATAGGCACAAAACTTCAATTCTCATTACATAAAATTAATTGTCTGACTAATTACTGAAATGGCAACAGAAAAATAACGACCTAGCGGAGAAGCCCTTGCAAGCAATTTTTAAGGTAATTAAACTAGTATTATCAATATTTTGGCACAAAATTTTTATATACTTTTCCACATAACCAGATAAATTGTATATTTATTAACTTATAAAAATTATTCCATTATAATTCATGCATAACTGTAAAACATTCTAATATACAACTATATTCTCCAATTTCAAATTAAAATATACTTTAAATTAGATTCTATAAGAATTAATATTAATCAAAACAGATACAAAACAGGTTTTCTAGAACACCGGATTTATTAACATATAACACTCAATAGTTCATTCATCCTCCTTGAACCACTTACAAAAACTATGACACGGCCAAAATATCAATTGCAATAACTAATTAATATTTATTTATTTATTTCATAACGTGATTTATTAAGAGACGTACTCAAAATTCAATAATTTATGTATCTTGTCTGGGCAATTTCAATTGCGAAAATAGTTTCTAACGGCAATTAATTAATTTTGCCAAGTTGTAAAATTTGTACCGTGATACTGTTATTGTTGCATACGTTATATATTGATTTGCACTCCGTACCCCCAACTAATCGAAGGTTTGAAGTATTGAGTGCAAAATCTGTTTCTTCAGTCAACTTAAATTTAATAGAAGTTTATATTACATTAGAAAACTCTGAACTAATCTGGAACAAATTAAGTAAATAATTGAGTTGCCTTATTTTAAACAGAAAAAAGCTTGTCAAAGATAAAATAATGAACGGGTATTTAATTATGAAAATCTAGCAAAAAAAATATAAATTGATAAGTGAAATGAAGTCTGCATGAAAATATAATTTTTTATCTTCAAATTATATTTAAATATTTAAAATTATTGACTTCTTGGTCATATTTTGTCATTTACAACAGTTCTAGAATCAACTTTAATTATACTTTTTGCATAAATTTTTATCTGGAATTTATCCATACAAATTTTTTTAATACTCACACATATTTATAAATAAATGCGAGTATTATAAAAGTTCATGTCCGAATAAATTATTAATTAAAGTTTATTTTTAAATGAACTTTAAATTTAAACTTCACTTTCCTGTTAAACATAAAAAATCATAATTCCTTATTCTAATACAAATGTAGGTGTACGTACTCTTTAATTTACTACATATGCATTACAAATTAATCCTTTGGCAGTAATATCGACAATAATAATATTGTTGGTGACATAATTTATCAACAACAGACTTATAAAAATAATTCTCTATAAACAAAATATATTTCTGGATAAAACATGCAAAACAAGTTTTGCAAAAATTCTTTATTTTACTCTGTTGCTCTTAGAAATGTTTAAAAATAAATTAATATAATCTCAAATAGTTGCAAAATATGAATTTTACCTACAAAACTTCTCATCCAAATCTGTAACCTGTATAAAAAAATTAAACGATAGAACAATACTAACAAATGTTAAACGAATAAACACAAGATCAACATGTTGGGGAAGGAATATATCTAAAATATTCTCCAAAACAACAGGGTATACGTAAGTTAAAACTCTCTTCCTAATTGATGCAATAGTGTGTGTATTCTGGTTTAAATATAAAAATTAATTCTAAAAAATCTCATTAAATCTGAATTTTTTTCACTCAAACATTTACTTAGATAAAGTAAGAAAATTAATATCATCATTTATAATGCTAGTTATTAAAAAAAAATACAAAATGCTTACCGCTCCTTGATACTGTCCGATTTCTTTGTCGGTGAAATAATGCATTTGCTTGAAAGGATTTACGGAAATTAGTACCGGTCCTATATACGTCTTCGCTAACGTTAAGATCGATAACATTATACAAAACTTAACATTTCTTAAATATCCGTTACCGTAATCGAACAAAATACCGATAAACGGCAGGAATTAATGGCATAATAGATTTAAAGTGCTTCGAGCTAGGTTTAATATTATCTCCCGTAGATAACGGCACACTAATTGTCGGTTTTATACTTGATTCTAAATCTGTCCTATGGTACCGACTCCGTACGAGAGAATAGCATGACAACAAATTGATACCGACCGTAAGCGAAGAAAGTCTATCATTTTATATTGTAGTTAACGATTACAAAAATTATCAAACGGCCAAATCAAATTAAGCTTTCACGATTAATTATTTTGAATTTGCAGTTTAGTTAGTTACCGAGTTCCGGTCAAAGTTTCAACTATTATCATTAATAGTTGTTTCATCATTTGCAAAACATATACATCTATAATTTTTCACACATTTCAAAGGAAGCCGTCTCGGATATTTTCGGGGTCAAACGTTTTCCGGCCACTACGAAACGTTTAAACGATCGCAAGTATGCAAATTTTCTCTCGAAAGGCACCGAAATAAACGTCGGATCTATTTTCTTCCCGACTCCGTTCCTCGAGACAATCGGCCGAAGGGTTTCAAAGGATACGAATATCTGTCCGTCCAGGTAGCGTTTCTTCAGGTTCTCCACGATGGCGCCCTCGCCGGGTTTGGGCAAGAGCACCATGTCGTCCACCCCGCTCTGCTTAATGTGATGACTCTGCCAGTGGTACACCTAAATGAGAAGTCATAATCCATGCCTTAAATTAAAAAACGACAAAAGACGAGCCCGTGCTTCCTACGCCGGCACCGAAGTCGACGTTTCGGAAAAATATTAATTCATAATTATAAAATACTCGTCTCTTAAATTTCGTAGAAACGACAGAATTAGATTCGATCGACCGAAAATATTTTCCGGCAACAATATTATACGATCGGAAAATAGGAGAACAAACAATTAAAACATCTACATATAATCGAAATTATATCAAGGAATAAAAACATTTTTATGGTATTAAAGGAACCACCGGAAAACAAGAAGGGGAGCCAAATAACGTTCCGGCCATTCCATTCGGAATTCAAATTAAAAACCAAACACAAATGGAGCATCACCGCAAATTAAAATCATATTAAACAAGACAGGAATTGGTCGTTTCTCCATTTTAACCATTAAAAGACTCAATTCTTTGCGCATATAATCAGTTGTCTACAAAACTTTATTTAATTACTTATCGAATGTTATTAAATTGTGAATTTATTATAATTTAGATAAGAGTTCGAGTGGTTTTTATCGCCGTCATTCGGAAAGGCCGGCAAATGACGTTTCCGGCACGAGGGATTTAAACGTCGCCGGCTACGAACGAATTTTAAAAGGGCGATGGGGAAACGGTCAAAAAACGGAGCGGAATAAGGTCGGCGGCGTATAAAAATTCGACAACTCCTTTTCGGGCGCGAGGTCGCGACTCGAGTTTCGCCATTCGAAGATGTAGAAGAGAGGATAAAGGATTTCCGGTACGGCGCGAGCTCTTCCGCAGTCTTCCCGGAGAAACCAGCTCGTACCCGATCTTCTAGGCCCGTAAGGTGTCCCAACCTCCGCCAAATCGCGCGTGATCGAGTTTACCATTTGGCGCCCGGGAGTCAAAAGATGTCGATCGGAAGAGCAAATGCTGGCTAAAAGCCGTGTCACTTCCAGTTCTCGATCGACGGTAGAATTCCACCTGATGGAAAAACGTCGGCAAAAACCACGCCAGAAGAAAAATAAATAGAAAAAACGAAGAGAAAGAGAATCGACTCACCATTTTGATACTCCCGTAACGACGAAACTCCGAGTGACTCAGTCGGGCCGGGTGCCGGAAGCTACGTCATTTCCGCTTCGCTCTAATAAGCTTCCAGGTCGAAAGGCTCCGGGCGACGGCGCCGCCCCCGTGCGACGTCACCCGCGCGTGGCCGAACCGACCGATTTACCTGTACAAATGGCAAAAACACCTGTCGAGTTTACCGCGGCAACATTTACACGCCGTCCCCTGGTGGTTGGTAAACGATTAATTAAACGCCTTTAAATTAATAATTTTTAGAGACCATCGTCGTCTGTAAATATTTTAAATTAGTGTATTTTTTTAAATAACTCATTTTATTCGCGGTTCGTATTCAAAACCTGGTACGAAATAAAAAAATAAAGATCGTAAAATCGAGGCTCTCTAGTAAAACAGATATTTATTGATACGAAAATCCCAAGCCGTGACCGACGACTAATCGTTCCGTAATAAAAATTATAAACACTCTCAAATATAAAAGATTCGCATAATTCTAAATTATTTATATACATGAAAAAAATTAAATGCAATTATAAATTACGTCATCGCCGGACGAGCGCGCCGGAAAATCGCCGATCTAGGGAATTTCCCTATTCCCTAATAAAGGAATGGAGCGCGTTATTTCTATATTAAAATATATATATTATATATATATATTAAGAATATATATATTCGTAATTGCCAGGAAAAATCTTTCTTTATTCGAAGATCAAATGATCATGAACAGAAGCCTTCGTTTAGAACCCATTACTTATAATGCCGCCATTATTTAGTTCCGCCTTAACAAAGCATCATTCATAATAATTCCGGTTTCTCTATATATAAATATTTATAAAAAAAAACAAGAGATAATAATCTCTCCGGTTAAAATGTTATTTAAATTTTAAAATATTTATGACGATAAACATAGAAAATAACCAATAGCAAAACGTGTTTAAAAAATTGTGTAGACACTCGATATCTTTTAAAAAATTAATATTTATTTCATAATAATAAAATTATATTTTATACATTTTTATTATTTTAAAAATATCCAATGTTACGTCAATTTCCTCTAATTTCCGTTTTTAAAATAAAATAAGAATTTATGGCTATGGTGATTCGATTCATCATGGCGATCGACGCGACGCGTGGCGGTTTATGTATGTAACGTAAAATAGTTTTTGTGTATCACGTGGGCGGAATACGATTGTTTTTGTTATATTATTTTATTACCGATAAATTTACATAGTTTACGGCTCCTTTATTTAAAAATAGAAACCAATTACGACTTCGTACAATGGAGCCATCGTGCCAGCTTATCGTCGCTCTCAAAGTTTATATAAATTAATCGGACAATAGCGTACGTTTGTTTATTAAAAATACACTTCCGCTTCTTTCGGCAATTGTATTTATAATGTGTACAACGAAAGTAATTGTTCCCGAACACTAAATAACATCAATTAGAACATCTGACAACGTTTAGAGTAAAAAACGTTTTTTTCTAACACCGCAAATTCTGAAAAATACACTTAACGAGACACAGATGATGGAAATTTAAGAAAAACGAAAGCCGTAAGAGAAAAAAAGCGGTCGAGGGTGGTAAATTCGAAGATACTTCAGACCCACCAACGCTGCCGGTGCGGGTTCACACCCGGAGATAAGACGTTACGCTCACGCGACTTACGTGACGTCATCCTAGATGTTCCTTAATGGAGTCATTAATAATCTGAATCACGTCGGCAAAGAATCGAATGTCGAGGTCCTTGACGCGTTGTATTGTTTGCTTGGCCTATTTTTTTGCTGACGTAAGAAAAAGTGAATAAGCCATAACCTTGAATTTAGAAGCGGTGAAATCACCGTGCAGCGAATGTATGGTGATTTATATTTTTATTTGTAAAATAAAAATATAAATCACGAGATCAATTTAACCGGAATTAAATATTATTTCCTTTTTTTTCTATTTATAAAATCGGTACTTAAACGTCATAAGAAGAAATCTCGCTCGACTCATCAAATCAATGAATCATAATTTGATTGTTAAATTCTTTATTGGTCAATCGCGTTATCTATTGTTATAAATCATCCACCATTTTGAAAACTCCTAATCTTTGGAATAAACCTTAAACGGACCAAAAGTGGGCGATTAAGTTGGTTTAACTCGTTTGGAAGCGTTGGCACGTGACATCGTTATTCTTTCCCACGTGGTTTATTTTCTGCGGGGGTAACTTTATAAACAAAACAAGAAACAAATTAAACGTCTTTTCTAAAATGGTTATCGCCGTACAAACTGGTTCGGCGTACTTTTATGTACGGTACTTAATACTCGTTTCGGTCGCATCGGAGATGGGAAACAATCGGGTGGGACGTCGAACGGTCAATCAACTTTCCTGTCGAAAACATCTGTCCCACCTCTTAAAGAGGACATCGACGAGCAATTACCAAGACCACGCGCCTTCCGTGAAGAGTTATTTATTTTTTAATTTATTATCATTTCGTATGATAATTCTTACCTTATTAGCCACCTAAAATCAAATTGTATTTTGAATCGGAGTTTAATAAGCTAATTGTGATTACGTTTGTGGGATAATCGAATCGCCTACATTACGATTACTTAATAATTACTATTGTTTTATCGTTTAATAAGTTTCAATAACGGGTGGCGAGGGACGGATAAGTAGATCTCCGTCCCTCGCCACCCATTGCGGGTTTACTAAAAAAAAGGCTCTCTCGATGTCCGCAGAGGGGAAAGAGCTTTAAAAATCTATCCATTATACTTGCAAAGTTTCCGGACGACTCTAAAATATTCCCCGTGTTTTCTTGGATGTATTTTACGGAGCCGAGAGAGGAAAACTGGGGATTTTTCCCAGTTCCGGGGAAAATTTGGGAGCCTGTAGTGATTACTACTACTCTCAATTAATGTTGTTTTTCTTTAACAGAAAATAAAACCATATACACACAAATCTACAAATAAAAAAAATCCAGCAACGAGCTACGTAACTTTATTAAAATCGTAGTGGCGCCATCTGTTATGATATTTAATTTTTAAAAATTTATTATATATATTAATTATTATAAAACGGCGAAAAGCTTGCATTTGAAGCTAGAGATGAGTTTTATTTAAAAAAAAAAAAGTCGTTAATGATAATAACCAGTAAAATCTTTATTAAGTCCGACCACCCCCCGAAGATAGTCGTACCAGCCCCTCTGTTTTCTATCCCCTAGATCTTTAATCACTAAAACTTTTAGCATAGGTTCTCTTAATACACAAAATTTCAGAAAATTTCGACAAAAGAAACGGGAGTTATTACGCTTCAATATACGATGAAGCGTACTGATAATTTAATTTAATTTTCTTATAAAAGATGGCGCCACTCTATTTCTGATAAATCTACTGTATTTGGACAGAAAGGTTTTCCGAGTTTCCCTACCCCTCCCCTCTTCGACGTCACAAAACTCGACCCTCCTTAAACCTTTAAAATCTTCTAATAAATAACGCACACGCGGGAACGTGGGTATACACGCAACACGCGCGTACCGGTAGGTTACGATAGCGAATGGTTCGGATATATAATTTTATCCCAATTGTGCATTTTGGCAGCATTCTTTTCTTCTTTCCGACGATCATTATAATCTATAACTTTATAATAAAAGCTGTGATAATCGGTCACGCTATCCTCTCGCTACCGAAAAAGTACCGTAGCGTGACGTTTTAACCAACAGTAACCGCACCGAAATCCTCCCGGTTGCGTTGTTTCCAGTCGCTTTAATATTTAACCGCGATTTAACGCCGTCGTAGCGTTATATAATAATAGGAAACCTCATTAAAGATGGTTTCTTTCCCTCCTCCAACGAGTTTATAACGTCACTTCCGATTTTCGCTTCATTTGTTTTGTGTCGTAACACATCCCGTGTACTGTTACAGATATATCACGTAGTTGTCGAGACGAATTTTGTATTTTCACGCTTCTACTTCCGGCACATCTAACAATAAACCAGATAAAATATGATTGGTAAAGGGGTATAATATCTTTAGACTTTACGTCACACTTAATCGACTACGATCTTTGTGACGTAAACTTTCTTTCTTAATTTTAATTATCTCGATACTAATTATAATTGCTATTGTTACGTCGAGTAAACGCGTGACTAAAGCCAAGACGTCGTTTTCTAGTCACGTGATCGAGTGTCTATTAGCCAAGTATTTTAGTGTAATTTGTAGCAAATGCGTTCTTGGAAAGATAAAGAAAGGAAAAAAAAGTAAAGTAGTCGAAGCGCTTATTTTTATCAGAATTTAAAGCGAATTTTAATGTCGAGGCTTAATTAGGCACTTATTCGCAAAGGATATCGATCGATTCTGCTAAAATATTCCTTCGACCCCCCTACTGTACTGGCGCGGGTACAACTTTCGCCTTCAGAAAGTCGAAATCGAAGGTCGAAAACTTCCCCCTTACAACACAGAAATGTAAAAGTCAGAATACTTCTACCAAATTTGATATTTTTGGGTGTGGACCGGCAAAAAACGTGAGAAGACATCCTCCGGATAGAAGCCAACCTGTTGCGGAATCGATCGATAACGCGTGAATATCCTCCGAGTCGTAATGGCATTCTCCCCGCGTGACGTCTCGTGTCTTTCTTTCCATTTCGTGATGACGTTTCGCATCTCGCAATCGGACTCGTGTTACGTTTACGCTCTTTTCTATTGGTCGACTTTCAATTAGGTAATTTCCAATTTTCCTTTTCCCTCCCCACTCCCGAGTGTACAACGCTTAATTGTATTGGCTGGGGGGGGGATGTTTTCGTCTCGATCGTATTTGAGTCGACTAGAAAACTACTTTCTCGTCTCTGTGTGACGTGTGTATTATCCCGGCTACACACGCGAGATTCGAAGAAACCCAGACGTCAACCAAACACTACGCTGTAGTGTCTGGTCTTCTGTCTCTAGTAAATATCGAGGATAATCGCGTGAAATTTCTCTTCCAATTTTCGAGAAGTTTTGTAATTACGAGGCCATTTTCTCCTTTATTTCTCCGTAGGGAACGAAGGGATTTCGATGTAGTATTTAAAAGCCCCCATCGGTCCTTCACGGTGTTGAGAAACGTTTATTATATTTGGAGAAGAGAGAATTTAGTGTATATTTTTGTTTATTGTCGACGAAAAACACTGCGAGATCATAAAAATATTTATTAAACGAGAAGCTGTAATCCTCCTCTAATTAAATTACAAACCAGGAATTGTGTGCAGACCACCGGAAGCTGAAGAACGGGTGAAGAAGAGGGAAGATGAACGGAGAGAAACGGGATATTTACAGAGCAATTCGGAGATTTATTCGGAAGAAGAGGGTCTTTCTACAAAAAATGGGCTCCGAGAGAGGAAAAATTGGAGAGAAAAACGGATATATTTAAAGAGGAGGGGGTGGACGATGCCAGAAAATCGTCGCACGAGATGGAAGACGAACTCAAAAGCGGGACTTTGGTCGAAGAGATCGATATTTCGGGACAAGTGTCGAGTCGTGGCATATAATGAAGGGTATCGACGGGTGGCGAACCACCTTCGCGCTTTCTCCGAATCGTCGATCGAAGACGTAGAAAAATAATCGAGTCCGTCGACTAAAATATATCTTTTCTTTCTTTGTTCGTGTGTGTCCACCCCTCCGAGGGGATCTTGTCTCTCCACCGGAAACGCTTCTTACTCTAAGCTACTTTCTTCTAAACTACTGTTAATGGGCCGAAGAAAGAGGATTCACAGACTAACCGAATCGATGATGTCCGTACAAGAGATTACTTTGTATTCCAGCAGGAGGCTGAGGGCCACAAAGACGAAGTAGAGGAAGAACATGACCAGGGCCAGGCCCAAGTTCATCTTCCACTTGAAGGCGGCGATGCTGACGATGACGAAGAGCAACATCATGAAGAGGAGGACCACGGAGCAGATCATTCCCGAACTGTTGACTCGAACCGGGCCGAATATCAGAGCCGACAATAGCCAGGGAAGAGGAAGACTGAGCGAGAAAATTAAGTTAGAAAAGGAAGAGGAGAAGAAGAAAGCTGGAAACCGAACTTCTTACCCCACCGTTATGTCGAAGAGGTTGCTGCCGATGGAACTGGACACGGCCATGTCGCCAAAACCCTTTCTGGCCACCAAAACGCTGGTAATCAGGTCGGGAACGCTGGTTCCCGCCGCCAAGAAGACCATCCCCATGACCTGAGATTCGGGAAGAGGAAGAGTTTGACAAGCGAAAGTTTACGAAGATAGGAGGAGAATGGGTATTTACCTCGTTGGGGATGTCGACTACTTCCCCCACCAGAGAAGCCCACCAGACCATTAAGTACGAAAAGGCCGCTATCCACAGAATGCTACCCAGGAAGGAGAAGGCGAACCACTTCTTCTTGTCCTGCCAAAACAATAATTACCATACGAATTCTTCCCCACTCGACACAATGCGTAATCCTACGTTTACCTCCCTCCTGACGTCGGGCAACGTTATCCAGAGGGGGACGACGATGGGGGCCAACAAGACGTAACTGATTCTCTTTCTGGTGGTGTTGGGCCAACTCATGTCCAGGGGTTCGGACGGGTCCGAGGGAGGTATCTCCTCTTCTTTCGTTTCCTAGTGAATTTAGGGAAGAATAAATGGGGGCTAAACGTCACCGGATACCAACAACTTACCCCAACTGGTTCCTGACGGGGTTCGGGAGGAGGGGCGCCGTTCTCCAGAGCGGGATTCTCGTAGCCTTCCACTTTGGTTTCGGTTTTGAGAGGAAGAGGCTGGAAAAGGTTACGGTATGAAAACACAAACTTATTATCTAGTCGAACGAATCGGTACCACGTCGAAAGGAAAACTCACCTGTAAGCGGGGCCTTCGGGCCCCTTCGCTCAAGGCGAAGACGTCGAGTTCCGAAATGTCGGTCTGAACTCCCTTATCGGCTCGGGAGGGTCGAAGAGAGGGGTGGCCGGGGACCGTCTCGACGGGAAATGAGGCTCCGAGGGGTGCGGCGTCCAGAAGCACCCTGACGCTAGCCACGGTTTGCAAATGCGAGTTGTCGGACTTCCCTGGAAACAGAAGAAAGTCCCAAAGTCCTATTCCAGAAACAATTGAAAGATAACGCGCGGATTATCGTCGCGTGTTTACTCGTCGCCGGGTGACGAACGAACGTTTGGTTCTTCAATAATTTAGGATCCGTGTCGTGCGGTCTGTCACGAGCAACCGCACGCGCTCGTTGGCCAAGAGGGCACTTTCCAATCGTCCAAACTGATCACGAAAGTAGCGAAGGTAAGAACGAGAATTGAACGAGTGGCGAAGAAACTTCTTTAACGAAGAAAACCGGACGAAAATCCATTGAATTTGCCCTTTGACCTTTTCGTAATTCCGTAATTTTTCGTCAGGCTTACGTCCGAAATTATAATTCCAGATCCCAAAGTGTTTATTTTTAATCGGGAGGCAGCGATTCATTCGAAATTCGTCGAAGACTAACGAAGTCGAAAGTTTTTGGGGGGCGAAAAAACGAGGTGGGATCTTCGCGAAACTTTGCGAACTTCGCGAAGTAGCGTTAGGAGGAGGAGTGGCTTAATTTCTTTTTCCATATCCGTCGGACGAAGCGTTTAATGGGTGGGAGTCACGTCATTCTTACCTTCCTCGTACAGGGGATCGATGGAGTGAATCATCAGCTGCAGAAGCCCCTGACGGAATTTGCTACCCGCCTGCAAAGTCGGCTCTTCCACCCCCCTTCGAATGGTCTGAAACGAGAAATTTACAAATTAAAAAGTCGTCGACGTCACCCGACTCGTCCGAATTCCCAATGTTTCTTTCGTTGTTTACCGATCGTAAACGTAAACGTAAAGGTAAACAAATCCTAGTTCCGTCGTTGCGGTGACGACCGACATCCGACACGAATATGGATTCGAATCACGGAAAAAAATAACGCGTTTACGACAGACGGGAACGATTTTTAATTCCATCCTCGAATTCCCCGCGTAATTTTCGTTTGCGACCCCCGCAAAAAAGTCGAGAGAGTTTGTTCGTTTTAGAATTTAATTTCCTTTCCTTTGTTAAGAAGGAATACGAAGAACGGCTCGAATTTAAGTCCAGCTGGAGTCAAATAGTTTCCTGGCCCGGAAAAAAAGGCCTTGTTAGAGTCCCCGCGGGGGCTAAGAAAGCCTTTCTTCCAGGCCCTTTTCGTTTCGAACACTCGAAAGATCATCTTTTCGCTTGGTTTGTCATTTAAATATTTGAAAAGAAAAGGAAGCTTTTGGCTCGCATCCGAACTAATTGGGTCAAGGATGGTTCAAGGATAAGAAAGATCAACTTCTTTCTAATGATCGATGGATCCCGTTTCGAACCAGCGGAAAATTGGCACGTTCCGGTGTACTTTCTTCCAACGGGACTTCTTTTCCCCAATTCGGATTATACAATGGAAACTTACCCTGTTGACCAGGTGATCGGAGCTTCCTATTTTGGTGGACTTCTTACTCATCAGAGCTTTCACGCACTTCTCCACTCGAGCGTTGAAGCTCATGAAAATGACGTAGAAGACGTAGCAGACCAGAAGTACGACGGCTTCGTACCAGTGGATGACGTTGTCCCTGAAGCAGACGATGAGCACGGCCAGGGATATAGAATAGAAGCTGACGTCCCTAAACAGGGGCCACCAGGTGAGGCGTAAGACGCACTTGCTGAAGACCACGCACATGGAGATGACGAAGAGGATGTTGAATACGGCCGAACCCACGATGGTCCCGATGCCCACGTCGTCGTACGAGACGAAAACACCGATGACGCTGGTAAACAGTTCGGGGGCGCTCCCCCCGGCGGCCATGAAGGTGGCCCCGGCCACGTCCTCGGGAATGTTGAGTTTCTCGGTGATGACCTCCAGAGCGGGGACGAAGAACTCGTCGCAGACCACAGCCAGGGCCACGAACATGTACACCAGACCCAGAACGTGAAGGGCCACGGCTCCCATCCTCTTCTGGTCCAGGGAAAAGAGATCCTCGGGAAACTGAGGAACGACGGTAGTCGCATTGTCCGTCTCCCGAGCCAAAAGTTTTCGCGAGAGGGGCGAGGGGAGAGGGGTGGAGCCGCACGCGGACGGAAGAGAAAAGTAATAGAGAGAGAAGAGAGCGGCGGCGAAGACCAGAATGGGGTTCCTCCATCTCTTGGGACGACGTAAGGCCATGGAAGAGGTTACCACTAGACGACGGGGACGGAAGGGTCCGTGCCGAGGCCTGACACGGCCGCGTTTCCCTGAAAAGAAAGCCGGACAAGTGTTATCGACGTCAGAAAAGACGTAAGAAGAGGGATATTTAGTAGTAAATTCCTCTTTTAAAAAAAGGAAAAAGAAACCTAAAAATCTACAAATCGGATCCAAGTCGGGCCGCGTCCAAAAATCGGACGAGGAGCACTCGGAAGGGGAGAGCCGAATCTGCTCACGGGCCCGCTCTACGTCGCGTGCCCGGATGGAGCCAATGGAGAGAGAGAATGCCGCTTCCGTTCTTTCCTTCGCGGCAGTTCCGGATCCACGTGCCAAAAAGCGGCGGATCGATGTCGGCCCGCCAACGCAGCCAACGACGTCGCGCCGCGATCGGGCCCGCTCCCTTTCCGACAGGGAAACGGAGAGGCGACGAGGGTCGAGAATATTCTTTTTTTTGCACCGTCGTCGTGTAAATAGCACGATTACTACTTACGGTCATTAACGCTGGTGTAGTACTACGCGCGGTTGTGACGTAAAGCGTACACCGGTTACTCCCTCCGCATTTGCTACCTCCGGTCGAGCGAAAAACTCGAAATTTGGCACAAACTTCTAACTCGATTCGGTGTTAACCAGCCAAAAAAAGGAAGGAAGATGAAGAGAAGGCTTCGAGAAAACCAAAAATCTTTATATTCTCTTTAATTTTCTGCATGCGTAACCGAACCCGTGACTCATTGTTATACAAATTATCCGAAATTTAACCCTACATATACAGGTAGAATGTTTGAATTTATCGATAAGGGGACCGAACCCTGGTTTTTACGTGTAAATCATCGTCTTCGGTTAGCCAGAAATGTGTTATTTTGGGCTAACGCGCGTAAAAGCGAGGGTTCGATGGGGATCGGGGGATCGGCGCGATCCGCGACGATAAATAAAAGAGTCACGGATCGAGAGGAGTGGGTTTGATACCCTTTCGTCTTTCGTTTTCGCATTTATTAACGGTTTAAGGGTCGGTTTCGCGGACTTTCCCCGTCGAACGCTCGAGGCCGAGTGCCCTTTGTACCGAAAAAAGGGCGCCCACCCGACGGACGAGACGTAAATAAACCGAACGGCGCCATTAGAAGGCGGGAAAATTGGGCATTTTCTATTCCTTGGAACGAGGGAGACGGGGGTTCGGATCCCGAAAGGAAATTCCCATTATTCGCCCTTTCGACTCCACCGCGCGATAGGGGGTTCGCCTCCCGAGTCGACACAAAAACAGTAATGTAAAGAGAAGGACGCGGGGCTAGTTTACGGTCCGTTTTCGCGCCCGGGAGCGTGAGGTTAAACGTTCTCCTCCCCGATATGGTGGGAGGACGCGTAGAAGGAGGAGAAAGAGGAGTGTCGCGAGCGGACGATCCGACTCTTACCTGTCTCGGGGCTGTGTAGTCGGCCGACGGACGCTCGGCGCGGACGATTGTTGTCAGCCGATAAACCCACGGTTACCGTTAGAAACGGATCACTGCGCATGACGACTTTGTTCTCGTCCCCTTTTTTTTCTCTTCGACTCCTTTGGAATGTTTTCCTACAGACCCAATTCTTCATTAAGTAGACCAAAAATCCTACCTCTCCCATACAAACGCTCTATTCCTTAAAAAGACACTACCATTTTACAGAAGAAAGCATCTTTTCTTTTCCTATTGTCTATTTTCTCACAGTTAGAGCCAAAAATTCTCCTTCCTACCTCCGAGTTACGAATCACGCGCTGCTTCTCCCCCTTCTTTACTTACTCCAATTTTCATCCTCCTCGATACAATACGTAAGTGATTCTCCGTAATTCCTGGAGGGAGCTTAAATCCTATTTAAAAGCACAAACTCCCGGCTACTAATTTGCATATCGATAAGTCACGCCGGCAATATCGTCGACGGATATAATGCGGTGTATTGTAGCGTGCTAACGATTTATATTCAAATGGCGTTTAAGACCGGGCCCGTGTAGACCACGTGACTGCTAAATGTCTATATTTTTCGTTATTTAATTAATTAACCGGGGAGGAAAGGGTGAGGATTTTCTACGTTCGATTGATACGAAGTCGAGTGCGGGAAGTAATTATAGAGGAGACGGCGTAAATTTGATATAATTACGCAGTTCGATCTATATAATTGAAGACTTTAACCCCCTCCACTCACGAATTTTTCGTAAATTTTTAATCTGTTTATTATTATTAACTTCTTCCAGGTGTGTTCGAGCGCACGTTTCACCAAACACGCGTTTAAAGAGGGATGCTGTGTTTGTCCTATGATTTACGAAACACAAAAGTCACTATCTTAAAATAGAATAATAATGACAGAGCTCATTAATTAGTTAAAAATGCGGTGAAGAAATGATCGATTTTGTTAAAAAAGAACGAGTAGAAAACTCTTCCTTTTTAATATTATTTATTTAAAAAACAAGCCGTACATCACGCCATTTTATTAATTTATTAAAACCTACCTGTTTATATTTACCGTTTTAAATATTTACTTCTTAGGTATCGAGTATCTTCTTTGTTTAATCACCGTTGGCTATGTAGAAAAATTTAATTACGGTGTGTACTCCGAGGCTTATCTACTCATTCGATTGTTATGTATCGTGTGACGTGTCGAATTAAAAGCTTTTCTGTATTATATATCGGGTGTGGCTTAACAAAAGGGGCTGCTGGCTTACATATTAAGACGTTTTACGCCCGGCGAAAGTGGAACAAATTTTATCCCCATTAACACTACCGAATCACTATTGCAGTGTTGACGAATCCCCTATCTGCTGCGTTATTGTCTTCACACAGCAGATAGAGGATGTAAATAATAGCACGTGTGTACTTAAAAGTGTTTCGTAGGTCAAATGGATTTTGATGGTCACGGGGTACAAACACGAAGCGTGACTGGCAATTGGCAATAGCTCATAAATAAATGTCGTGTCGAAAACGATATTTCAAATGCGTGCGGGGGGGTCACTTAAACGGGGAGGTGATCGATGACGTGGCTTTATCTGTAATTAATTTTATAGATTAGGTACGAAACCGCGATTAAATGCCGCGATATCGTAGAGAGAACGATATCGATGGATGTCTTCGTTTCCGGCACGCGATACATCCGCCATTTTGAGTCAAAGATCCCGAGCTACCGGTTGGAAAATAACGTTTCGTCAACTCTCCTCGGAGCGCATAATTTATTACATTAAACAGTGGATAATAAATTATAGTACGACGGTTACAATGTTATCAATTTAGATCGCGATAATAGTATTATAATATATGGCATTACGGCACGACAGATAATAGAATTATGATAATACACGTAACGCAATGTGGGTGAGGGTGACGTAACTTACTTCGGTCGATGGTCCGTGACGTCTAGAAATAAAGACACGGGTATATACACATAAAAATAATTCGATAAGTTACTTTTTTACTGTCCTATCCAGTATACAAATATAGCCAAGAGAGTGCACACTTAATGACATCACAGGAGACGTTATTAAGTGTGGCTTCTCGAAACGCGTTATAAACGAACAAATTCAAAATTGCAAGTGCTAATAACGAGTAAAATCTTCATTAATTCCGACCCTAATCGCGATATGACACATGTTCCTTCTCTATCTCCCCTACCCCTCGACCTTTAACCACCAAAACTTAATGGCATCAATACCCCTAATACACAAACTTCCCTTTAAAATTTCGGAAAGTTTCGACAGAAAGTGCAAGAGTTATTACGTTTCAAAGTGGGTGAACACTTCGCGCTTTCCCCACGCACTAACATCCATTCATACAGAAAAACTCTCCAAATTTTTGCATTTCTCGACGTTTCTTTTTTGGGGAAAGTAATTTTTTTGACCGGTCGCCATACTTTCCCTATGTTATATACAGGAAAAGTAACGAAGTTTTAAAAAGTAATTTAGGATTTTTTAAATAAAAACACGTGGCGTTACGTAAAGAACGAGTGAAATATTCATCAGGAAACTTTTATATTCTTCTAAAGAGATAACGACTACAAAATATTCTTTTCTTTAATCGAGTTCGGTCCACATTTCTACACGCGATATGAAAATTTTGGTTAAAAATCGATAAAGGTTTACAATATCATCGATGAGATAGAATTTGAATTATCTTTCCTATTCGAAGAAACTTTTGGATTAAAAAAAACCATCATTTTTGCTAGAAAAATTAAAGAAAATTACGTTTCACTTGTAAATATTCAGCAGAAATGGCATACAAAATGAGATAAATATTTCTTCTATTAACCTTTTACTTTGTTAGAGACGTTCCTTTCCTCTTTATCAAACAATTATTGATGAAATCGCTAATTTTCTACCCGATTCGAAGACTTTTATTTATTTATAACAAAATTAATGCCATAAATTTTTAAATTTTAACTTAATTTCTCTACAAAAGAAGACATTTTCCTTCGTGTTAAATAAATAAAAGCATAAACTTCTCGGAATTTAATACACGAATTTGTCTATAAAATAATTACTTTCTACAAGTATATACGTTTACTTTGAAACTTAATTTAAATAATTAAGTTATTAATGAGATTTTGGCGCTTATTTATTAATGAATTCTTTTACAAACATAAAATTAAATCATTAAAATTTAAAAAACGACAGGGAATTTAATATTCGAGAAAAGTATTTATAAATTTCCAGGGATACTCTGCCATTTCCAGCTAAATTCTCCAAGTGTTTAGTGATTTATTTTTTGTGCAAATAACAAAGATATTCAATAACACCATTCTCCAAATTCGAGTTACAAAATTCTGCTACGAAATGGTAAGATTTCCTACGAAATAACAATGACAAACTACTCCTGTAAATCTGTCTTCTCCTCTAAGCGGTGTTGCAATGAGAGAAAGGCCAAGACGAATGGTATAGAGGTGGGTATCTGCCGAGGAGGATTCCTCCCCGGAATACTTAAAAGAAACTGGACCCATTTTTAGGGGTTAAAGGGAAGAAAAAACCCGGAAAACGGATGCAAACTGGGTGGTTTTATCCGTTTCGTTTCAATTGTAGTGTAGTGTTCTGGCTTCTATTACGCTCTTTTCTCATCAAACAAATAGGCAAAACTCATTTCCATTCGTAACTTTCGTCTTCAGTTCTGTGAATACATTTAATAAAAGATTGTGTTTGTTATTATTTACCGAACATCTTTAAAAATTGAAATATTGTGACGTGTCTTATAAAGAATTAAATGTTTATTCTTTTAGTGTTTTGTTTCGCTTTACTTCGCCCGAAAAAGGTCAATCCCCAAATTACGTGTGTTATTTATTATTTATTCCCACTTATACGTGTTGCGAATATAGAATTAGAGTAAGAATAATATGTTATTGACGTGGCCAGAAACGTCGTGGGATTCGAATCCGTATCCTTCCGGAGACGATCGACTGGGTAAGCACCGATATACTTTAAACCGAGTAAACACTACACACTTAAATACAATAGAGCGTCGATTATCCGAATCAATTGGGGACTGGGGTTGTTCGGTAAATCGATGTTTCGGATAACCGATCATGTACGAAAACATATATTAACCTATCCCGTGTTGAAATTTTTCTCCGTTGCGTGTCGCTTCGCGTTGAATTCTCGTCGATGTTAAGCCTAACGAAGACTATTGTATGGTTAAAAATTACTTCTTTATTTTGTACAAACAAAATAAATATATTGAAAAATATAAAAAACAATAAAGAATTATACTTCAGAAGTTAATTTAGTATCAAAAACGTAAAATATTTGAGTAGCCCAAGACATTGCCAAAGATTGCAGCGCCACAGCACTGGCGAAAATTTAAATTTGCCGACTGGAATTCTTTCGGATAATTGACGTTTCGGATAATTCACTTTCGGATAATCGACGCTCTACTGTATACGTTTTTGACGTTTCACATTTTCGGGCCATCCGATATTGTCTCACGTGATACATTTCAATTTTCCAATAACTCTTTCGAAATTCAAATTAATATAAATTTATTTATATTATTTCTCAATACTTAATACATATTATTTTTATGTACCATTTCGTACATTAAACGTAAAAAAAACAAACTAAAAAATCGATTACGGGTTATGCTCCTGGCAACACTGTTACGTTATAAGATGGCGGCTATCACGTTGCGGTAGACCCTTTAACGAAGTAAAAATGATCGAATCGTGTTCTTTTCGTCGCATGGTGTTCGTGGTGGCATCTCTGGTTTGGTAAGCGCTGGGTTTTCTTTCGTATTTGACTAATAACCGTAACTGGACGGCATATTTTGTATATTACAGCAGTTGTTTGGTGGTTCTGGTAGTGGAAAGTGTTTTGGCTCCTTCTCCCGACAAATACGCACGTCCGACCGACGAACTCGACAATTCTTCTTGTTGGAACAACGAAAAATATTCCGTCACGCAGAATTGCAGAGCCTGTAACCAGTTCGAGAAGGTTAGAGCTTCCTTTTCTATCTAAACATTAGCTGGGAAGTAACCCCCCATTTACTCCTTAATTATTAATTTCCACCCGTTTCGTGCAATTCTTAAATCGTTTGTTTCTGTGTTCTGGATAAATAAAGTTAATTGTTTTCGGGAACGAAAACGCCGATTTTGATGCGACTGAGTTGCATATTTTCTCGTTATTAATGAACGAAACTGTGTGCTAAACGTACTTTGACCGCATTTATCTAATGAAAATTCTGCGAGATGCCTCAAGAGCTTTTCCTTTTGCTGGCCGTGTTAATGTACGAGTTAAATTTCAAGTTTGTTTAATACGGTTTAATATTAAACGACAAATATGCTGTTAGGTCTCTTAGGATTAGATCTACTTTATCTGCTAAGAAATGAACACACTTTTGGATCGGTGTTAGATTCGTGGAGTAAACTATTGTCTGGCTTGGTCCTTGTGTCGCGAACGCCGTATTAGCCGTGCGAATGGTTACCGACGTGGCCTGCGGTTTGAGCCTGACGGTCCACCGAGACTGGCGCAGAAAAGAAAGGGTGCGGGTCGCTCGACGAGGTCGGAAGGTGCGTCAAGCTCGAAATCCGCCCTGCCTCGGTCCGAGCGTGCAAAAATAGCAAAATAATTTATCTTAATTTCTGGTCGACTGGCTCTGTTTTTTTTTTTTATTAATCCTTTCGTGTCGAACGTCGATTTATCATCTACGAGGATTTTGTCTACGATCACATGTTTCTTTCTGTAACCTTATTTGACTGTATTAAACTAAAATATCTAAGTATTATTTAGTATGTTTTGATAAAGTAAGAAATTGCAGTACAACAATATGGATAGAGAATTATGTAATTACCTGAGATAAAAAGCATCATAGTTTGTTAAGAGTAAACAAAGAAACTTAAACTTTTTTGGTTTATAAATAAAATTTTTATAATTGCTGCATTTCTGTTTAAAGATTTGGTGATGGGTATTATTTGTTAAGTTTTAGATCTTGAATTATTTATGGATGCTGAATAACGGTAGAGTAAACTTGTCCTTAAGGATTTTATGGTGGGCGTGCATTAATTATTTCCATCGTATTAGATCGAGAATATTTATAGCTGTTCTGTTAATTAGCTTTTAAGTAATTTACTGAAAGTCCATTAATATTATTAAATAGAATAAAAGTTTTGTTGCAGTGACTCTAGATTTGAAATAGTTCAATGGATGATATACACTGTTTTGTGTCTTCAACATCCCACTTAATTGAAACTTGTCAATTTATGTTAAAAGATTCTACCTTCTAATTTATCATTAGTTTTAGAAAGTAAATAATACTCTAACGAATTCTTTTGTACACGAACTGTATTCTTAACAATTTATTAATGTAACTTTTTATAATTCTTCTTTTTTATTTTTTAATAATAATAAAAAATTTATATATTAATTTATTTAGTACTGTCAAAATCTATCATAGCATTATATATATATATATATATATAAACAAACACATTGGGGAGCCTTGTTCCCTGGTTGCCATAGGCAACCCAACTCCACTCCTTGCTTGTTTGTTTCACTTGAGTCACCCACTTGTCCCAATATAGACTATTCATAACAAAAAATATTCCAATAATATATATATATCTTCATTTATGTGGGTTGTGTATGTGTATGTTTTCATCTGTGTGTATATATCAGAGCTGCATAGTCGGAGTAATGGAGTTTTGGTGTTTTAGTCAGAGTCATCAAAATATCCGCCGACTCCGACTCCTTTTTACTTCCCAACTTGTAATGTATATAAAATGGAAAAGTATTGGAATCATGTCAAATTTGACCCTCCAAGTTTCTTTTGCAAATCTACACGTTTGGAGACCTCCCGAATCCCTCAAAAAAGTCAATAAAAGGGAAAAAAATTTGCACGAATGTGTATGTTGGCGTCTAATTTGTTTAATTTCTTTATTTTCTGTTCTGAGATATTAAACAATATCTCAGAATGGGTAAAGTTTAAGAAACGAAATGTGGCACTGTAGCTTGCATATAAAGGGGCATTAATACTATTAAATTTTGGTTCTTAATGAAAGGTCGACAGGGTGAAGACATAAAAGTGGTCATGTGTCATATCTCTTAATGAATATTTTACTCATTATTAGGCATTCAAAATTAAAAAATAATAATAATAAAATAAAACTTGTCTCTACCCTCAAAGTAAGCTTTTTTGTCATTTTATAATAGTACAGTAAAACCCGTTAAGAAGTTCTCGCCTAAGATGCTAGAATATATATGGGGTCATGATTTAGTTCAACCACTTAATAACTAACTCTTGTGTTAAACCATCCGACTCCGATTCCGACCACAGAAATTATTAGGCTTCAAACAGGGTGAACAAAATCATGCCCCACACACACAGTCTAACATCCACACATAGAAAAAACCTCAAATCTTTTATATATCTCAATTTCAAGGTGCCCTGAGTCCAAAAATGTAAAAATTTGGGAAGGGTCATTTTTTGACCGAGCGCTACACTTTTCCTCTGTTACATATAACAGCCGGAGAAGTAAAAATTATTGAATACATATTTATATATTACTTAGAGGAGTTTTATAGCTTTGGATTAAAAAGTTTCTACGTTCTATCATTATTAGAACTCTATTTATTGAATCTTTTATTCTAAGGTCTGTATACAGTGGATTCCACTTAATTGGGACACCGGTTAAATGGGGCATACACTTTATTGGGCCAAATCTCAAAGAATGGAAACCAAACTAATAAATTAATACATAATTTAATCGCTTAATTGGGACAGTAGCAGAAAAGAATTTAGCAATTTTTGATATATTTTAGTAATCTTCCAAAAATATGTAGGCACTATGTACACTAATGTCATATAGGCCTAACGTTTGGCAGAGAGAAAGCGATTTTGTCCTGCTTGGACAGTTCAGTTTTTCTGGAGGGGGTCAACATAGTGGGACGTATCACACAGAGATTTTGTCTGAGGTGGACCTGAATGTGAGTTACTGATCATGCTCTGGATTGGACCGGATGATCTTAAAAGCAAAGGGTCAAAGATCCCTGGACAATTTTTTGAGGTCTCTCGACTGAGTTAGAAGACAGCTAGAGTTTCCTTGGAAGACAATATGTGCATACTTAAGTCTAGATTAGGGCAGCAGCCATCCGATTGTTGAGACCAGCATCGAGCTGGCAGATTCTACGGTTACTCTCGCCAAAGTGGCCCATCTCCAAGTAAAGGAAACTGTGCTCGAAGGAAGACCATAAAATGACTTTTGGACAAACCTTTCTTTTTCTCCCTTTTTGGTTAGAACATGTTCTAACTAAAAAGAAAGGAAAAATTGTTTGATCAGGAACGGATCGAATGGTCAACCCTTTATATGCTTATAACATTTACGTGTTGTGGCGTTACAGGAGTGGAGTCTTGGAGAATGAACTCGTCCAACTCCTGTAACCCCACAACACGTAAGTGTTATAAGCATATAATAACTTCGTTGGCGTGAAGTGTCATTGTATACTATATCGTGGTCAACCCTTGTTTACATCACTACTAATATTTGGCAACACTAGCATTACGCGAATCAGTTATTTATCATCGTGAGTCTGGCAAATTTATAGTACAAATATTTTCTGTATTTTGGTTTAATAAAGCCTTAAAATAGATAGCTAATTATTATTTTTTACCTACTTATTTATTTACCTATGTATTACATATTTTATTATAAAACTTATTATTAGTTCATTTAACTGGTGCAAGCCGCTTAATTGTGCCAAAATGGATTAGTCCCAATGTGTCCCAATTAAGCGAAATCCACTGTATATATAATAATACATTGATTTTTAACCAAATTTTTAATAATTTATTAAATAATTTAGAACTGTCTGGGAGAAAAGAACTAGCCCAGAGTGGGATTTGAACCTGCAACTTCCACTTGCTAGTTACACCAACTTCCCCCATTTGCTTACTCAACCTCTACTTGCTTTGCTACTAATTATTATATTGTATTATAGTTGCATTTATTGTAATATAGTTTCACTTGTTTTTTTTCTTTTTTTGTAATGTTTATTTTGGCTTTGTATAATGTGCTACTGTATCTTGACATTGAACAGTGACTAAGTGACATTGAACAGTATCACAGATACTGTTCAATGTCACTTAAATCATTTGCATTGTATCACTCCACTGTATTTATTACAGTACACTTTTTGTTATTTCATTTCTATTATTTTCTTTTAATTTTATTTATTTATTTATATTTTGTTTCTCATAATAATTATTGATACATTTGTGACACCAACTTGATCACTGTAATACTTAAGTGTTCTGATGTACTAGATGTGCTAATACTCTGACGCTACTGATCACAGTCTTTCAGAGTATTATAATAAAGATCGTGTACATGTGCACGTCCATGTTTTGCTACTCTTTCAGCTCAACTCCTTCTCACTTCGCTCAAACTCTCTGTATTCAATTTGCTTACTACTATAAAAATTTCAATTTAAAATCCTCTAAAATGCACCTAAGTTTAAGCACATAATTTGGAAAATATAATAGAAGGGAACATTTCATTGTTGAATATTGTGCAAGAAGTTATGTTCCAGATATAGAAAGTAAATTAGCTGTCTAACCAGATTATTTATTTAGAATAAATTTTAGAATTATTCCATTAAATTAATTTATACTATTTGGAGTATAGGAATTGAATTATTAGCATAAACTTTGTGCTCGTTCATCACAATGAATAATCAAATGTTAGATTGTTCATTTAATATTTAAGCATTTGTTAATTAGCACAAAGTTTTATATTTAATATTCACATGTGTAACTAAGTTTGTGAATGAGTGTTTCTAAATATAATTATGTTCATTTTTCTGGCATGTAATCTATCTAAATCATTTCATAACTTCTAAATTAATTTTTTCAATTTTTGATTATTAGTAATGCTACATCTGCACATAAAAAACATCATGTAAGTTATAATTTTTATATTGAAATTTGACAACGTTGGCTACATACTCATAAAAAGTTAAAATTCTTAACAAAAATCCTAGTACACTGCCTTTTTGCAATCACAACTAATTATCGGTCACTTAATATTAATCAGACTTAGCTTTGACTGTATTTAATTTCCTTTTAAATATTTCCAAATTATTTGATTTTCAGTACAATTTTTTCTTAACATTGTTATCATTGGCCATATAAGATTAAATAAATGATTATTTCTCAGAAATGATGGAGTGGAATTCCGAGAAACTAATCGGAAAGATAACAAAATCAATCTTCATCGGGTTGTTGCATTTTGAATCGTAAGACGACTTACTTTATCCAAATATTTCATAATCAATTTTGTAAACCTTTCTGATGCTGCAAGATCAATGGTTATTGTATGAAGAATTTATTTTAGTTCTTAAAAGAGATCATTGCAGTTATGAATATGTAGCTTTTCTAAATACAGTGGTACCTCAGTATATGTCTGCTTTAGAATACGTGCTGTTTGGACGAAACAAATTTTGCTCGTTATACGACTTTTGTTCAGTATACGACATAATTCAATTATACGCACCATCAATGAACAAGTAGCACTATCGGTATACTAGACCAGACTAGACGTTCGCGGTGCAACGGTTTATAACTTTGTTAAATTTCTTCTGGTTTTAATTCATAAGTAAAATTTTATTATTTTTATTAATCACAAACTGCAAAAAGGCAAATGAAAAGCGACAGAAAACTAAAAAAATGACTAGAGTTACAATGGAACTGATGAAAGAGATTGTTGAGGAATACGAAGGTGGCACGCATGTTCGAGATTTTAACTGTTGTTTACCGTATTCCGAGAACGATGATATGGACAATCGCGAAAAATAAAGACATTATTAAATCTGCTGACATTGCGAAAGGGGTTAAATAAATTTCTAAACAGAGATCGAAGACATTAGATCATGTCAAGAAATTGCTTTTGCTTTGGATAACTGAAAAACAGTGCTGGAGACAGCGTATCGGAAGCAATTATTTGCGAGAAAGCTAAAAAGATACACGCTGATCTCACGAAAAATCAAGCAGGAGCTAGCCAGGAAAGTGAGGTGTTTAAAGCCAGCCATTTTTTTTTACACGAGAACGGATTAATCATTTTTACATACTTCTTATGGGAAAGGTTGGTTTGGTATATGTCCAATTCGGTATAAGTCCAAACATCGGGAACGGATTAAGGTTGTATACCGAGGTTCCACTGTATTTTATTTTGGAAAATACTTGTATAATGCAGAATAAGGATTCCACACACAGTTAAGATATTAGGCTACAAGCAGTTCATTTTGTTTGGCTTGACAGATAACACATCTGTTACAAGGTTACATATAACCTTGTAACAGATCTTAAGAACTGTTTATATAATTTATCTGTGGAATGTCAAAAAATTGAGAAATGCAAACTAGAGGGGTCAAAATTATACCAATTGCCATATTTTACTTATATTATTTTCCATGCTATTAGAACACTTTTGTCGAATTGCAAAACAGTCAAGAATTGTTTATTCTTGAATGAGCATATTAGATACAATAAAGAGGCAAAAAGCTAATTGGATGGGACACGTGATTCAAAAAGGTTTATGGAATGACATTATGGAAGAAATGGTTGCAGGCAAAAAGAAACAAGGGTGGAGAAAAATTAAAATGGTGGATTACTTGAAAGAGGGTAGTTATAAGGAGCGGACAAAACAGAGGGAATTAGAGGTTTTATCTCAAATGTAACCAGACTTAATTACGATTTACTCCTTGTCGACATTTACAGTTTTTTTGTAAATCTCATTCCTACCCCAAAAATAAGGTTTCTGCCCTTTTATAATGAGTAATATATGTATAAATTTAATTTTAGGAAATCTTGTAACATATGGCACCATACACAATAATAAATAAAAAGATAATTATAATACAAGAATATATAATACTTTCTATTATATATTTCTAGCCACAAGACAAAAATTATATAATAAAAAGAATATATAATACAATAATAAATAAATAATAAAAAGAATAAAAAACACAAATAGAACTACTCAAAGCTTCAAAAGTACTTTGACTAGAAATCTAGATGTCCGAGTCAAAATAAACCAGAGTTCGCCAGTGGTCGAAGCCGCCAAACGTCAGTAGTTAGTCCCGGTTTGAGCTTGATGCAAGTTGGCCGAGCAAAGTTTTCCAAGTTTTCTTTGCGTAAACAGACCAACCAAATAGGGGGCAGTTTTCTCATAGAAATCCTTCCAGAAGACAACCTTTGCAGATCACTCTTGCAATGTTCTGTCTTATCTGTCAAGCCAAACAAGATGAACTGCTTGTAGCCTAATATCCTAACTGTGTGTGGAATCCTTATTCTGCATTATACAAATATTTTCATAACTGCAATGATCTCTTTTAAGAACTAAAATAAATTCTTCATACAATACCCATTGATCTTTCAACATCAGAAAGGTTTACAATAATTGAAAAAATATTCAAGAATTTTCAAATTTACATTGAATGGCCACATTTTGAAAACTGAAATACTGTAAATACTTTTGGTTAAGCAACTAATAATTTTTATTAGTCACTTTAATTATTTTTATTACAAATAATTTTTATTAATACATTTGTATAACACCTTTAACAATTTAAATTTAAGTTTATTATGCCATTATTCTATTTTATTAATGTAAAGATATTATAAGTAATAGATACAAATGTAAGAAACTATCACATTTGTGCGTACAAAACCCATTAAACTTCGTGACTTTAGAGAATTTTTAAACTTAGTTTTGCTGTTGGTTAATCTTTTGGAGAGTTAATATATAAATTGAAATCTTTTACTTTCAAACAAATTTTTTTGAGAGAATACAGGAAATTTAACATCTGAAAACTACTAAATAATACAATACCTCTTCACATCATTAATTATGCTTTGAGAGCAGGTGTTGCCCTTAGTTTTATGGAAGCAGATTTAAATAGAAATTTTTCGTAGGAAAATTTTAATTCCAGTCTTTGTTATAACAAAATTAAACAGAAATTCAAAAATTTTTTGATTGTTCCATTACAATCAAATCAATCAAATTGTTTATTGTTTAATAATTAGAGTGATGATCATCATTAGTTTTCTGCTAGTTATAGTAGGTCTGGTGAGAACTACTAGTGTCCTGCACTATTGTCTGTAGCTCCCTCTTTCAAGTCATCCACCATTTTAATTTTTCTCCACCCTTGTTTCTTTTTGCCTGCAACCATTTCTTCCATAATGTCATTCCGTAAACCTTCTTTTTGAATCACGTGTCCCATCCAATTAGCTTTTTGCCTCTATTGTCTCTAATATGCTCCTTTTTTCACCCACTGTTCTTAGGACATACTCATTTCTCAATTTATTGCTCTATGATGATATGATCTTAAATTTAAAAATTAATTTTTTTTATACCTGACAGTTAATAAACATGTTTTGTATTAATATTTTTTATGTTAACTTTTTGATAGGTCAGCAAACATACCTTAGCCTGTCTCTCTACTGGTTACAAAGAAGAAATAACTTGTGAAAAATCAGGAACTGTGTACAGAAGGTAATTATGGTGAATTTCTGATATTTTTTGTTATTACAAACCTTAATTAACAAAACAATTTCCTTATTTATTAAGTCAGTAAAAATTCACAGGAACTTCAAATTTATAATTACAAAACTTTATTATTTTAATTTTTTAATTAGAGTTATCTATATATAAATTAATATAACATATACAACCCTATACACTTTTAGTACCAAATGATCTGCCAGATTTTTTTCAAGAATATTCTGAGTTAAAAAAAATTGATAAATTTAATTATTACAGATAATTAAGAGATGGCAGCTTAAACCCCTACCTCTATCCAAATTGCTTTGTATCTGATTATTAATTAACTTTTATGTAACCGATAAAAAAGATCTGGCAGATTGTTTGGTATTAGAGAAATCTTTATAGATATATTGGGGAAATAACAACGGAAGCAACTTTTTTTTACTGAAACTTAAAATTTCTGTTCCATTTACAGTTTTTGGTTATACATTTAAGATACAATAAAATAATTTGATAAAATTGAATAGCAATTTTAATGTCGTAAGTTATGCTGCCAAATAAAAACAAACTATTTTTGCATTTTTTTTGTATTTAAATCAAAATGAAAGAAATTGTAAATATCACTCATTGCAATCTTTTCATTTCTTGAGTAAGAAGTAAATTTTATAATCATGCTAAATGGACAAATAATTTAATTTTTAAACAAATAATGCAAAATATTCATTTAGTATTGTGTATGACATCATTTCAAGATATGAAACAAGAAACAAATCACAAGCACATTGTGTATAGAAATAGAAGCATAAAACAGAAATTTAAGATTATGATAAGTTTTTCAATCACTGATATTTATAAATTCTTAACTAAAATATGTGAAACAGTATTATAATGATTTGTAAAAATTTTATACAAATCACGGTGTGTTCTCCCAGGATGACAAAAATGCCAAAAACAAATAAATAAATAGTTTGTTACTAACGTTTTTGAATTGAAAAAAAGTTCTTTTTCAGGTAACTTTGAATTTCTGATGGAATGCAGATCGAAGAAAACCGAATTTGAAATTCGAACATGCACTTCCCGCTTCCCAAGCGTGTGTTCGAATTTCAAATTCGGTTTTCTTCAATCTGCATTCCATCAGAAATTCAAAGTTACCTGAAAAAAAACTTTTTTTCAATTCGAAAATGTTAGTAACAAACTATTTATTTATTTGTTTTTGGCATTTTTGTCATCCTGGGAGAACACACCGGTAACAGGTTTGAAGATTTTATTTATTATTTTATAGAATTTTGAGATAGTCAATTTATATATATATATATATATANTTAAATATACTCATATGTTCACAGAAAATAAAAACAAAAATGCTTAAAAAATTGATCATTAATCTAAAAGATTGTGAGTGAAATTGCACTGAATGATTTTTATAAGTTATCTATATCTTTTTACTACATTATACAAATAATTTTTGGTTGAGTTATTTAAGAAAATATACTGTATGATAAAAAATTATGTAATTTTATTTTATTTATATTATTGGAAAAATTTAACAATTTTTGTTTTGTACCATTTTATGTAACAAAATTATGTTGACTGCTCATTTATAAAAGTTATTTTTTAAAAGTTTTAGTTTTTATGTTATAAATTGAGTTTAATTTGCACAAATCTTCACTTAATGTATATATTACAGTCAATGATGTGAGTATACAAAATCTTATGAATAACTTGACATTCACCACATTTGCACATTATATTGGGCAATGACACGAATAGATGGAATTGGATGTCAGCTGCCAGTCTAGCAGGCAATATTGGCAACATGTTAAAGCAACAACACCCAGTACCACTTGGTAATAATGTAAATTGCTGTGGCAGTCACCATACACCACATAGTATAACCTTATTTTGGTTATTTTTGTTCTTGTTCTGTTGTTTAAAGTACAGTAGTGGAAAAAGTTATGTACTGAATTTTATAAATTAGTGAGTGAGGTGAGGGAGGAGAAGTTTGGGTTCTAATGAATATACTAAAAAAAATTTGAACTGTGGGACAAAACAGTGCTCTTGCCAAGCAGAAGCGTGCTGCATCTCAAAGTGTAATTTAAATCTCAGTTGTTTGAATAAATATGACAAAATATACATGTGGGTCTGCTGATGGTTGCCTGATCCCATTGTACTTTTATGTTTTGATGTTGCGAGTAAGCTGCCTGTGTTGTATTATTTAGATTTTTATCAATTGTGTACTTACATTCCTTAAGTTGTTGTAAATTATGTATAGTGGCACCCACATAGACCAGTTTTGATTTTGAAACGTTGGTCAATTATCGGGATGGAGTAAATCCGTAGACCAGAAATGAAGAGTGGTTTTAATTAAATTATATCCCATCTTTAAGAAACATACATAAGAAAGTGGCCAGAGCTAATGATGTATCAATAGTATATCGATGCAACCCAACAATCTTCAGAATTTTTAATAATATCAAACAGAAAAATTTCGTACACTTATAATAAAAGTTTACAAATATAAAAAAATTGTAAGTGTATGAAATTTTTGTTTGATATTATTGGAAGCTAAGCTAGAGATTGATTAAAGTAACGTGCTGTCCGAGGTTTTTTTGTCCCGGTTGTACACTAATCATTATTCATTTATTTAACTTAGGCCTCTACCACCTTACCTTAGAGGTATAAAAGTAAAACAAGCCCTAAATTTTAGTGTGTGCTCTATTTAGGATTACATTCATTTCTTTTTCTGTTTAAATATTGAGATTATGTCCTAAAAAATAAATATATTGTGTTATCCTGTGCTATATAACTAAATAAACATCCAAATCACAGGTGTACAATGCTCTAGAAAAACTGAACCACAAAAATGAAGTTACAATATTGATATTCAATGACAACCAACGATTGACTGTCATTTATTTCCATGCCCGGTCATTGTTGACAGTACTTTCCCAAAAGAAACACAACGTTTAGCAAAAGACACAAATGTTTAACGTGTACGGACAACGATCGAACATCCAGTCATAGACGTAGTCGCATCACTTTTGGTCGTTCACGTAAGTAAACAGACATTCGTGTAATTTTACATTTTGCATCATTGACCATAATATATACATTCCAAAAACAATAAATGTTGAAATTTCTTTACTTGAAATAGTTTTTCATTAATGAAGAAAGAAATTTTAATAAATTAGAAATACAAATTTGGAAACAGTTGATGTTTTGAAGAAATATTAATTAAGATACAGCTTGGTGACAAGTCCCAGTCAATTATTCCAAAACAAATAATGTAACCACTTGCTATAAAATTTTCATTAATGTATACTAAGTTGAACATTAGGTAAAAATGGTGCAGCCGTCTGCTTGCTCGCTTTTAGATTGCGGGGGACGGAAGCTACCCAAGGGGGCCAGAGACTGCCAGTTTTGCCATTTTTCGATTTGTTTTTCGGTTCGACGGGACGATTATTTAGCACGCGCTCGATCAGTATACGTCAGTAAAAAGTCCGCACCGGTCCCACATAAATTTTAAATTAATCGAACAGTGAAAAACTTATTACTCTCCTGTATAAATATTTTGTTAATAAAACCAGAAAAATGTGTGTTATAAGTAATGAAAAATGCTAGTGTCTTAAAAGTTAGATTATAACATAATTATAAATATCCAGATCTATAAATCTTTTATTTTTTTTGCCAATTTACTCTAACAATGTGGTCGCATGATAATTTTGAATCGGATTTACATTTTATGCCATAGATTTTCAAATGAGAAAAATATTTTCCCTTTTGAAAGCCGTGGCATCACTTCAGTATTCTGTGCATTTAGTGTATTGATTTTTTTCCTAATGTCACAGTACTGTTCTGTTAGAAACCAAGTCTGTGTGAGTGTAGGCTATATAATTTTTTTACAATATTTAAATCTGAGTTTATAGTATTTATTGTATTCAATGCTAACATTAGTTTTTCAAAAACACTCGAATTCATTTCTTCCAATATTACGTTAGTATGGGAAGAGATCAGTTAATTAATAAACTTTTGATTGTCTAATTAATGTTTCTATCATTCTGGCTGTCCAGAGTTAGAATCTTTATAGATTGGACCATATCACTTGTTTCAATTTAAATAATGCCCAGCCTTTGTTTTGCCTAGTGAAATTTCTTTTTTCCTCATATGTTCAGAAATAGTTTTCCACTGCATAAATTTTTATAATGAAGTGAACAAGAGTGTAGTTAGAATATAAATAAATAGGCTTATCTACTATAAATACTTCTTTTTCATTTCATTATTTTATTTCCTCGTCAATTTGCATTTTATCCTACGTAAATATTTACAGTTCTGTGTCGTATTGTTGTTTTATTTCTTGCCAAAGTTTTCCCGGTTGCCATGTTCCAGTTTTACGTATTTGTTAATACTTCCGTACGTGCCAGACATAGAAATATTTTAGGAAAATCGGCCGTACAATTCGTTTAACCGTGGAAGATACATATTAGAAAAATATTTATAGTTTATATTATATTTTTGTTTTTTACTTTCCCGGCTTACGTATACAACGGAAAGAAAGTATGGCTATAATGTAATCTTAAATGTTTTGGAATAGTCGAGGACCGTTGTGTGTGAGTAGTGGGGATGGCTTTTGGAGACGTTTGACGCACACGCTTCAGTTGATTTTTCATAAGTAAAAGTGTACGAATAACAGAAAAAAGTAGAAAGTGAAGTGTGAAAAGTAAAAATATAAAAAACAATGCCAAAGCGTAAGAAAGAATTTTTGCGGTCTCGAACTATATCTGAAAGGCAAAAGATGTCCTTGAGAAATGAAACCACGGAAGAAAGAGAAGTTCGTCTAACATTGCTACGAGAAAATTATCAACGAAACAGAAATAATCAAACAGAAGAGCGACTTGAAAATTATAGGGAAACGCATCGAATCAGAGAAAGATTATGTAGAGGAAGAGAAGCAGTCTTTTATATATAAGAAAAACTATATTACATATAAATATACGAACAAATAAAAACCCAGCGAAGCGGGTACTCGCAGGTAGCTTCATCAAGTATTTAATGAAAGCCAAAGTATTTATCACACGCTATAGCGGAAGTAAGCGTGTACAACAAACAAAGTAAACAAGCCTAAAGTAAAACAAGCCTCCCGCAAAACTCAAGAGCGTAAAATCGCATGAAAAACAAAAAAAAAAAAAAAAAAATTAAATGTGCACCATGACACCCCAAGATATCTGTCATGGTAGAGACTGCAATTAGTAATATGAAAGAGAGACGTGGATCGTCTCTTCCCGCTATCAAATTATATATTGCTGCCAATTTCAAAGTTGACACGGTCCGTTTGACTCCTTTTATCAAGAATTATTTGATAAATTCGTAAGAGCCTACTATTTTCGAGCCGTTTTAACGTCCCTCCCTCTCTGTTGGGTGTAATGACGGGCATTTGGCGCAGTATTGGGGGTGTGCCTGATGGCACTCGTGCAGTTTAGGAGTACGGCCGTTTGAAAGGTTTTCTACGTAAAATTAATCGATTGTAGACTAATTTGACTCGAATATTTCTAAAACACATAATGTTTTGGGAATAACCCATATAAAATATATGTACTATACGTGCTCGATGGGCACTCGTGCACTTGGTGCGGCGGTTTGAAAGGTTTTTAACGTAAAATTAATCGATTGTAGACTAATTTCACTCGACATTTCCAAAACACGTATAATTTTTTGGGAATAATCCGTATAAACTACGCTATAAACAAAAAATTGTCGGAATATTTACCGAGTGTACTCCGTTCGAAGACTCCATTGCTTAAGCTTCATTTCGTCGCGGATCGGCATATCGGCGTACGAAGCTGTGGCGTGACATTTGTCGGTGGCGCGAGTACTCATCTCCGACTATTTCCCGATAATTTATTCTTTTTGCCGAACTTTGGAGACAGCACGTGATAGATCATAATATAGTATTTTTATTGTAATTAGAAACGACTTACTATTATTATTGACTACTAGCTGCCAGTACCCGCTTCGCTGGATTTTTTATTTGTTCGTACATTTATATGTAATATATATATATATATAAAAGACTGTTTCTCTTCCTCTACATAATGTTTCTGTGATTCGATGCGTTTCCCTATAATTTTCAAGTTGCTCTTCCGTCTGATTATTTCTGTTTCGATATGATTCGAGACCACAAAAATTCTCTCACGCTTTGGCATTGTTTTTTATATTTTTACTTTTCACACTTCACTTTTCACTTTCTACTTTTTTCTGTTATTCGTACACTTCTACTTACGAAAAATCAACTGAATCTCGTGCGTTACACGTCTCCAAAAGCCATCCCACTACTCACACACAACGGTCCTCGACTATTCCAAAACATTTAAGATTAAGATTACATTATAGCCAATCTTACCCGTTTTCGCGGAATGCAAGAATTAGGTCCCCCGTGTCCACATTAATTGCAAAAAACCGTATGTGCGCCTGTAAATCTTGCACTCCGCTTTCTCTTAACACTTCCTTTGTTACTCAACACTTCCATTGTTACGCATTTTCGAAGTCAACTTTCAACCTCCGTATCTCCCACACTCTTATAGCTATCGAGACGCAACCACCATAGCGCAGGATGGGAGACTCGGGGCTACTACCGCACACAAACACCATTCGTGCGCGATGAATTTGGCTGCAGAATGAAGTATAGGCACAAACACGATCTTGAAGATTTTAATAATAAACTATAACAGATAGCAATATACGCAGTAAATGTCTGGAAAGTTAAGCAACTCTTGGCTGGAATTTTATTTTCCTGGCTGTTATATATACACGACAAGGGAATGTGCGGGAATCGTGTTAAATTTGACCTTCTGAGTTTTTTTTTGCAGATCTCCACGTTTTGAGACCCCGAACCCAAAAAACTAAAACACATCTATCAACGAGTTGCTTAACTTTCCCGGCTGTTATGAGATTAATAATTAAGAAAATATATATGTCACGCCATCTGTTACGAGATTATGTTATAAAAACTTTGCTATTTTATAATAATAAAAAAATATATAAAATTTTTATAAGAAAATCGCGCAACAGATGGCGCCACATACAATTTTAGTTATTTATTTTGATTAATAATGTAAATGTTATTTTTAAAATACGATCTCTCAAAAGCCGGGAAAGTTAAAATAGCGCGTGGCGCCATCCATTACGAGATTTTGTTTTATAAAAATTTTTATGGTATTAATTGTTATAAAATGCTTAATTTTGAGGGTAGAGACCGGGAGCGCTCGTATATTGGAGTACCCCCTTTTCCCTACCTCCCCACGCACATGAACATCCATACATACGAAATTGACCGTCAGTTTGTTCGTTACAATTAACCTATAGAAAAAAAGAGGGTAAGGCATCCGTTTACTCGGCCAAGTTCATTTTTTATTCTCTCAAAGCATGTTTAAAGGTAAACTTAAATAGTTTTCTGGTTATTTATAAAAGAAACAATGGCATTTTCTCAAAGGACAAACGAAATATATTTAAGCGGAAAGCCAATAAAGCAATAACAATAATAATAGAACGGCCAAGGACGGGACAAAAAACTAGTCGGGGGTAGCGGGGGGCGGAAATTCCGGCGGTGGTAAAACGCGGTGGGAAGGCGAGGACGTCGGCCAAATCTTAAATTTATTTTCCGACCGCCATTTCGGTCGTCGGCCCCAAAATTAAATAGTAAAATCGAACGTGCGGTACAAATTCTCTCCTAGTCTCGAGCGTAGGCGTCTCCGATTGTACCGCTTTCGTATACACCGTTACGCGCGTACTGGTACACACCGTAGCATTTATTTGGGGAATTTTCGAAAATTGTCATTTATAACGCACTCGTAAACACGGAGCGTAAATGACGTTTCGGAAATCGATTTAAAATTCTTTACGCCCGGGGGTGATATTTAATTTGACGAAATGTAGGTCAGTAAGAAATTAAAAAAAAAAAACCTTCCTCCCAAGCCAGTTTGGTTAATTTAAACGTCTACTCGTTACGCCAATCAAAAACTAGCTTCTAGTTTTCCCACGTTGGTGTTTTTCCCACTACTTGGTCTCTGTAAAATTTTATGTCGTTCCCCAATTCGAATCTCTACTCGCCTACGCCAGTTTCGTAATGCACGCCGGGGGGATACGCGCGATTAGTTTAGGTTTAAACGAAAATCGCGCGCGAGTACCCCACAGGCGACTTATTTAAGTGTTATAAGGAACGTTCCGTGGCGTTAGTCCGTTCCATCGAAGGCGTCTGAAATTTTAAACGGGTGGGCGCTTGGAATTTATATAGAGAGAAAACACCAGAGAGGTCAGCCTTACCCGCATAAATTATAAAGCCAACCGTTCCCCGTCCAGTTCGGTGCTAGGGATTTTTCGGCCAGAGGCCGAATATTCGGCTTCCGATTGGTCGAGCGATTCGTGGCAAAAAACAAAAAGAACGATCGGAAACCGGTCTAGGAGATACAATTCGTATTTAAGTGTTAAGTTTATACAATAGAAGTACTCTTCGCGGCATTATTTAAGAGGGTCGATCGAGTGACGCTTCGTTTTCTCCTTTGTCCAGCTGCAAGGTGCCCTGGTTGGAGCAGCGCAACTTCTGGCTGGTGGAAGGGACGGCGGCCGGAATGGCCCTGTTGGGAGGACTGGCGGTCACCTGGAGACAGAAGAGACTGGACAGGAGGACGGTCGAGAGGATCCAGAGACAGATCGCCGCCGGGGTCTGAGCCGCGTAGTTAATTAAAACGTCCTTCAGTTGTTCACCCGAGGATCGACAGGCCTTTGGGGGGCGTCTCACCCCTCCGTAATCTGCCGGCAAAGAGGGAAATGTGATAAACATCGCGCTTCTCGGGTGGACCGAGGATGGACGACTCGGGGGGATTTCGAGCCGGGTTGACCCATTCCCTGTCGTTGGCGCAATTGCCGATATTTCCGTCACCGATCCGGTTGCCGAAAAGGCGGCCGAGTAAGGATAGATTCGGAGGGTCGCCCGCTACGTAACGGGCGAGTCGGAGGTCTCCAAGGTCGTTGGTCCGCGCGTTATATATAAGTATGGGAGCGCGACCCAACCCGATCGTTCGGGCGCTTACCTTCGGCGATATGGCCAGACCGGTATGTGGCAGACAGGTAAATTTTTCCCCGTTTTTTCTTTCTTTTTTTTTTTTAAAGATGGCTCTTCCCTAGGTGACGGTTCTCGCCCCGCTGCTACTGCTGCTGCTGCTCGCAGTATCCACTTTACCCGTCGGGGCGGAATACGTGGGATACGTGTCCTCCGATCGCTACTACGGCTACAAAAGGGTGGGATACAACAGTCGCTACGGCACCCCCAACTACAGCATCCAGTTGGGCGCCGACAAAAACGCCGCTCCCTCCCTCTCCGCTCCGGCCTCGGACCCCTCTTTCCTGCAATCGGGCGGAAACGTCGTCTACAGTTACACCAACATCCAACACTGACCGGAAGCCATCTTCCTCCTCTCCCCTCTTCTTCCGACGTCGCCCAGACTCGTCGTCTACTTCGGGTCCGCCATCCTCGTCCACGCCGACAGATTTTTATCAATAAATGAATTATTTTGTCGTAGTCTTTGTGGTTTTCTTTTTAAAATCGGTACAGGCGGGAGGGAATAATCGCTTACATACAGTGTGTCCGGACGAATTCCGCGGGGGCGACACACCCCCTGCGCATTCGGATGGACGAAATGCTCTCCGTCTTTGTTTCGTTTTTCGGCCTTCCGACCGATTCGTCGCCTACGAAATAACCTTCGTTGGCCGTAATTCTCGCCTCGTCCTCGCAGATATAAATGTAAAGTTGTTAAATATTTTGTTCGATATAATTCGGGGACGACGATTGTCTTCGGTGTACGGAAAATTACGCTACTACAAACGAACTAAAAATGAATTTCGTAGTTTAAGTGCATTTCATGTATGGGGCTGCGCAAGGAAATGGAGCTGCTCTTCAAAGGATGTACAGTACGTGGAGCGATTTCCGGGTAGGAATCTGCCGGATCGCCGACCATTCGAACGTCTTCATCGGGAGTTGCGCGTGGAAATCGCTCCACGTACATCCTTTGAGCAGCAGCCCCATACACGAAATGCGTGTCGGCAAGCTCCACATTATTGCTCAAAATCCGTGCGGGGAATGACGATTCGAAGCAGCAAAGCGCCCTCTCGCTTTCCTATACGAAATTTGCTTATTTGAAACACCCCGTATATATACAAAATACAGGTAGATAAATGATTTACGCGACGTTACGTTAAAATTACGTAAATTTCGTCGTACGAATATATATTGAGTTCGTCTGACGATTTTGCTCTCATAGAATTGCAAATAATCTTAACCTAGCCGATGCACGAAAGAATAAATACAATAAAAAAAATAACGTTAACCTCCGGGCACGCGTACCGTTTTACTAAAAAAAATGGCGCCACAATCGCGTGACACACCCCGGCCCAATCGTGACGTAGATAACCGTCGTCGACCGAGCCACGAAAATTCTGTAATTTCGCCTTCCTGTTTTAATCCGGCTTCTGCCAACCACCGCCAGATGTCTCCTACGGGCGTTTTGTTAGACACACTCGTATTAATCCGTTCGGAAATGGTTTCGCCTCCGCTCTTGACGGTCGTCCGCATTTCTTAAAATACGTCCCTCGGCCCGCCTGGCCCGAACGACGTAAATCGGGAAGGAAAAAGAGCGCGAGGTTAGGCGTATATTTTTAGAGAATGGAAGCCGCGTCGACCTCGTCCCGAATCGGACGGACGAGGAAAATATAAGACCCGCGTCGTCGTACTCGGACGCTTTCGTTCCTCGACATGAAGATAGCGGTGAGTGCGGCCACTCTCCCTTTCCCTCCGTTTGTCTGTCCGTTTCTCTCTCTCTGTCGTCTGTCTTTCGAGCGCTCTACTGTCGTATACGTGACCTAACATCAAACATAGAGGGTACTGTCGCCGTTCAGAGGGATCCTACTTTTCTCTATTGTCTATCTCCTCTCCCTCCCCCTTTCCTTACCCTCTTAACCGCCGGCTACATACTTCGTGTACGGCCGAAGTCTTTCTTGTATGTATGATTGTATACGTGACGGAGAGCGCCGCTTCTACTTCCGGCCGTTTTTCCGGAAGTGGAAACGGCGCGTGACCCGGACGTTTTTTTCCAGATACTGGCGGCGCTGTACTCCGTGGCGGTGCTGTTGGCGGCCGGAAGAGGCTACCTGACTACAGGCGGAGAAGAATTCGTCTCCGACATGGTGAAGATCCGCTCTTCTTTGTCCTCGGTTCGACCGACGGACGGAAGACACGACCACTGACTTTGTTTCGGACGAGATTCCCGAATCGCTCCTTCCGTTTTCGTTTTGTAATTTATCTATATTACCGATTAAAGTGTTTCCGTTCTCGAATTTCTTTTCGCTAGAAGCGGAATCCTCCAGAAATGAGAATTTTGGCCCAGTTCTTCTCGGCGTTACTCGCGCGCGTTACCGGAATCCCACCCGCGCCGTAGGGCACGAGAGTTGAAAACTTCGACGGAAGAGGGCGCCTAAGTCGTTTCCGGATTGGAAGCCAGTTCCTAATGGAAAGCGTAGTGGCGTCGCGGCGGTGTACGGCGGCCTCTAGCGGTGAAAAAAAGGAAATTGAAAGGTTTATAATTACGGCCGTACGGAAGGAATTTTTCTCCTCGGCACTAAATATTGATTCCGAAAAACCGGGAGAGCGATCGATACGAAGGAACTAGGCCAGGCATGGCCAACATACGGCCCGCGGGCCAGATCCGGCCCGTCTAATGAATTTATGTTGCTGGCGATCAATCTTTCAATAAGAGCTACTGAAGTCTCGAATAGCTCGATGAAAAATTCTGACGCGTAAAAGAACGGTCAACAACTCACTGCGCGTTTAGAGTTAACCCTCCAGTACAAATATCGTAGGTACAGCGTAGGATGTTGATAAAGCGTGATAATGTGAAAAATATATCTGTAATCTCTATGTACAATTCAGTCTCTACGGGGTGACACCACAATGAGATCTCGCACCGCCTCAAAATTTTCCTAGAGCAGCCTCTGGTTCGGCCCGGGGACAAAAACTGTTGGCCACCCCCGAACTAGGCGTTTTAATCGTTTTTCCGTGCACGTAATAATCGAAGTACCGGCCCGGAAAAAGGGCTCTCTCGTGGTTTTTAGAAAATTATAAATTGGGAATGGGAATGAGGAAATTTTTGCAGAAAGGGTTCCGTCAAAGGTTGGAGGAGGAAAAACAAATTAGCCTAGAAGTCGCGGTCATTCGTACCTAAACGTAAACCTAAATTTATAGAAAAATTTTCCTACGGATGACTAAATTAAAATATTTATTAATCGAAAATTTATTCTACCGAGGTACCACCTCGGTACTCCACCCGCTAGAATAAATTTTCGATTTTCGAGCTATCACCGTATTTGATGTACGCGATGGCATCGAGGGATTAATTAATTGCGTTAATTTGGGATACTCCTATTTACGTATATAGTAAAACTTATACAGCGTTACACATCTCAAACGTCTGTAATGTTTAACGTAATTCGTATTCGTTTTACGTTACTTTCGACTTCTCCGATTCGAATTTTAATATGTATTTTATCCACAGTGATTCTAACAATTGGATTTTCATGAAACTTCCAGAGTTAGTCTGGTAATATATTAATACGAGTATCTTTGCATAATGTACGAACGATGCGGGCTTCGCCAGTTCGAATGCAACCCGCCGGAAATCCCTTTGGTATCTTCCTTTTCTCACGAGGGGAAAGCGAATTACTTAATAACGGAAATTCGACTTCGTTAACACTATGATAAAAAGCGGAGAAATTCGGCCGACGAAACATCGCGGTGCAATTAAACGAGAGAAGAGAATTTGCATGCTCGTCCCTTACTTCATTAGGCCTTTGTTTAGCAGTCGACCTCGTATCGCTTTTAGAACCGTAACCGTAATTATTCCTTCCGTTCTCGTTACGTTATTCGTATTTAAGCGGTCACGAAAGTGGGTTGCGTGACGGCCGTCTTCCTCCGAAACTAGACCTACTTTCTTCCACCGCCATTCTTCTTACACTACTTATACAATGCTAGAGTTAGTCGACACCCTATTTGATTAGGGTGAACGATGCTACGCTGGAAGGCGCGCGCCCCTGGTATTTCTCCACGTGACGCTCTCCTTCCGGTTGGCGAATATCCCTTCGGAAGGAAGCGTTCCTCCGCGTTGACTGGGACGACGACGATTCCCACGCTTCCTTCGAGGACGGGAAGATCACGTCGGGAACCGGACCCCGTCCTTGGAGGGGAGAAGAGTAAATCACCTTTCCGGGACTTATAAAAGCGCGGAGGATCCCGACGGCCGTAGATATGGAGCGTGTAACTTGGCGGGTAAGTGACACCTCTTCCTGCTGTCTCCTCCCACCTCTCGCCCTTCATCTCCTCCTTTTTTCAGTTTAGCTGTGTCCTGACGCTGTTGGCGCTGTGGTCGGCTTCCGCCCGACCTCCCCCCGCCCACCACCCGGGACCGTGGGTGGGTCGGGAGGTGATGTTCGGGTCTAGCATCGATCACGGAGTGTGGACGGTGGGTCGTCCTCCCCTTCCTCTACCTCCCGAGCTCGTTCCTCGTCCGCACTTCCCCTACAGCTTCGGCTTCTACAGGAAAATCGGATGACGTCGTTCCTCTCTCTTTCTTCGCAACGTCGTGTGACGTAATAAAGGCGCATCGTCGTATTTCTGGACTTTTTTCTTCATTATCCGAAATTATTTCGTAACGAATTTCTGCACGCGAGTAAGTGTACGAGGTTTAATAGTAACCAACGTGTCCCAAATAAACAAAAAGCTTTTGACTGGTCTCTTGACGTTTGTTAACGGAAGCTCTTGTGTTACGTACTGTACATTTCCGGTATGTTACGTAATAGCGTTTTTTCGCTCCTTAAATCGATGGTATCTCGGCCACTCGAAGGGTTCTCGGATATTGCGCTTAAACACACGCGGTGGCCGCCATTGTTTTCTATTGTCTCCAGTAAAAGCAGTCGAATAAATAGAATTTTGGCGCGTAAATTGTTTATTCGTGTCTGCATTCCATTAATTTTATCTCGGGTTCTCAAATTAACTCTTTGACGGGTAGATCGCGATCGACCGTCGTTTCCGATTAAGTCTCGATTTTCTGACTAGACGTAAAATAATAAAAAAGAAATAACCCCGGTCATCCGAAAAGTTCTTCGCGCGCGGGCGCCATTTTTTAGACTACCGTTCGAAAACTAAATTAACAATTTTAATTACAATACGATGTACCGTACAAAAAAAATCTGGTTAATTACATTAAAACAATAAGAACGTAACAAGTAACAAACATTTATAAAATTTACCGCTTAATTTAATAATTATTCTAGAAATACAACTGTATCGCGAGGTGCCACCAGCGGTTTAAAATATACCGATATTTAAAATAGAGTTAATGTATCGGGTTGCCGACAGCTGGCGCCGGAGTCGCTTTGCGGCGAGAAGAGGTGGGTTTATCCATTCGATTAGTAGGTAGTTCTACCATTTTCAATCATTTTTATAATTTTTTTCCACGAGAAAAAGAAACGACAGCGTGCCGAATAAGTGTTTGTGACCGGTTGTAAGTCTGGCTACCTGCAAATCTAATTTTTACACCACTTCCGTAAGTGAAAAGAATTACGACTCGCAAGAAAATCGCGAGTACCTCGTACGTAACTCGCATTTTGATCGATTAAAAATTATGTACGTATAATTGAGGGTAGACTTGAGATATTTGTAGGGCTCTAGTCTACTCATTTCGGGCCACTTTAAAACGATATTTAAACGAAATTCGGACGGGTTTTAGCGCGTTGGTGCCATCTGTCGACCGGTAATTGAATTATTTTCTTCACGCGTGTCGATGATTGTCTTCCCGGACAAAAACGAGGTGACGTAATACTTTTGGGGAAAATCCCCGCGTGGCTCGAAAAACTTGGGAGCCGTAACGATTCCTACACCTATAAACAAGAAATTAAATTTTCGTGACTGCGTTTTTTTTAATAGAGAAGCATTTTACGTATTTAATTCGTTAAAAAATGGCCTCGCGATTCACCTACAAAAAAGTGGATAACCGAGTAAGGCCGTTACGTCACCTTAGGTATAAAAGAAGTGACACAAACGGGTTGGGGTTTAGTGCCGCCGAAGAAGTCGTCGGATAAAAATGTAATTAATTACGAAGAATTTTCTGGTAACAAAAGGATTTCTACACCCGTAAATCTTCGTATAAAATCGTTTTGGGGTTGCCGTAAGTCCAGAATTCGCTTTGGTAAACGAGAAAGCGCGAGATTTTTTTTGAACTTCGGAACGATATAAAAAAGAAAGCCGACAACGTTGATGCCGGACTTTTCCGGCATTGTTTGTTTTCGTCCGTAATAATTGCTACCATTATCTTCGAGTCTTCGGATGAACAAATCTGGGAGATGTTAAGGGAATGAGGTTATATCTCCGGAACCAACCATCCGATTTTTATAAAAATTTCTAGAAACATTCTCCTCTAATTCACAAACCTTGGTATAAATTTTCAGAAATTTTCGACTAAAGGCGCGGGAGTTATTAAGCTTAAAAATGGGTGAAGAAAATAGTGCCTCACACACTAACATCCAAACATACCGAAAAAAACACGCAAATTTCTTTGCATTTCAAGGTCCTCCGAATCCAAAAAGGTAAAAGTCTCGAGGGGGTAATTTTTTGTCCGATTGCCATACTTTTCCTCTGTTACATAACAGCCGGGAAAGTAAAAGAGAATCGCAAATCCTCAGTTCTTTACAAAATCCTCAGAGAATTGTTTCCCATTGACTTCATTATAATTAAGATAATGCGACAATGCGGACGTGATAAAGGGATATTGCGTTAGAAATCTATTTTCTTTTCGCGTAGTCGCTCTCGTATTCGCATTCTGTATAGAATTTGCCGTGTTTCGTCGGTGACGTCATTTTTATCCTTTGCCAATTCGCGAGAGGTGTCTTCGTGGCCGTAAGATAAAATAACTAAAGGATGACGTATCGTCACGTCATTTAAATTGAACGTGTCAAAATTAGAACCCTCGCAAACGAGATTCTACGGCATTTTTATTACTTTTTTCGTATATAAAATGCGAAAGGGACCGTGTAAAACGTGAAGATTTAGTATTTTCGGGTTGGAAACCGGCTCGTGCGACGAGCGCAAACGTCTTCCGGAAACGTAAACTTCCCGGAAGTGGCACTAATATCGAGGGGTACGCTACTTTTCCCATAGGAAATGTGGCGATATTTGAAAGACATCGTTTAGGGGTTTGAATCTAGAACCGAGTATAATATCCACCTTTTAATTTAAGGGTCGTCCGGTTATTAAATTCGAAGGTTTTAGTAAAATTCCGGCTTTCGATGGAGTGACCTCGAATTCTCTGGCCGACACGCCTTATCTACTCTTCGCGAACGTATGCCCGACACACGTCACAAAGAACAGGTGGATTCCGAGTCGCTTCGTTTATATTACGACACAGAAAAAATCATTTTTGCTTTGGGTAAATAATAAAAGGCATCGATCGTTTCTGTATTATTTCTCCATCGGGGTCATTCTAAATAGGAAAAATGGATGCTTCCAGCCGCTTAAAGCACCGGTGGGGGATGCAATTAACGTACGGCGTAAAATAAATATTCAGTGATACAATGTAACCTTAAAGCAACCGTCGAAAAGGAGGATAATAGCGAGGTGTGGCCGGGAAATTACACGTTCGAGGACGATTAATTCTCTATCTCCTCGTTTAATAAAGGAAAGAAAATCTTAAAAATTCCCTTCGCCTCTTTAACAATTGTCGATTTATTCGATTCCCGACGACTCCAAAGATTTCTGAAACTCGGAGACCAGAGATACAAGTCGACCCCCTATAATACTGCTGATTATTCCGTTTTATATGAATTTCATGTTGTACGAGTCACTTATATTTTACAAATATGTGTGCCGGGCTGTGAACGGCTCACGTATTTGTAAAATCTAAGTGACTCGTACAACATGGAATTCATATAAAACGGAATAATCAGCAGTATTATAGGGGGGTCGACTGTATTCTTATATTTAAATTTAAAACACGCCATCCAACTGGTGAATCGCGAACCCCATTATCTGGTAATTAGCCCGATCTCCGAAGAGCGGGTTGGGAAGCTCGAAACTACGGTGTGTAAAACGTATATTAAAATGAGAATCTTCCAAATGATCTTGGAATTTTGATTAGTATCGAGTCGACTTCTTTTTTTTTTTAAATAATTGCGGTAGATGTAAATTTAGACGGAAATATATTAAAATATTGCGAAACTTAAACTGGCAAATTCCCAAAAAATTGAACAAGAGGGGAATTAAATAAATAAAGAATAAACGAAGGAATATTCAAACCACAACCGATATTAAAAAGTATTAATTAATTGATAAAAACACGGGAGCATTTGTTAATAAACACCGGAATACATAACTTATCTAGTGTTTAATTAAGTAATAATTCTTTACGCTTCTGGTCTTCCGGACGATTTATTTTAGGATTTTAGGGTATTATTTCAATAATTTTTGGCCCCAAACGAGCTTTCTGTTAATTAATAAATTAATTTTTTAAAAGAAAATTCCCTAAAACTTGTAGGGAAAACATTTATTGTCAGTAATTATCGAATGGCACTTTGTTTCTCTTTTCTTTAATAATTAAATTAAGGGAGGGAGTTGTATTTTTGATCTTTAAGTACGTTTATTAAACCAGCGAAATGTTTTGCGCGAAAGAGAAAGAAACAAAAAACAAAAGGCCCACGCCGACTCGTTTTCTATTATATTCCGAAGAAGGGGGAAAGTATCGAAGATCGCCTTATTTTTGACGGCCGACGTAACAATGGGCAATCGGGCCACACCCAGTAGACCTTCGCCACCGAACGCTCCTTCCCGAAATTCTGGTGGCGTGCCAGGCGGGGATGAGGCGGGAAGGACATCTTCGGTGGATCCTCCTCCTCCTCCCTTCCTATATAAACTGCGGGGATCGAACCTTCGTCAATCAGCTCGAAATCTCCCGAGTACCAACAACTCCACTTCGTCAAACATGCAGACTTTGGTGAGTATCCCGCTTCCCTCCTTTCTCTCTTCCTTTCTCCTAATTAATTTTTAACCTTCTCGTTTTTTGCAGATCTTCGTCTTGTTGTTGGCCCTTCTGGCCGTCACCTTAGCCGTGCCTTACTACGGCTACGGCTACTACGGTAACTACTACAGTGGCTATCCCTACGGTGGCTACTACGGTTCTGCCTACTACGGCAACCCCTACTACTCTGGCTTGCTGTGGAAGTAAATTTCGAGTCCTTTGATTCCTCCGACCGGTGGGTGCCTCCGTCCTTCTTCTCCCTTCGCTCCCAATTACATTTTCAATAATATTTCTCTCCCTTCCGTTTCAGGCGAAAGAAGATGAACTCGGATCCCGCAGTCCACTTTCCTCTTCGACGTAACACTCCGATTCTTCTGTAAATTCTTCTCTTTATTTCAATAAATACTTTTTCCGTATTGAAAACACTCGCCTTTCTTTTTTCTCGAAACGGTCGCCAGTCGTGTTTCGGGCGTTACACGCGTAAATTCTCGTGCGGATGCGGTGGAAAATGGCGTAAACTGTGAGGCCGAAAGCTCGAAAATTATATTGGAACGTATTGTCGCTTTATACCAGACTTTCCTACATTCGCTACGCAGTACAGTCGATTTTAATTACAATTATTTCGGTTATTTCCGTTCAAAAATCGAAAAAATCACGACGGCAATTCATTTTCTCTTCTAACTTTCGGCCAGCCAGCACCCGGTTAAAACGACGTCACAGATTCTACGTCATAATTAAATACGTCTGTATTTTTTTCGACCGTCGACGACGCGATTACTCTACTCGCAACTGGAAGGGACGGGAGGAAAAAGTGGATTAAAGGTGGGAAGAAAGGTTAAAAGTAAAAAAATAAAGTTTACGAAAGAGAAAACGAAGTGGAAGAGGAGAGAGAAGAGGAAAAACGGGTCGCGCCCACCCGAATCTTCTCTCGGGGCGTGCCGGTCCCGCCAAGGTCTACCTCTTTCCGATATTCTTTCGTGACGGAGGATAAATGGAAAATATTGTAGTTCTATTCCGGTTTTCCTTTACGGAAATGGTCCGAAACACCTTCCTTAAATAATTTTATTCTTGGACGAACTTCGATACTTTGTCGAAAGTCGCCATCTTGTTTTAAACGGAGGAATTTTCCAGTGTCGTTTCCAACCGAAACACGACGTTCCGAAGCATTATTGTAAGAATATTTATAATTTTTCATTTCGTTCTCTTATAATAAAATGAAAACAATAAAAATAAATCTATTTTTCGAAACTTAATTCAAAATGGCGATCCCGTCCAATGAAATACAATTATTTCCTTTGATTTTTTATACATAAGCCTTAGTTGTTGTCAATAGTAAACTTTAGAATTAATTACTGTCAACCCCCCTATAACACAGTTGATTTTTCCGTTTTATATGAATTCCATGTTGTACGAGTCACTTAGATTTTACAAATACGCGAGCCGTTCACAGCCAGGCACACGTATTTGTAAAATCTAAGTGACTCGTACAACATGGAATTCATATAAAACGGAAAAATCAACAGTGTTATAGGGGGGTCGACTGTATATTAAATTGTTTATTAAATAAATAATTATAAACTGCAAAATAAATCCATCTAAAATAATTACCGGGACCATTTCGTATCACGTGGTCCGAATCTTTAATCGAATCCTTCCGTTACGTATCAAATAGTTGACGGACGAGTTGTCCGTGGCACGCGGGACTTCTGACGTAATAATAATACGTCTGTGTTAATTAACATTTATTTTGACAAATTAACGAATGTTTTATAATCAAATTTCTAAGAAATTTGAAAGTGCGCAGCCGGGTTCTCGGTCCGAGGCCCGAAAAACCGACGTCCCAGCCGGTCCCGCTCACAAACCGAACTAAAGAAAGGTTTATGTCACGAATTTATATGTTTCTAGTTCGGAATTAACGTCGGAATCACTAATATAAACTACAGTATTAATTGATTCCAAACAGGTGTCGGCGTTACGCGGGTGGGTGTAAAGGTCCACCAGTGGCCGAGTGGATTCCGTCTCCGCTCGTAACGGCGGTGAACGGATCCTAAACACTGGGAGTTCGGTTGTGTGTTCGATCGGACAGGCTGGCAGCTTGGAGTTTTCTGGGTTTTCTTCTTGCGGATGACGCCTAAATAGGGGCCAGCCGCCCATATCTATCCCCCTTCGTGTATCTTCCGGCCGTCTTCTATAAGGCCAGCTCTTCCCTATCTCCTGTTCTTCTTCCCTTCGGAGTAAAAGCGAATAGCAATACACTCCTTTATATCCGGGAAAGGAAAGGTGTGCGTAAAGCCGTTCGAAAGATGCTGCCAGATTAAAAAATTTAACAACTAATTTAAAAAATCTGTTAAAAAGCAATAACAGAATGTGTTTCTGTTATATTTTGGAAGTTTGTAGGGGCCAGATGCGGTAGAGAAGGTATTAGAGAGCGCTCAGCCATCGACTGGTTGGGCGATCTTGTAATATTTAGCCTAATAATAAAGGGTGCCGCAACCTGCGAGGGATTGTTTCGGTGTGGCCCGAGTCCGAGAAGATTACGAACGGCTGTCTTATTCGCGCGATAAACGAGAATTTAGGCCATCTCGTAACAAATTTTTATATTGAAATTTTGAATTCCCGTTATTGTTTCGCCATATTTCTGGTGTTAATACGTACGAAAATATCAAATTTACTCTCACGTCCGTCGATTCTTTTGTAAGAAATACGAATTTTATGCTTTCACCGGCGCAGATTTTAAGAAAATAATTTCGGAATCTCGCCCACCTGAAAATGATTTGGGATTAAATTTCGATTTAGAGTGGGTTGCGGTTGCGAGAATTTCTCGCCCGTCCGTTCTTACCACCGCCAGAAAAAGGGCGGAGTCGACAGAAGCTCGAGCCGGGATCTTCCCCTACCGGATAATCGAGTTTTCGGCTGGTTCATCGAAAGTATCCGGCCCCGTTTCGAGGTCGAGACGTCGCGTGCCTAGCGTATTCCGGCCCGGACGGAGAGAGACCTTAGCCCTGCCCTTTGTCCGTTCGTGAGCCGAATAATAACACCGCTTCCGCTTCCGACTCTTCCACTATATAAAAAGAGCGGACGGCTGGGACCGACCATCGATCCGACAAATCGTTCAACATGAAACTGCTGGTAAGTGCTTCTCTATTATCCCTTAGCTGCCGTTCGTCGTCGCCATTCTAAAGTCTCTTTCCTTGTGTAGTTCTTCTTCGCTTTCTTAGTCCTGTTGGCAGTCGCCTCGGCCGTCTTGCCATACTACGGCTACGGTTATCTGCCCGTGGCTCGTTACACCTACTCCTCCTATTACGGACACCCATACGCCTACGGATACTACGGTTTCCTGCGATAGAGGTAAGTCCTCCTCTTCTCTAATTGCCGTTCCTCCACTCCCGTCTCTCATCCGTAATCTTTGTCTTCTTCCAGGATTACCCACGCCTTCGTCTCGACGCAAAATACCCATCTCGGGATGCCATCTTCGCTCTTCTGTGACTCTCGTGTAGTCTCTTCTTTCTTTATAAATAAATTTTAGCATTTTTCTTTAAAAATACTTCGTGTTTTCTCGTAACGTTAACTTTAAACGGTTTCTTTAAGGCCCGGCCACCGGCTTACGCGGTAGTTTAATGGCGATGTTCGGTTGTCGCGTTTATATTCCTAATTAAACGACACGAGAAAATGCCCTTATAAGCGAATAAAAACCAGATTATTTAATATATAAAGCGAAACAAAAGTATTAAATCGTTAACAAAGCGCGGTATTTTCTCGAAATTGACGGTAACAAGATGGAGAATCTTCTCGAAAATAGTTAGTAATACTCATTTTAGAGCAAGGGTGTCCAACCTTTTTGTTTCTCTGGGCCGCATTGGAAGAAGTCGAGGAGTTTTGGGCCACAAGTATATATAATATATAGGCCTACTTGTGGCCCAATATACAAGTATATTTAACGTTTCTCACTACTACATCTTTTGTCCTTTCTCATCTTTTTCTCCTTTTCCCAAATTTGGGTCTATAATCCTTCGAGTCACAACTCCAGTTTTATTTAGTAAACTTTCCTCATTCACGCATCTCCAAGTATTTAAAAATATTTTCTTTCCACTCAAAAATAAAATACGAATAAAGGTTTACGGCTTTGTGAAACTTTTTTTTGAGTTTATGCCGTTGAAATAAATAAATAATAATAAAAATTAAAACACTTGTCGGTTTGTTTACACGTTTATTGGGCCGCATTGGAACTTGCCTCGGGCCGCGGCGTTGAACACCCCTGTGTATTTCTTACGGCTTTTGATGGAAAGGCAGGTTGGGCGGAAGACGATGCATTAAAACTCGATTTAGAGCTATTATTAAAGTTTTCGATTTTCTCGCCCGGTTCAAAATGGCCAACGCCGATGACAAAAAAAAACCTTTTGTTAATTTAATTTATGAAAGAAAGAACGATCGGAAGCGAGTCGAGGCGGTTAACTCTAGCAAAGTATTTTTATATTTTACTAGCTGCAAGGACCCGCTTCGCTGGGCAAAAAGTAACGATAGTGAAGATTAAGATAATTACATTATAACTAATCTTACCCGTTTTCACAGAATGCAAGAATTAGGTCCCCGTTTCCAGACTAATTAGAGAATTTTTACGTTTAGTCATACGAACTATTTTCAACGTTTCTGGAACGTTTACAATCGTTCTCTAATCGAACCAATATTCGAATTTAATTCGAACAAATTCGAACAAAACATTCGAAATAGAAAGCCACTTTCAACCACTTTCAGCCTCATATCTCCCGCACCCTTATAGCTATCGAGACGCAGCCACCCCTATGCACGAATGGAGACTCGGGGCTACCACCACATAAAAACACCATTCACGTGCGATGTGTAGTTTTGGCGGAAAAGTGAAATATAGGGACATACACGTCCATTTTTATAGGCCTATATATAGATATAGATATAGATATAGATATAGATTTTCAAAAAAAAAAAAAAAAAATAACAGGCCGGGTAGGCCTTTTACAAACATCTTAGAACAAGTCTAACAAAACAAAACAAAAAGAGTTAGTAAAAACAATTAAACGGGACTCGAACTGAGAAGAAAAAGAGAAAATTTACACTTCTTTTCGAACCGTTTAGATCGATTGATAACAATAATCGCTGTAACTTACAATTTTTTCCCTTTTTTTACGATGCTTTTGAAGATTTCGTAAGGTACGGTAAAATTCAGACACCGATTCCGTAACATTTAGATGTAGCGATTTTGTGCCACCCGAAGTACGTCGATGGCGTATAAAGATGCGGTTGCCCACATTATAATACTATATATTTTCCACGTAACTGTTTAATGTTTTTAAGATGTTGTTTAAATTCTCTGGAAGAGTTGTAATATTGGCGTGAGAATAAGTTATGGCTATATCGTCGGCATACGTAAGTATATTATCTTTTGATATACGATTAAACGGATCATTGATGTACAGTACGTTTGAAAAGCGGAGGACCTAGAACTGAACCTCGGGGAATACCTTTGTTTGGCTTAAAGAAACTAGAGATAGTCTGCCCAATTTTCACGTAGTAAGTTCTATTTTGTTTTTTTTTTTTTCGTATTCTTTGTTTAAAAGATATTTATCTGTAAAAACAAGTAAGATAGTATATAAATAATCAGCTAATTGGTCATTATTTATTATACTTTTATCTTATTTTACGCTATTATTTTGATACGTCCTTAATTGTTTGGTTTGTCTTTCTCGGAAACATTTTCTATATAGGTCTATACGTAGGCTATATACTTCTTCTCCATACCTGCGAGCGATGCGAGAAATTTCCATGGAAAAGATCAAATTTCCGACATTTAAATCTAGAAAATTTGGGAACGTATCGAGAAAATAACGGAAGCGTTTCTATTCCGATATAATTAAAATTTGTGGGCCGAAAACTTTCTTTCTTCATTTTCTTTCGGTCTCTTCTCCGTATTCGTTGCATCTGGCCTTACGCTTCTAAGTTTGTTTCCTGGCGTTTACGTAATCTTACACGCGACAATTCTAATCTATATCTATACTAATATTATAAAGAAATAATGTTTGTAAGTATGTATGTATGTAAGTTTGTTTGCAGCGGGTAATCTCCGAAACTACTCGTCCGATTTCAAAAATTCTTTCACTAATATTTAGAATGGAACCTCGGGGTGGACATGGGCTGTATATTATTCCGTTAAACATTCGTATAAATTAAAAGATATAATCTAGATTAAGGCTTTTATGTCCAACAGATAGCGCTACGAGTACGACGCCCTAAGTTTACAATTTTTCACATTTACTCGATTATTACGCCATAATTTTAACATCGTTTTCATCTCGGCGATAATACCGTGACGTTTACGAATGATGCTCGAATGTAAAGATTGAGCATTTTCACAGCTTCGAGAATTTTTTCTTTGCCTTTTATAATTGTTCTGACCGACAATTCCGGTAGATCAAGCTTCTTTGCCAATTTACAAATTTTTATTTTTGTATCCAAGTCTTTAATAATGGGTACGTTTGTAAAGTCAAACGAGTTAAACGCGTTAGTAACGAATCGTTCGAAAAGTCTAACGAAATAAGAATAACGATGACGTCATTCTCGTTTAACTCGTTCGACTTTACGAACGTACCCGATGTTAACTTTACATTCCAAAGATAAAGTTTTTCTTTTCTTGTTTGATGCGGAAGAATTAGTTTTGGATGACGTAGTAGAGTCTCTCGAGTCTCCGTAGATATAACAAACACAGAAATAAATAACACAAAATAAATTGTAGCTATGTGTGGATTCCGCGCCACACCTCCGAACACGTAAGCCGAACAATAGTGTGGGGGGAGTGAGTAATCCAGAGTCGCGTGGCGCTCAAACAAAAGACGAATCGACGAGATTTGAAAATCGCGTAACTCCCGGTTCGCGTAAGTCGGGGTATTACTGTATACGTGTCGAAATTCAACCCCACTGAAGGGAGATGGTTAGGATTAAGGCTTACCGCAAAAAACTCTGCTTCTATTTATACTATTTTAGATGCGGGTTTTTGCGTTTTTGATTGCGTTTTAATAGGGTACGTCGAGAGAATGTACGCTAAAAAGAAGTTTTTCGAAAAATCCCCCCCCTCACGGGGGGAAGTGTTATAAATTTATAATAGATACATTTTGAGCCACAACAACGCGTGGCGGGGGTCTGCTAGTTTGCATATAATTTTCCTCGCGTTACAGGCGAGATTTCCGTCGGGCAAACCGAAATTTTGTTTGATTGTATAAAAAACCCTTTTAACCTATTCGTTTAGAATACATTTAAACAGAAAATTTAATAAGAGATCGGATAATTCGTCGGCGTCGTAAAGAAGCGCTTTATCCGGAAACGAAAACAGTTCGCCGGAAGCGATTTTGCCGCACGCGCCACTTCCGGTCGATTCGAAAATTTCCATCGGTTGGGAAAAGGAGTTCTCGGACCCTACGCTAGCATCTCTTCCCGTTGTCCGCGTTACGTGCTAATTACAATTTTCTTCCAGTTTAAGCGTTTATTTATCACTCCTCGCCGTAAATTACGCACCTCGCGTCGTTCTTATGAATTTTTCGACGCGCCGATTAAGAAACTATTTCTTTTCCGGTCGGTCCCCTGTGACGTCGATGCTCGTTTCGCGTCGTCTTTCGCTGGACGTACCCAAATGGGGGGTGCGCAAATCGCCGCGTTCTGTGTAAAGGCGCGAATCCCTTCGTTAATTCCCGTAACATACGAGGTTCGACCGCTGGGGTTGTGTTTTTTTCCCGGGCCCTCACGGTCCGGTGAACAAAAGCGTTTGTGCAGTCGGAGCCACGCACCGAACTCGAATCACCCTCCGGTCTCCGGTCCGTAAGGTACGACCTTCACGGACCGTTCGGTTCGTCGAACGGACCCCTCGGCCGAAATGACGTTTTTCGGGAGTGCGTCAGCGTTTAACGAGCCCGCAAAGGTCACCGAAATAGTATAAATGACCGCTGCCCTTTCTGGTCGGCATCAGTCGCACTCGCTTACTAACTCCTCGACATGAAGACTTTCGTAAGTGATCCCGCATTGGCCGTCGCCCGCCTTCTGTCCAGCCACCGGGATTTATATCCTTTCTCTTTTCAGGTTACCCTCTGCGTTTTGTTGGCCGCCTGCACCCTGGCTCTGGCCGGATTTCACGGTCATCACGTGGGAGTGGCCGTTAAGGGTCACGACGCCGGCGTTACCCACTTCTTCGACAACCAGAAAGCGCACCACGGTTTCGGATACGGAGGATTCGGAGGTTACGGCGGTTACGGCGGTTACGGAGGATACGGAGGTTACGGAGGATACGGAGGATACGGAGGATTAGGAGGATACGGAGGTTATGGTGGATTCGGAGGTTACGGAGGTTATCCAGGCTTCGGTTTCGGTCACGGATTCGGTTACGGAAAAGGATTCTTCCACTAAGAAGTGAGAAGTAAGTAGACTGGTGATTGGCTAGTGTGTAAGAGAGAGTGTCGGAAGCTAAAAAGGGAGCGTTTTCTTTCAGAACCTCCGCCGGAAGCGTCGAAATCCCCGAGGATGATCGACCCAGACGCAAGTTCCTTGGATATTAAACTGTATATTTTCTTGTATTAATAAATATTTTTTTTATTAAACTGACACACTTTTTTTTCAAGATGGCGCCGGTCGTTTTCGCTTATCTACGAACGTCCGTCGACCTTCGAATTATGTTTTAATATCGCACTAGTTGCGGCTCGGTGAGTGTCTCGTAAACCGTTTTTATCGTTCCTTACTTCGACATAACGTAAAAATTGGCAATTAGTCTAGATTTTCGGTAGATACGGGAAGAGGAAATACTTCCGTCTTCGTACAGTATTAAGTTTTCTCCAGTCGTACTTCTCCTTACAGATTTTATTTGCTTACGTAATCTTTGGTGTTTTGCCGAAATCCTAATAGAAACGTTATTGTGATTGGTTAGACCGCCGGAGAAATTACCCGTTAATAGAAATTACGGGGGTATAGTCTCTATAAACGTAGTGTACTCTGGAGCTTCTAACAATACTCTTCGAACACCGTCTGAATTAGAGGGCGAGGCTTTAAATTCGACTAACGGTATGTGATTTGACGGTGTTAACGAGAAAATAATAGTTCACCGCCGAAACTTTATAATTGTAACAATCTCTACCCCCCTCAACGGAGAAGTTTTCTAATCCGCCCGTCTCTTTGCGGGAGACGAAGGTGGTAGAAAACTAAGTTAGAGCGGTTTCGGTAAGGGATTTCTCTACTTAATTAACAATTTATTGAGCGAAGACCGAGAACAACGCGAAATATCTTTTCTTTCTCCGATTTAGCGCTAGCGATTCGATCTCGAAAGACTTTAATTAACGACAGAGACGAAGATAATTGCTTGTTTAAGAGTTTATTGGAAAGAAGTATATGTACAGCAGTGGAGAGGTCCCAGCTTCTCGCACTCGTTTAAAGCTTCGGATTCGTCTCGTCTTTCTGAAAAATTATCAAAAATAAACGTCACACCTCCGTCTCCCACGTACCGGGTTTTCCAGCGTAAAATGGAAACTACTCACCTCGCTTAGTGGAATTTTCCAAAACCGTGTCCGTATCCGAGACCAAGACCGTAGCCTCCGTATCCCAGACCCAATCCGTATCCCAATCCGTAGGCTCCGTGTCCGAGTCCGTAGGCTCCGTATCCCAATCCGTAGGCTCCGTATCCTCCGTATCCGAGTCCGTAGGCGCCGTAGGCACCGTAGGCTCCGAGTCCTCCGTAAGGTGCGGCTCTCTGGTTGTCCAGACTAACGGTGACGGCGGCGTCTCTGCCTCCGAATCCCAGGCCGTAGCCTCCCAAATATCCGGCCATGCCGACGGCGCACAGAGTGGCCAAGACCAAGAGGGACAACTGAAAATACGGGAGAAGTTAGACATCGGCGGGCCGAGTGGCGAGTCCAGGGTCTGCGGGAACCTCCGTACTTACCAGAGTGTTCATGATGTCATGTAGTTTTTGGTGGGCGACGAGTCGAACGTGCCGATCGGACGGCGGGGTCCTTCTTAAATAGTCAAATCGTCGGGTGTAGACCCGTCGACCTCGAGTCGGTAATTCACCTCAAGGTCGCCTTTCGACGGTAGATCTCGCCGGAAATTGGGTTAAGGTGAACTATGATCTGGTGAACGCCCCTCCCGTGTCGGTCACCGTCGATCGCTCCCCTCCGCCCCTCCGTTGCTATTTTCGTGTACGCCGAATTCTGACTTTCCTGTAAAATATTCCGCTTATATTTCCGTCGAACGCCAAACACTAACAGGAATCGCGCCGTAAACTCATTTATTAACTACATTTCATTAGTCGACCATCTAAATACTGTTTGGCACTAAATACTCGGTGCTACGTCGGTCGTCGTCTCTCCTTTTCGCTCGAAATCCGCGCCATTTTTCTTTCGTTTACGCTAATTACTTCGCGAGCGGCCACCAAACACTGGGATGGTGTTGCTAAGATAAGACGGAAATGCCGCAAAGTTCTCGTTTTATGGGCTAAAGCTGAAACTTTACATTTAGTAAGAAAAGCGCGATCGCTTTTTAATGTACTTTAGTTCCCTTATATAAATAGGTCTATATATGTGTGTGTGTGTATAATAAGTGTGTTAGTATAATAATTAATGGGGTGGCTATTTTACGCCAGGTGTTCGCGTATGGCACTACTGTAATACAGTCGATCCCCCTATAACACTGTTGATTATTCCGTGCTATATGAATTCCGTGCTGTACGAGTCACTTACATTTTACAAATACGTGAGCCGTTTACAGCCCGGCACACGTATTTATAAAATTTAAGTGACTCGTACAACATGGAATTCATATAAAACGGAATAATCAACAGTGTTATAGGGGGTCGACTGTATTTTATTACGATTAATCGATAGAGCTTCGTAATTAACATTACAGTATATTCTTGACAAACTTTCCTAGCGCTGGAACGGGACGAGGAGCATTAAGAAGTCCGATAATTTTATTAAATTACATTTAAAAAACACCATTGTGTGCGGCGCCATTTGTTACGAGACGTTATTAAAAATAAAATTATTATAAACGGGCCAAAATAGGCTTTATTTTGAGAGTAAAAACGAGTTTATAAAAGTAACGTAAATGCTAATTTTCGTTAAGTCTTACTCCTCTCGACATACGACACGTCACCTCCCGTGTTTCGTACTCTAAAATTTAATAGCGTCGATGCCCCTTGCCGTGCCAAATTTCGTTTCTTAATCTTTACCCCATTGTGAGATATTAAACGAAATAAACACAAACACACATTCGTACACACGTATCCAAGGCATTTTGTATCTTTTTTAACTTTTATTTTGATTCGGGGAGTCTCGAAACGTCCATATTTGCAAAAGCCCGGAGGTCAAATTTGACATAATTACGATACTTTTCGCGTTATAACAGCCGGGAAACGAAATGTCACCGTTAGACAAACGAAGCGTGACTTTAGAGGGTAACAACGGGTTAATGAAAATAAACGAAATGGAATTCTTCCAGGAAAAAAAGACAAATTCGACCTCCCTCGAGCTTATTGTTTTTATCGTTAACACCGAGGTCGGTCTTTCGACCGGTTCGCCCGTCGACGGACGATCGATCACCCGTTAATTAATTATTAATTAACGTGGATCGATGGCCGAGGATTGATTTAAACAATCGCAATTAAAATGTATTTTTCACGCTTCCGCTTCCGTTTCGAAGAACAAACATTTCGAGACTATTTTCAACGTTAAAACCCTTTATTTCTCTATTTTTACAACGTCCGAAGCTGGAACGTCGGAGCACCGGCGGAATCTTCCTCCCTTTCCTCGATCTGTACGAATACAATAGAGATACTGAGCGCAAAATTGTATTATTCCGTGATAACGGGAATTTCTTTTACCTTTTATTTGTAATATCCGTATTGATTGACGTATCCAGAACCGTACGAGTAGGGTCCGTACAAGAAGTCGTAGGGATTGTAACCGTAGTAACCGTAGTAACCGTAGTAAGGGTAGTAGTAACTGCGATCGTGATGGCCGTAATGGTCGTATCCGTAGTGATGATAGTCGTGACGGTCTTGATAGTAAGTGACTGACGAATCGTCGTAAGGATAATAGAAACTGCAGCTGGCCAGGGCGAACAGGGACAGCAATATCAACCACTAAAAATCAAAGGATTAGTAGATACGATAGGAAAACCTCCGAATTTCCGACTAGCTTCTTACCTTAGTTCCTTCCATGTTTTCGATCTCCGGATACGGCCACCGAGTCCCTTCCTCCCTATTTATAGGGTGCTCGGGTCGGGTGCCACGCGAATAAGTTTTGGTTCGTCGCCGGACCGAATCGTAAAAAGGACAAATTCGTAAACGTTGTTATTGTCGGAGGGAGACGTTACGCAATTCCGGCGTTAATCGACCTTGCGTAACCCCGGTTACGTAAACGACCGTCGAAGGTTAAGGAGGATCGAATTCGCGCTTTGCTCTATTCCGATTCTCGTAGAAGTGGAAAATCGTCTATCGCGGAAAAATCCAAAGAAGGAGTCTTCGATTTATACACCGTAACGAATTACCCCCTCCAAATCGTAACGCGTTACGCCGCATTGGCTTAATCGTCCGTGCGCTTTACGACACATTACGTGGCGAACAGACACGCGGACGGGAAAACAAACAGCTCGTCTTTATTTATAAACTCCAGAGCAAAGTATTATATTTTGTATAGGATATACAACGTATTCGAGGGGTATTTTTCCTATTTTTTTCCAGGGTTTAACCTCGAAATTATCAAATCCCGGGAACAATAGAAACGACTAAAGTTTCGAGTTTGTCGAAACAATCGCTTTCGGTTCCGACTATTATTTCGTCAACAATACTCGAGTGTCGTTTCCAATGGACTATTGTTATTTCGGTAAGCGACTCGGGGGTCCCTTCGAGGTCGGACCTGCCCAAATATCCGCTTTATATTTACACTTTTCGCTCCTTCGTCGACACTCGAAGAGACATTACGGGCGCCAGACTCGATCCTATTCCAAGGACGAAAAATGTCCTTTAGGTCCCGCCGGTCGTCTATCCGTAATTCAATTCTCATTCTTCTAAATTTATTAAACGTGACGGCACCCCGTAGAGGCGAAATTCGTGACGAAGGGTCGTTCGTTGGCCTACTTAATTCCATTCCGGAATCTCGAGGAAGTGGAGAGAAAGTGTTGTTTTTGAAACGTTCCTAACCGTGGACAGTTACCTTTCGGATCGATTGCCCAATTAATTACCCGGAAAGGTCTATATTTATTAAGTAACGATAAGAATTACGGCCCGTAACGGACCCCGTAGTCACAGACATCCTTAAAAGCGGTTACGGTAAACGTGTGTTAGGCTATACGGTATGCTTTTTGTACCGTTTATTCGAAGTTATGTGCTTATTGTTAGAAAGTTGTGTATGTGACCTTTGTCTTTGTGATCGTCGCGCCCTCCCCTCTGCTATGTGTGGGATCTGTTGAGTTATGTTCGTCAAGGGAGTTGTACTCTGGTCCAGTATAGTTTAGTTTGGAATGTGTGCTGTGGTCTAACGGACATCGCTTTCTAGTTTTCTCTATTTCTTTGTGTTACCTTCGACATTACCCTTTATCATATCCAAACCCTGACACTTATAAATATCAAATTAACTATATTCTCGCAAACTCTGGCGAACTTTGTATCACTCTCGATAAATTTATTGTATATTTTAATTAACAGTAGCCAGGCGAAATAGAAGTTAATTTGTCGATAACACTGCTCTATTGTTCTACGCATATTACGGCGAAAGTAAAAGTCAAACACCCCTTTTCTCGACTCCCCGTAAAACGTGGAAAGACAGAAATAATCGATCGATTCGATTACTCGATCGATCGAGCAATTAATCGATCGTCTTTGACGTAAATAAAATAGGTGGGTTAGAATAACCTTGGAATGTTAATTACGTTAGAAGGCGTGACCTTCGAACTTTCCAACCGTGGGAACCGACTCGGTTTCGCGAAACGTATTCCGAAGAAAATATCACTCGAACGAATTTGTTTAAGGGAATTTGTTTTTATTTTAATAAGTGTTATATAATAATCTATATACACTCGTTTCTCTTCTTCTCGCTCACGCGTCAAGCGTCACGTCCCATCGTTCGTTCCGGGGGGGGGGGCGATTCTCGTCACTGAAAAAGTATAGAAAAAATCGTCAGTCACAATTCAAACAGTAACAAAGGAGATAGATAGAGAGAGCCGTACTCACAATTAGGGTATTTAGTGGAATTTTCCAAAACCGTGTCCGTATCCGAGACCAAGACCGTAGCCTCCGTATCCCAGACCCAATCCGTATCCCAATCCGTAGGCTCCGTGTCCGAGTCCGTAGGCTCCGTATCCCAATCCGTAGGCTCCGTATCCTCCGTATCCGAGTCCGTAGGCGCCGTAGGCACCGTAGGCTCCGAGTCCTCCGTAAGGTGCGGCTCTCTGGTTGTCCAGACTAACGGTGACGGCGGCGTCTCTGCCTCCGAATCCCAGGCCGTAGCCTCCCAAATATCCGGCCATGCCGACGGCGCACAGAGTGGCCAAGACCAAGAGGGACAACTGCAAATACGGGAGAAGTTAGACATCGGCGGGCCGAGTGGCGAGTCCAGGGTCTGCGGGAACCTCCGTACTTACCAGAGTGTTCATGGTGTTATCGTCGATTGTCGAAAAGGAACCGATATTGTTCCCCCGTCGGTCGGAGGCTTTTATAGGGGAGTCGACCTCCGATTCTCATATTGTACCGAAGGTCGACCGGACCGGATATTTCGGAACGGCGATCGGACCGATCTAGGTCAGCCCAAACCGCATTCCGCGCCGAACGGTATGAGGGTGAGGTCCTCCGCCCCTTCCATCTACGCGCCGACCTCGAACGCCTCCGGTTAGCGCTCTCTCTCCGTTCGACCTTCCGAATTTACTCGGCTTCCGCCCGCCATTTTTCTAAATATTCGAATTTCCCCTCGATCCCGTAGCGAGTATAATGCGCGCCCAATTGCGTTAATTACACGCTAAGCCAGTACTTCGTGACGCGCTCATTATACTAAAACGCACCCGCCACGCGCTCTCCAACCATTTAAGTGGTTATTCTTTATCGTCTATTACACTAACGACGATGTCGTTTGGGTTTAAAGCCTACCCCAATTTTATTTTATATTTTCTTTGTAAATAATTATTTATAAATATTCCGAATGCTTTCGGCTCCCTAAAAAAGTTAAAATATAATTGATGAGTTAACACGCGAATACGTTTAGTGTACGCTCGTATCCCACGGACGAGTGTCTTTTAATATTTTACGCCACTAACTAACGAGTCTGTGTGATTTACGGACGACTTTCGTGTTAATGATATGAACAATGGCGAGTGATTTGGTTCTTTTAATCTTCGCTCTCTTTTTTAGAGGATTTTAGTGGGAAGAGATTTTCCTCCGTCTACGTCTCCATCTCTGGAGGATCGAGTGGTAACGATTCGACGATGGAAGCCATTGATTTCTATTGGTCTAATCTTCCGCGACGTCATCGTTACGTTCCCGTTACGTTCGTCACCGTTGTAACCAACAATATTCTTTCTAACCCATAAAATTCTTTGTAACCAATTCTTTCCAATACACGTAACTGCCCGGACAAAGTGTTCGGATGGGCGAATTTAACAATAGTTTTCGAATTTGTTATATATTAATTATAGGAAATATATCCATAAAATTATACAGTTTTTGATAGAAACCCGTATTTTATTTGTATAACCTCCCGTTTCCACTTAAATGGCTGGCCAGCCACGAACTTCCTTACATCTACTTTCTAAATAACTTCTAGCTTCGTGTTAGAAGGCGAATGAATTAAAGCGAATTTCTCTTTTATTTAATTTAATCGAGTTTTTTAATAGTTTAACCTTTAATCCGAAAGATTTTGTATTTCTTCCACCTAAAAACATTTTCCGTTAAGCCCTGTACACGCGTACAGTACCTGTATACTTGGCGGGTATACCCGAACTCCCGCTCTTGTTCCGTGGATGACAAAACTGACTGTTCTGAAACACAAGGCCGCAAACAGTATCGGCAATAATAAGTTGGGATAATATTACACCACCAACGTGCGTGAAGGAGGCTTGCAAATTTGGCCCCAAGTACGTGCCTCGCCCTAAGCTTACGTATGACTGTTCTGTCATCCGCACGTCCCGATATACCGGACGGGTGTACTGTACAGTACTTGTTCGGGTATGTCTGTCGAGTGTACGGGTGCTGTACTCGTGTACCCGGCTTTAGTCTGGCAACACCGTAGGAAAGACAGCTATATGTTACCTCGCGACACACGAGGGTTACTTCTGTTCAAATTTTATTTTCGAATTTACGCATTGACTTTGTTTTTTTACAAATTACGCGGTTAATTAGAGTCGCGAGTCGGCTACGTGTCCGTTTAGTAGAGATATTGGTAAGAGGATCCAACGGTACACGCGGTTTAACAGTTTAGTGTAATTACTGAAAGAATAAAAATTCAAAGAAATCGCAATATATATCCTTTAGCTTTATTAATACGAACACTATGTACAGTACAGCGGGTTGACTGTTATCTCGTGGTTCTGAAAGATAAAAGAAAAGTCCATGAGTGCCTCTTCGGGTGGCTTCACCTTCTAACGAAAGATTCGATACTCACGTTAATGTAACTTGGCCACTCCCAGACCGAGATGACCCAAGCCCAAACCGTGAACGCCCAGTCCCAAGACTCCGTGTCCCAGGCCCAAACCGTGAACTCCCAAGCCTAAACCGTGAACGCCCAGGCCTAAACCGTGAACGCCCAGGCCTACGCCGTGGACTCCCAGGCCCAAGGCTCCGTGGCCCAGTCCTACTCCGTAAATTCCGTGTCCGACTCCCAATCCCAGTCCGTAGGGTCCGATCAGACCTCCGTAGGGGGCGGCTCGCTGGTTGTCCAGGCTGACGGTGACGGCGGCGTCTCTACCTCCCAGTCCCACTCCTCCCAATAATCCGGCGGTGCTCAGGGCGCACAGGGCGGCCACGATTAAGACGGAAAGCTGAAAAGGAAGAGGAACGGTCAGACCGACTAACGAACAAACACTTAACTTATCATAAAAGATGTGGAAAAGCTTTCTTTGCTCCACTCACCGTGAATTTCATGATGACTGTTCTGCCGACGAACGAATGATAGAGAGACCCGGGATCCTACTATTTTATACTCTTGCCATCGCCTTGAAATTTGTTTTGGTTACGGATGGAAGGTGCCTTACCAGTTTTCAAGGAATTCCTACCCCCTCCGATGCCAAAATTAGAGTTACTCCAAGAACATTAATCAAAAATTGACATCCCGAGAAGACGAGAAAGCGCAAAAGAGTCATCCGAACGAATGCCTTCTTTAAGTTGCACTCTTCGATAGCGAGTAAAGAAACCAAATTAAAGAACAATTAAACTGCCGTAAACATAAAGATTACGCGAGATTTCTTTTTTATCTTTTGATCTACGCGAGAGACAGACGGCGGGTGTGTCCGGCAGAGGCATTCCGTCTCCAACCAGAATCAATAATTAGAATTCGAAGGCTTTTCCGTGAGAATTATGCTAATTATTATTAAATTCCGCATCATTCGACATCTATTTGAAATTGCAGGGGTCGGGACGAGGATGGCCAATCGTTGTTACCATCTTCGCATTCTCACGCTTCTGCGGCTTCTTTTAAACAAACGTAACAATGTTATAAATTGTCAAAAAGAGGAATTTCATAAATTTTATTAAATATAATCGCTGATTTTTAGTATTTAGGAGGTACAAAGATTTACGAACACCGAAAACACAAAAAGATACTCGGATACGACGACCTTGAAGACATCTTCCGAGAGATTTCATTCAAAATTATACGCAAAATTGATCACAATTAAGCGAGGAAAAATGAGATAAATATAGTAAAAACCCGCATATAACATTTTTTTATAATTGTTACGTGAGAAAATGCGGCAATGTTCTTACCCCCGTTTATCGAATTCCGCAACGCGATGGTAACATTGCGTCAGCCAAACGAATCCAGTTTTTCGATCGCGTAACGGAGACTCGATATTGCGTCATCCCCTATATAAAGCCATCTTCGGCAAACGGGTGTCATCAGTTTCTATTTGGTAACACGTGTTGCGCGATGAGCCATTATTAATGGATTTATTTTCCGAATATTCCGATTCATTTTCGTGCCGAGAGGAATCCGTAGTGTGATTCGATCAGGATGGCATTCCGGAGATCGTCGACTCTTTTCCATCACCCCGATTTAATTTACGTGGATCTAATGTTAAATACGACGTTCGGTCCGACTATTGCGAGATTTCTCGCGCGTAGTGTAATATTGGACGATCCGCATCGAGTCTGACAACAAGGAGGATGCAAAAGAAGGAACAGAAGAGATAAATTCCTAGTTTTGCTCAGTAGGTCCGAAGCTGCTCCCGAGAAAAGTAAGTGGCAGCGCGATCATTTACTATGGAAATTTAGTATTATATTAAGTGCCGTGTTATTTAGTATATAAAACACTATAAAATACGAGGACTTTTATTTTTTCCGCGTAAACCTATGATGCGCGGGAGGCCTCTTTCGGTGGCGTTGTGGAGGGGACAGTCATTCACAACTTTGAATTTTTTCCCGCCTGCAGGAAGCATTAGTCGTTGCCAGTCGGCCTATGAGTGAGGACACGTAGCGAGCTCTCGTCGGATTCCACTAAGTTGGAAAATGACTGAACGACGTGAGCAGCGATATTACATCAAATTTTGCCAAAAACCTTGGCGATACCCGAGCGTAAACCATTCGCAAGATTCAGCAGGTTTTCGGGGACGATCTTCGAGGCCAAAAAAAGCGCGGCAGGTCCGCAGCAATATCAAGCTCGTGTTGACTGTTTTTTTTACTCTCGTGGGGTGGTGTATGGTGAGTACGCACCACGAGGCCAAACCATGGCAAAGGAGTAATACCAGGAGGTCCTTCGTCGTCTTTCCGATACAGTGCGACGCAAACGACCGGATGTGTGGTCGATCAAAACTTTCCAGCTCCGTCGTGATAACGCATCCGCCCATTCTGCGCATCTGATTGGGGCTTTCGTCGCCAAACACAACACTCCTGTGGTTCGTCACGCTCCGTACTGTCCCCACAGGGCTCCGTGTGACTTTTGGCTATTTCCCAAGCTAAAAATTCCGCTAAAAGAAACCCGATTTTAGTCGAGAGAAGATATCGTGCGGAATGCGACGGACCGGCTGATGGCCATTCCAAAAGATGCGTTCCAGCAGTGTGTGTTTCCAGCAATGGCAGAAATTTTTTTTGTGTAATTTATATGGATGAAACCACTGTAAACTGCTAATGTTTTCCTGTAAGGAAACATTTTCTAGCCACGGTGCTTTTATAAAAATGTAAAAGTATTGTATTATTATAATAAGTTATAAGTAAAAATGAACTATTGTAATTAAGGCCGTAGACGGCGCCGATCCACGTGGATCTGTAACAAAATCGTTTTAGTCACCGAGTAACTCGAGAAGGGAATGAAAATGTCACTATTATCTCGCGTTTTCGTACCGTAACACAGGAAACCGTTCTAAAAGGATAGGTAAAAACGACCGTGCGAAGTGTACAGTCTGCCACACCGAACTTAAGTCGAAGGGAAAAATGAAATTGTTTTTCTCTTACTTATTAATTAAAAACTTCGAGGAAACATTTTTATCGTTATTTTTTAAACTTGGATTTAGTCGAGGACACGTCTCAACTCCTTCGAATCTACTTCCCTGCACCAACGGGAAGCCGTAAACGAAGCCGACATTAGGAGAGGTGGATAAGAAAATGTACACAGTATACAAAGAAATATTCTCCCAAATTGCGGAGCGAATAGGCGGGACCGGAGTTGGTCCTAGCAATTGTTTACACCAATTGAATAATTGATATACAGTATATCTATATCTATATCTATATATATAAATGGATATGTATGTCCCTATATTTCACTTTTCCGCCAAAACTACACATCGCACGTGAATGGTGTTTGTATGTGGTGGTAGCCCCGAGTCTCCATTCGTGCATAGGAATGGTTGCGTCTCGATAGCTATAAGGGTGCGGAAGAAATGGGGGCTTGAAAGTGGTTGAAAGTGGCTTTCTATTTCGAATGTTTTGTTCGAATTTGTTCGAATTTAATTCGAACATAAAATTCGAATTGGTTCGATTATAGAACGATTGTAAACGGTCCAGAAACGTTGAAAATAGTTCGTTTGACTAAACGTAAACATTCTCTAATTAGTCTGGAACCGGGGGACCTAATTCTTGCATTCTGTGAAAACGGGTAAGATTGGATATAATTTAATTATCTTAATCTTCACTATCGTTACTTTTTGCCCAGCGAAGTGGGTCCTTGCAGCTAGTATATATAAAATTTAAACTTAGTAGCGAGCCATCCCGATCAAATTTTTCAGTTACACTTTTGGATCCCGTATCCCGGATCAATCTTTTTTAGAATGAGAAAACATCGACTTTTAATTAGCTTTATATTTTATGTTATAATCGAGGTGGGTCGATAATAATAACAATAATGATAATAATAAGCGCAGAGTCCGAACGGTTAGGAGTCGAAAGTCGAAATTTGGTACACGTTACGAGAATGTACACTAAGAAGGGAGTTTTAAAATCCCCTCGCGGGGAAGAGAAAGAGAGTTAAGACTTAGCCCGAAGAACTCGGCTTCTACCGTGTTATATTTAAAACTCAAACTATTAGTAATTACGCTTTATTCGTAATTATTACCAGAAAATACCATTACGAAACTAGTTCCGGCTATTGGCGCTGTTTTCCGTGGTGGCATAATTTAGAACTAATGGCTGGCTGGCTGGTGTGACTGTTAAAACAAGTGGTGCCATCTGGTAGAAGATTATGTACCGACTTAAATACTATAGGCAAGTGTTCGTGGCAAGTTTCGAATATACGACGCTAGAGGTCGCGCTTATATCCCACGTGTTTTCGTTAGTGTTTAGTGAGTGAATAGTTTGTTAATTAATTATTAATTTGGAAGATGGTACGTTGCGCGCCTTTTTGCACCTTACGATACAGAATTATTTAGAGATCTATTAATTTTTTATTTATAAATGTTAATAGAAATAATGTTTATTTATTAACAATATATAACTAATGTTAAGGAAAAACTGGAAGTTTGCGGAGCCCGAGTGATACTTGGCCGGTACGCAGTCTACACTTTAAATCTATGATTATTTATGAATACGTTTAATTCGAAAACGATAGTATAATATGTAATAAATTTTGAATATTCTTATATTTATATTTTTAGTATTTTGTGGAGCGAGTCAAAGAAATGACCATCCAGGAGGTATCATCGTGTTATCGGCGAGAAACAGAAAAGTAAGTAGAAACGAAAGTTTTTATAGTATTTTTTGTATTAATATAGAGTTACGTCTAAAGTCGATAGTCTGGATAATAGCCAAAAATAACCCTTTGAGTCTTGGTTTCTCAAAACTATTATGGGAAACTTTTCACACGCGGTGTCATAACCATTCGACAACGTTTCTCGCGTTATCGCTGGATGTATCTATAACCGCTGGTCATTACACGCTCATTTTATCCAATTACACAATCTTCGTTGTGTTTTTACGCAGTGTCCATGTTGTACGAGTCACTTAGATTTTACAAATACGTGAGCTGTTCACAGCCCGACACACGTATTTGTAAAATCTAATTGACTCGTACAACATGGAATTTATATAAAATGGAAAAATCAACAGTGTTATAGGGGGTCGACTGTATTCCTTACTCCGACGTCCCCGGAACAGAAAAATCGTCTATTAATTATACTTTTGTTAAATTAACTGCGTTTAAAAGAGCAGTGTTTATTGCGCCACCCGTTTTATTATTATAATTATTACAAAGTTAATTAATTTTATGTTACGCTATCAAAACACTCGGCACCGCCCGAAGAACTTCCAACCAAGGACCTTAAAATTAAAATTACTTATAATTTTCTCCACCAGAGTTCGCCACGCTCTTCCGGTTGGGTACGTCCGATGCGCCGGCAAACGTCATTAACATTCCGACAATAGATCGATGGTTAATCCGCGGTTGGCTGGCGTTTTCCTTTATCTCCAGCCTAAATCCAGGCACGAAAATATATTTTCGCCATACGTAAAGATTTTTAGTTTTTGGCGATTTTTCCGTAGATTACGACGAATTTTCTAACGTCGAGAAGGAAAAATTAGTCTAGTTGTCTAGTCCGCTTTTTCTTTCGCCGCGGGCGAAATTTGTTTCTCCAGACGTTTCCGTAACGGCCGTATCGCCTTCGACTCCAGACGAAAAAAAAAGGCGACACGGACAGCCGGAGGAAACGAAATTTCCGATTTATAAAACACCGATCGATTATTACTAAGTCTCTGGGAAAAAATAAGAGAATAAAAGTTATAATTTTCCACAATAATAATCTTAAGCTTAAACGGAGGAAAAACCGGAACGACGACGAGAAATTACGTTTGTCTCGACGCTTTTAATTTGTTTACTCGCGCTTAACGACGCATTATTTAAATATTATTAAAGAATTTACGAGGAAGGAATCGTCGACGTTGGTTTTTCCCAGACGAACGAGGAGGGACGACATTTTTTCAAAAACTACAATTAACGTCCGGCGCGGAGTAAAATAAAAAAAAAAAAACGAGGGGGACGAGATGATGTCACGCGTCGGTCTCGTCGGAGTCCGGGACGACGTGACGTCACCGGGAGCCGCGATCTACTGACACAATTGCCAATGGCAGACGGGGGGAGGGAGAGGCGCGCGCGCCGTCTAGACCGCTTCCAGACGGAGGCCGGTCGGCCGACGTCGGCTTTATTTAGACGCCAGTCTAGACGCTCGTCGTCTGCCACGGGCTGGGCCGGCGGAAGTAAACGGTCGATGACGTCGACGACGGGAGTACGCCGCCGAGCTTCGGCCGGCCCGGACACCGGCCTCGCACCGTCCGGGCCATGAGACTCGACGGCCGGACGGCCCGACGCGCCGCGCAAGCAGGTAAGTCCTTTTCCACCTCCTCCTAAGACTTTTCTCTCCTTCTCCGTTTTTCCGCTTTCGCCCGCCGTGCCGGAAATTCGAGACGGCCACTTCCGTTCTCCCCGCCACTCCGGGAGCGGAATTTTCCGTGTTTTCCGGATCCCGGTTGGAAAAATCTGCCACGTTACCGAAAATTGTCACCGTTTCGTCCCCGTTTTCTCTTCTTCCGTCCGGTAGACAGTTTAAGACGGACTTTTCAGTCTCTCCTCTTACTATTTGCTCGATTAACACTGTACGTGACGTAGCGGCAACGATACTCGGATAATCCCCCGCGTGCGATCCGGAAAAAAATGTGTGGACGGCGAATTTCCTCCATTCTCCTCTTCCATTCGTAACCGCGGCAGGGGCTATATACAAAAAATAGTTTCTCGCCCGGCGCCGCGCTTCCCGTCCGACTTTATTTCTGTTATTATCCGATTTTTCTAGAATTTAAAACGTGACGAAGCCGACCCAATTTCTTATCTACGGGAGAATCCGCCGCGATAATTAAAAAATATATATATTTAATTAAATCGTCGGGACTGGGCGAAAGATGGCGCCAGTTAACGGCCGGAAGTTACGCGGTTAACCGGTAACGACGATTTCCAGGTGCGAAGATGCCGTCCCTTCTTTCCGGCGCCGGGGGATTCCCCACCGCTCTTCTCCGCCGGGGATCCGGGTGAGTAATTGGCGCCAACGTCTCGGGTCCCGGTGGGGATCGATATTTGGTCCCGGGCTCGGACGGCTTTCTCTCTCCCGCCCGTCGGTGACGTAATAGCCGATTGTTTACTTCCGTTACGTCTTCGTTAGGTAATAAGCTCCGCTTCCAGTCTCGTCACTGGTCGGATAAAGAAACGTTTTCGGGCTTCGGGCACCTCCTTTGATGTAAAATTTTGCACTTAAAAGCTTATTAAATACGAAATAGTTTCTTTATTTTCCTCGCTCTCCTTTAATATTTAGAAAAAGAATAAAATATTTTTAATTATAACCGTCGAGGAGAAGACGGCATCTTCGACCGGCTCCATTCTTTATTCCGCCTTACGACAGACTGGACGGTAAGCTTTTGGCATTTAACGTCGACAAATCTTTGTAAATATTTGCACATTTTTTGCATTTTATTACGTCCGTTCGCTGGGGGTAATCGCATCTCGTTACGTAGGTTTTAGAATATTACGTAAAAATCGATAAAAATATTAAACGTACGGCCAATTCTTGCTTAGAAAATGTAAAAACCGCGAAGGTTAAGACCGTTAAAACTTATAAAATTACGCCGGTTAATGCGAATGCGGCCGTACCTTTGGCCTTGACCGAATTCACCAAGGTCGCACCGGCGTGTTTTTTTTTTCTCTCGGCAATAGGAATAAAAGCCGTAGAATAATTACTTTTAAGAACGCTCGGACATCGGTTAACCGGTCGGAAGACGCCTACTTGTCCTTATTACGTAAATGGCGACTGGCCGTGCCGCCGATGCTACCTGACAAAACACTCTCGTATTAATAATATAAATATTCTTAGCTTTTTCCGAGGTAGCCTAAAGCGGCTGTTTCCAAAGAGCCAAATGTTTATTACGTAAATGGATTACCGAGGTGTTTTTCCCAGTTGACCAGACAATACCGGACTGGCTCTCCGTAAACACGAATCCGCGTACTAAAATTTTAAATCCATCGATGGGGGTTTTATGCCCCGGAAATTACGTCGGTGTAAATGGACGAAAGAAAAAACGTAATAAATCGAAAGCGTGCGGATAATTTTACGCGGTGGGAATTGCATTACAGTATTTATTTACTTGCATATTTTGACTAAATGCGGCGGAAACGAAGTTAAAATATGCCGTCCGACGACTTAAATTTGAAGTTTTCTCTGAGGAAAATGCCATTTATTTTTATCTTATTTGTATGGAGACAACACTGTTTAGTTTCAGAATCTTTTTATTTAATGGATTTTAATTGAATGGTGCGTATAATATCGACACCGTTTTAGTGTCTATATAAAGTACTATTGGATATTTTTATAAAGGCGAATACGTTTTATTTCTAACCTTACTCGTTAGAAGTATGCCGTCGTCTATAGAAAATTCCTGCGGGTAAACCAGTTCTTTGTGTTTTTCCTAAGCCAGATAAAAGTAAACTAACCAGTATCTGGTACAAATCTGTTTTACCGCTTTTGTTTTTATACGTCGAATTACAATTGCGACGAATTAACGCCAGTCTCGTATCTTTCGTCTATATTACCACTCCTTATCTTATTTTAAAAGAGAAATACAAAATATATTACGCTTCTTTTCCAGATTAGAATTTCGTACGTCAGAATTTCCATTTCTTTAATAAACTGATTATTCTTCTGTTTCCACCTTTAAAAAGAACCGATGCAACTTATTATTACTATTTAATTACGATAAATGAGTTACGTTTACGTATAAATGAACTTTTCTTGGCAGTAACGGGGTCGACGTGTATGTTCAGATGCGGTGATACGACCTGTCTTCGGAGTTGGACGTTTGTGTGCGACGGTCTGCCCGACTGTCCCGACAGCAGCGACGAAATTCACTGTCCTCCCAAATTAGTCCGTTCGAACGTCCGTTACTCGTCGTTCCCGAACGGTCAGAATTTTGCGGGGCTTCAAAATGGTGAGCTTCTTAAAACCTCCATAATTATAATGTAAATTCTTAACTGTTTTTTCGTATATCATTTGTTTTAATATTTGTTTTTCTTTTTCCAGTTTCTGCAATCCAGATCGTTGTTATTGCTATATCCGTAGTATTCACCCTAGGACTAATTACGTGCGTTCTCAGTCATTACAAGATGGGAGCACGATCTTGGAGCGAGAGGCGTAACAGGTCGCCTCTCAAGAGTGCATCTAGAGACTTTCATCATTATTTTCACCTTTCCCACTGTTCGCACGACTCGAATTGTCGCTGCTTCTCGTCGTTGTCGTCGTCGTCACCCATGCCAAAAGTTAGTCTTTCTATAATTATTTTAAATTTAACTTTATTTTTACCTACCGAAAACAAATCGGTTTTTCCTAAACCTCTCGTTACGCGCCTTTGTCAAAAGAAATAATTAAAATTTATGATACATTTATTTTTTTAATCAAACAAAGAAATGGTCAATTTGTTTACACACAGAAACGTACGACAACGAGAACATAAACATTATTTTTTAAATCTTCGTAAGGCAAAAGCGCGCAGTCTATCCTTTTATTATCTCTAAAATCAAATGATACACCCACATTATAATTGAACCCTAATGTGACTAATTAATCGTAAAGATATTACATAATTTGCTTAAAGGTGGGCAGTTAGGCTGCCTTCTTCTATTAAATTTAATAATTAGAAATAGATAAATTCAGTATACACTAGAAGGAAAGATCAATGCGGAGTGAGACTCCAACCCGCAACTTCCGCTTACCGCGCCAATTGTGGTTTTACACGCAGTTTTCTCTATATTATTATCAAAGAAAACGTATTCTCGGCCACCTGTTATTACACTACCGTACTCCATAACTTGTTTATTACGTAATTAACCCATTTTTTCATCTGTTTTTCTTATATATAGTATGCGTATGTACAGTACGTATATTATAATGTAAATGTAATAATGCTATTTGTAAACTGAAAGAACAGCGGAATCGAATGTTTTATAATCGAAGGGCCCAATTTAAAGATCCCCAGTCCCCGTTTTTACACCGCGGTCGATGCTATAGGCCGGCGACGTCATTCTAACAAGATGGCCGATAACAAAGAGTCGAGGATAATGCCGTTGTCTGGCATCTACTTTATTCCTTAACGATACGAAATTCACTCGGCTTTTTAGGGGAACCCGGAGCGGAATGGGGTAGCTAACGAAAAAGTTAAAAGAAAAATAACAAAAATATTGCATTATATCTTTTATTTATTATATTTGGCACATTATTGATTATTTAAATGTAATTTAAATAGTTATTTTGTACGAAAAATAAATAAGTAAAAAAAGATCGCCCACCTCCCGTACCGCCCCGCACTCGGGGCAGAATGGGGTACGAGATTACCGCTCAAATATTAGTCTCGTTGCGTACGAAACTCTCAAACCAGCGCGGAATCGTCATCGTCGCCGTCAAAACCCGCGCGAGAGATACGAGCCCATTGTTTGCGCGCGACAGACGAACACCAACCCTCGATCGTGTGACAGTAAGCCCGGCTGCGGTAAAGGCGAGTCGTAACGTCGTCCCCTCCCGAGTAATCGTCCCCTCGTTCTTCTATTTTACTAAACTGTTTTTTCCCCTTTTCTTTTTACTGTAAAAATCGTATGGAACTTTCCCGCTTTTTTGTCAATCGTAGTGTCGGGGTTATCTCCTTTCTTTTTCACATAACTTTCTAAAGTGCTGGATGGCGCAGAAAAAAACGAGGGCCGCTCTTCGATAACCCATTTCTCCAGAAATCGCCGCATTTACAGCAAGTTCCGTTCACTCTGTCCGCCGACATTGTCTGTCAGTTTTTCTTTTGTACGTTCGGACCATCTATAACGAAAGAAAAGCTATAAGAATGTATTTTACAATAATAGCATTCTGAACCGCCAGCTGATCAATATATAAATACCGCTGGCATAGTGTGTGTGTATAGGGGACAGAACGGAGTACCGTCCCATCGCGCTCCACCCGTTGTGCCCCGAAGCGTACGCTTCTAAAAATCAAGGAGAGAAAAAGTTTACAATTACTTTCCGCGTTATTTCATTTTAAAAATACAAACAAACAAATCGTTAATAAACTAGACTATATAAATTTGGTTAAATTATAAAATATACCATATACTTACATTGTTTTAATGTCGATACACTTGTAATTTCGTCAAAAAATCACGACGCGAGGTCAACGACGCAGCGAATCTCGCGTTGTCGCAGTCCGAGTGTAGGACAGCGAGCGAACCAATCCCCTCGCCCTCTTTCATATGTAAATCGGGTTCCCCTACATTTTGCCAGCGGTGCGAACTAGCCTTAACAAACACTCGGCGTGTTAAGGCTAATTAGCACCGCCGTAATTCGCCGGCAATAATTCCATCTTGGTCTTTTAATTAAGTAACCGGTAGTCATCACTCCATTAATACATACGTATGTACCGGTACAGTTTATCCGCACACTTTCCTAAGACATTCGAATTTAATCGCCATCGTTAACCGTTCTTTTTAAAATATCCTTTTCTGGACTACGGAAGAAGCGCGGGTTTACGAAATAATTAATAATGGCGGACGTTTCCGACGGGAGATAACCGTATTTTGTGTGGGAGAATCGTTTACTAATTATACTTTTCGTCAACAGGCGGCGCCCAAATGCAGCCAGGGATCGGCGGGAGGAAAGTGCGCGCGGACGGAAACGGCCGCCGATCTGCCCTCCACCGTGGCCCTGCCGGACGGCGAGGAACGTCCGCGCAAGAAGGAAAGGAACCGGCGCGCGGGAGACGAGGAAGGAGAGAACGAGATCTACAGAAGCTACATCCGGCCTCCGCCCAACAGGACCGTCTCCGACTTGGACGGGCTTCGGGGCACCCTCCTCCATCCGTGGGAAACGTCCGGCCCGCCCATTCGACCCGGAGCCCCCTGGCCGGGCCGCGCCCCTCCCGTCCTCCGCCCTTCCACTCCCACTTCCGTTGCGGAGCGGCCGGAAGAAGTCTACCCCGTCTGACGGCGGAGGATCCCAGCGGCGTCCTCCGCCCTCTTCCCGGCGCCGATCTTCTCGGCGTCGATTGGTTGTGATAGAAAGGGCGTCGGCGGACGGGGCCGGCGCCCCTCCCGGTTTTCTTTTCTAGCGGGATTTCTTATTTATTTAAATCCGACCGCGGGAAGACGATTGGCCTCGAGATTCCGGAGACGGTCCCGCCTTTATTTCTGGGCGGGGTCCGACGGGAGAAACTTAATCTCCTTCCGCCTTAATTAGACGGGGGCGGAAACGGAACGGGGCGGTGTCGTTACCGCCAATCAAAAGCCGTCCCCCACCCGGGTCCGGGGGAGGGGGACGGGAAAAAAGGAGAGAAGAATGATCCGCCGACGCGTATTCCGTGGGAGGGAGGACGGACTCTTCCGAAAGGGGGAGGTGACCCGTCCTCTACCGGGACTAGTCTTAAGACGATGTGATAAAGCCGAAATGACGGAGACCGGACGGGAGGGGGTGGCCGGCGTCTCCCTTCGTTCCCGACCGGAAACGACATGCACATACGCGCGCGAATCGATCGCCGGTTACTTCTTTCTTCCCGTATCCTTGTATATATTTATTCGGGACGCTGTCCGGTGGATCCGTGGGAATTTCCAATTATTTGTAATTTGTATAGATATAAATTAAATTCTTTGACCATATTTTTTGCCGTTTTCTTTGGTGAAAAATGGCCGCCTCCGATTGCGTTGGCGGTTACCTGGCCATTTCTTTTCGTCCGCCGTATCGGAAGCAGAAGTATTGTATTCGTGTACTGTACTTACTGTTCGGAACGTAAGGGCCGCGATTACGCTTACGTCAGACGGTGATGTCGTCGGAGGGAAGCTTTGGACGGATTAACAAAGTACGATTTATTAAGTCCGCGGCGCTCCGGCTAATCCGAACTAACTATCGAACGGGTTATACTGTATCGATCCGAAAATGTCGACAATGTAAGAGAATATCGTTCCTTACATTATCAATGTCGTTTTGGTCGATACACTTCGAACAATTGGTATTTCCAACGAGTCTCCCGACGACAACTTTAACGCCCGTGAAAATAGTAATCAAATGCCGATCGGAAAATAGAAAACGTCCAATAATAATACGTAAAGAAAATTAAAAATAAACTTAAATTTTTTAATAAAAATTTATCGATAATCGTTAAAAACAAACGAAACTCGAAAGTAATTTTCGAAATAATAGTAACGTGAGGCGCCTCTGGTGGCGAGTTATGTGACGAGAACAAGACCGAAAAATTATTTTAGCAGTTTGAAAGCTCCGATTCGAACAAATACGAAACCGATCGATCTATTAATTTAATACAAATGTATTGGCGCGTGGTACGTATAATAATGGAAAATAAAGAGAAAAAAAATAATAATTGAAAATTAATCGCGCGATCTATTACGGTAAATAATTCGCGGTACTTCGATTTTTTGTGATTTTCGGTTTTTTTTCCGTTTTTGTCGTTTATCCTCTTCGTCGAATTCCCGTCAGCCGGTAAAGAGTACTACGGTGCCATCTATTAACAGTATTTAAAAGTATGCCAAATTTAGAACATTAAATCGAAGCCGCGAATAGTTTAGAACGGAATTTAAATGCTTTTAATCATTAATCGTTGTTATACGGACGGTGAATTAAGTTTTCAGAAAGTTTAAATATCGTTACCAGTTTTATTATAAAAAAAGTTTTCCTTACTGTTTAGTAGTTACACGATTTACATTAGGAAAATGTAGGGAAAAAAACGTTATATATTATTATCGTATTAATTAAACAACAGACATATGAAATTTTATAAATATAAAAAGTTCTACGTGGCGCCATCTGTGATCAGATAGTGTTATAACAATTTTATTACGATTGAAAAATTCCTTTTGAGGGCAAGAACGAGTTTTATAAGAAATTGCCAATGCCAATAACGAGTAAAATTTTCATTAAGTCCCACTTTCCGACCTTTGACCACCAAAATTTAGTAGTATCGATTCCCCTTACAAACTACCTGGACAAATTTCGTTTCTTAGTCTGCACCCCTTTCCGAGATATAAAAATTCCCTGAGTATTTAATGTATGTGTCTGTGTGAGCATAAACTGACAGACACACTTGTATACATACATATATATGCATATAAATCGAAAATGTCAAAAAGGGGGGAATTGCGCGTGTATGTGTGTCCCAGTCTGGAAGGGAGTGTGTCGGATTTTCTTTGAAAGGGGTGTTAATATGGAGTTTTCGGCACAGTTAGGCACTATACTCCGAATAGCTTGGTTTCGATCTCTAGGCGACCGAATAGTCAGCCTTATAGAGTGGCCATTACGCGCGCGGGGGAAAGAATGCCTTCCGGGAAGACTTTTTACCGGAAACTGGCCCTATTCGGGCGTCATCGACGAGGAGAAAACCCGGAAGACTTCACGCTACCAGCCGGTCCGAACGCGGCGCCAACCCACCACCGAACTCCCAGTGCGAAAGTCGTATTAAAAGACCCTCCCGGGTCAGATGCCGCGTCTTACCAGACCACGGATGGCCCGGTTCACCCATCCTTCGGGCGTGGAGGCTGGCCCGTCAGCTATACAAGATCGTCAGAAGTTCATCTCGCTTGTCGATTTTGGACTCTGATTCAATATGAAAATAAAATCTACATTACTAATTTGCATATCGTTAGCATAAATTAATTCGGTACCTAATTTAATGGCAGTTACGTCCTACGGTGTATTAAAGCCCGCAACTTACGAAGAAAAAATCCAGCAACGAGTTGCTTAACTTTCCCGGCAACATTTGGCGAGTCATCTGTTACGATATTTTATTTTAAAAGTTTTTTTTTTTTATATTTTTAACTATTATAAAATGGAAAAATGCTCAATTTTCAGGGTAGGGATGGGTATTATAAAAATTAAGTGACGGTGGAAATTTTCACTTTTCTTCGTCATTTTCCTCGATACGACACGCGACCCTTTCTATCTCCTCGCCTTCTCGACCTGTCACCATCAAAATTTAATAGCATCAACGTCTCTTATACACAAGCTACCGTGCCAAATTTCGTTTCTCTATCATTATTCTTTCCTGATATATTAAACAAAATAAACGCTAACACATCGCATCCGCGGAATTATTTTTGCCTTTTTTTTACTTTTTTTTTTGTTTCGGGGAGACTGGAAATGCGGACATTTACAAAAAGCCGAGAGGGTCAAATTTGATACTAAACCAAACGATCTCCGTAGTTAATCGAGCTGCTATTTTGCTACAGTTTATAATTAGATATTAAGTAATTTGGTATTGGAGGTAGAGGTTAGGTTCTATTTCTTATCTAAATTAATACTTATAATAATATTTAATGGTAGTTTTATTCGTTTTATTATGTGTTTATAAAGACAAAATCGAACAGATTTTAAATTTTATTTATTACACTAAGCTGCGAAAAGCGAATTTTTTCGACAATTTAGGCATACCCGATATGAATTTTTTTATACGTGAGTTCGTGTATTACAAGTTTGACGTTGAATTCTTCTTTTATTTTTTTGAAAAACACGGCGTGCAACAGTTATTTGTAGGCAGTCCTACGCGAGTGTCATCAGTTTACACTTGTTGGGCAATTCTTCTACGATGGTGCTTACTATTGCTTGCGTGGACTTACAAGTCCTTCGGCAACTTGTAAAATTTAACTTAAGTATAGTGTAATTTCATTGTCAAAGAATATTTTACTAACCGTATTCTTTCACTAAAAATAGAACAATTTTAAAAGTTAACACAAATAGTGATACACAAGAACGCGTACACATGGCTGTAATTGCATTTTTGAAGAAACTGGAAACGAAAGAAATATTTTCAAACTTGGAAATTATTTAGCGTTAATATTGCTGAATTGATAAACGAGAACAATATAAGTCAAAAGTACGCTGACGATGGTGAGAACGAGACTTTTGTCGACGTTAAACATCTCCCAAGCGGTAAAACGGGGGAATTCCAACCACACCTTCACGTAAAATCGAAATACCTCCTCTCGCATTTTGTCACTAAGCGAGACGGAATTCCGATACAAAGAGGAACAAAGAAGTTCTCCCTCTTTGTGAACACCGGAAGCGCAAAAACACAACTTGGCAAACTGAAAAAACGAAAAACCGGAAATGAAAATCATTTTCGAATGATGCACCCAAGTGGTACTATCGTAGAAACTCAGGAGACGTCCGATGTTTCCCATGATGTTTCCTCCTACCTGGATGGACCACAAGAGTAATTGCGCGGAGAAACTGTCGCGAACGAGTATTAAATACTCGAGTAGTAGATTAATCTCCGTGATTATTCGAGGCACGTCTTTCCTTCTTTCACCTTCTCCCGCTAAGACAAAGCGTAACGATTTGAAAGCGTGTTTAACTTCTTGACATATCAGTTCGAAGTATAAAAATATGAAATTCAGTGGCAACATAAACACTGCCGTATACAAAACTGAAAACAAAACGTAGAGAAAGCGAAAAAAATATTCTTCCATTGCTCCGAAACCAAATTTAAGACTTATCTGCGAAATAAAGTTACTGGCGCCAGTGAAGACGGCGACTACATTGATAATATTAACTAAAACGAAGTAAAGCCAAAGAAAACCGACTCGAAGCGTTAATATTCTCTCGTTGACTCCGCTGACACCAGAAATTTTTACGATATTCTGAACCAGAGTACGAATCTTCGTTCGATCCAGATGAAATCGATAACACGAAACAAATGGGATTATCTGAGTAAATACGAAAAATGCCGTCAGACAAATCTTAACGAAATTCGCATTTTCGGCGAAGGCGCTAATTACTCTCAAGGTGTACAGACACACCAATATCTTTGCCACGACTAACGAAATAATTGCCTGCGAATGGAATCCCTTTCCTTCCATCTTTAATCCGAAGAGCGACATGCTGCGTAACAACGGACTCCACGCCTTAAAACTGTACATCGCCGTGTCTCGATTCGTTCGTGAATCCGTTTCCTTCATATTTTGTTTTCTGTTTTTTTTGGACGTGGATCTTAAATCGAAAAATTCGTAAACTTAAAACTTAGTTTCGGAACTTCGTATGCCAGAAGAATAAACGATTTCTTCTACCTCAAACTGAATTATTGTCTGCGAAAATTATTTTTCTCTGTCGTATACACTGCAGAAACTCATTTAATTTTCTTCTGACGCATTTCCGAGAAAAGGGAGACAAAAGGCGACTCGCGAATGCAACAAATGTTTACGTGACTTCGGTCAACACGATCAAAGTCGAAGGACGTCTCGCGTGTTTGCGTGAAACGTCAATATTTCGAATGAAATACACACATATTCCAAGAATTATTGTTCAAACAATTAATGGAAAACTCGGTTAAAATCGAAAACGGATGCAATTTATTTGAGAAACATCAATATTTGATGAAAGACAAAGGGTATTGAGATTTATTAAGCACATTTCGTTGTGTTCGGATAATACTTGATCCGCATCGACACTTAAAATAAATGCACGAATTTGAACGAGAAATTACAATTACGTAAAACTAGAATTTACATGTTTAAAAATATAACTTTCTAGAATTGTGGTAGGATGGCGGCTCAAGTAAAATTCTATTGTCTTTCAGTAACCGGTAGAGGAAGAATTCGTAATATTGAGCAATGTTTTATAAATTATATTTTAAGCAATTCCGTTTAATAACGCTCACCGAATGAATGTGTTTGTATTTCGTTTCAAATATTGACGTTTAACGCAAACACCAGTGATGTCCTTGCAGCTTTGATCACCTTTACCAAAAAAATGTAAACAATTGTTTAAAGTGACGACTCGCGTCGTCACTCTCGATTCTCGGAAACGTAATAAGAAAGAACAAACGAGTTTGTGGAAATCACGTAAAATGATATTAAATTTATAATACTGTAATTCAATTTTTAACTTTACCGGATATTACATATAACAGAGGAAAAGTATGGCGATCTGGCAAAAAATTACCCTTCTCGGATTTATACATTTTTGGACTCGGGACGTAGAGAAATGCACAAAAGTTCAGGGGGAGTTTCTGTATGTGTGAATGTTAGTGCGCGTGTATGAAGGTGTGTATTGGCGTTTATTTCGTTTAATAACTCGGGATGGGATAAAGGTTAAGAAACGAAATTTGGTACGGTAGTTTGGGTAGGTGGGTCATCGGTGCTATTAAATTTTGGTTGCGAACGGTCGAGGGAATGGAAAGACAGAGAATGATCACGTCGGGGGATAGAGAAGATTTCCAATCGCATCGGACTTAACGAAGATTTTACTCGTTAGCATTTAGTTTTTTTTAATATAAAACTCATGTTTTTCCTCAAAATTAAGTCTTTTGCATTTTATAATAATTTAAAATATATAAGAAAATCTTATAACAGATGGTATCACACAATTTTAATTATATTGTAGGCAATTCGTCGTTGAACTTTTTTAAGTTTAGACTCTTTTTTTTAACTCTTTCCGCGCTGTGGGCACTAAGAAGGCCTCTTTTAACAAACCCATTATGGGTTCGATCAAGCTCACAATGGGGCGACCGTGTGGTGAGAGACTATAAGTTTAGCTTAGTGCCGTATACTAGATTGTTTCCAGTGTCGCTAGTAGTGCTGTGCGATG